TGTATTCTGCACTTTAATCTACTGGGTTCTACCTGGAACATAGTCCTTTAGCAAGGTCTCCAACCTTGCTATCTAAGAACCATTATTCTAAGGGAGTCGCTGATGCTCGCCTTAGCCAAAAACCTTTGACCTCTCGTTCGAGAGAAGAACTACGTCTGTCTCACCGAATCTCAGTCCACCTGGACTTAGACAGCTCGACATATCCCAGTCGTAACAGCAGGTGGACATCGGTTCACATTAACCGGTTCAAGTGGACCGGATCATATGCCCTGTTATACTACTGGCCGGTGCGACTTCAGGGGTGGTTTGTTTGTGTCAATCGGTTCATAATTGATTGAGATACAGTCAATGCAACATTCTGCGCTCATTGATCAGGCAGGTGGATATTGGTTCACATTGACCGGCTCAAGTGGACCGGTCCATGTGCCCCATTATACTACCAGCCGGTGCAATTTCAGGGGTGGTGTGTTTGTGTCAATCGGTCCATATTTGATTGAGATACGGGCAATACAATATTCTGTGCTAATTGATCCGGCAGGTGGATATTGGTTATATCTGATGTACAGGGAATATTTCTACTGATAACAAGCCTACATAGTAATCAAGCCTGTGATAAGTGATCAAAGACCTAGGATAACTCTCATATATATCCCTGATGATATATTTAAAGTTTTAGAAAGATCCATGAAGAACTGACTGAATGGCAAGTAAAATAACATATGTAAGAAAAGTGACAATTGACATATTTTCACATAAAGTTATATTTATATATAGCACAGCTCAAATATTTCATTACAAATGTGTAGGATACATGGTAGACTACTGAAGGAACCTATACTACATATTGCCCTCAGGTTAGAGGGTGGTGGAAGAGATGTGGTGTATATGTGAGTTGACCCAGCATTAAAGTCCTACCACTGTCCAACTGATCATTTTCGATGTTTTGGGTCTTTGACCTTTCCCACACTCAATTTCTTATCTATTTCACTTCCTCAGTGCTCAATTCTTGTTGGATTGTTTTGTAAATTCAGCCATATGATAATAAATATATTTTAAATCTACTCCAGGTGTCTGATTATTAAAATTCGATGTTTTGAAAGTATGGGCCCCTTATCAGTAGAAATAGCAAGCATTCACACTAGCTCAAAGCTCTGGCCTATTCTGAGCTGATCCTTGTCATACAAAGCAAGTATATATGCTATGCTAATAATATATGAACAGCTTGCATTATTTATGCAAGAGTAAGATACTGAAAACCATCAAAAGTGTCAAAAATGTGAGTTTCTATTCTTTTGTTCCTGTAGAAGGATCCTGTGGGTGTCCTAGGCTAGCTATATGATAGATCTACTCCAAATATACATAGAAATATATCCCTCATCTCAATTCAGGTCCGGTCCTGCAGGAAATAATTTCACAGGGAGTAAACCACTAGGGGAGGAGGGACACACCATGCAACAGAGGATTCTCCTATGGTCCTGGCCTCCTGATACATTGTGCCCATTGTTGAATAGATGCTGGAAATCATGTTTTCAAGTCTGTTCACCTGGAAATGATTAAATGGGAACATATTCTATGTGTTCTTGCATATGTGTTATATCTATTGATGTAGGACACTTCAGGGGGTCAAATCAAGATGGAAATCTACTCATATATGCTTATAAACATATTCTAAACATCCTAGAACACCTCCCTATCAAAGGGGCAGAAATGCGAAATTGTTTTGTAACCTACCCTATGTTGAAAAGGCCCTAGAGGAGGAGTGGGCACACAAATAGGCAAAAAAAGCAGTCTATTTCATGACATTATACATGTATATACTGAACTACTACTTATATATGGATAGGGACCTATTGTAGTGTGGTGGTGAAGCTGCAGTGAGGTGGAGAGGGTGTGGGAATAATTGATATTGTGGGGTAATTCACACACTGTGGGGCTGTAAAATGCGACAATATCATGTGTGGGAATACTGTGGGAAAGCCTGACAGTGGAGGATCTCTGATATATCACCAGCAGTAGATCAGAGCTACCATGAATGAGCCTATTATTGTACCTGATTTTTCTGGGTTACAATATATTAGATGTATCAATATGACAGTATGAACTGATCTCAATCAAATGTGTGAACCAGTCAATTTGAACTGATATCCACCTGCCGGATCAATTAGTACAGAATTTTGTATTGCCTGTATCTCAATCAAATATGAACCATTTAACACAAACAAACCACCCCTGAAATTACACTGGCCAGTAGTATAATAGGGCATATGGACCGGTCCACTTGAACCGGTCAATGTGAACCAATATCCACCTGCCTGATCAATTAGCATAGAATCTTGTATTGCCCCTATCTCAATCACATATGAATCGATTGACACAACCAAACCACCCCTGAACTCGCACCGGCTGGTAGTATAATACGGCATATGGACCGGTCCACTTGAGCCGGTCAATGTGAACCGATGTCCACCTGCCGGATCAATTAGCACAGAATTTTGTATTGCCTGTATCTCAATCAAATATGAACCATTTAACACAAACAAACCACCCCTGAAATCGCACCGGCCGGTAGTATAATAGGGCATATGGACTGGTCCACTTGAACCGGTCAATGTGAACCAATATCCACCTGCCTGATCAATTAGCATAGAATCTTGTATTGCCCCTATCTCAATCACATATGAATCGATTAACACAACCAAACCACCCCTGAACTTGCAACGGCCAGTAGTATAATACGGCATATGGACCGGTCCACTTGAGCCAGTCAATGTGAACCGATGTCCACCTGCCGGATCAATTAGCACAGAATTTTGTACTGCCTGTTACGACACACGGTCATGTGCGACTAGGATGATCTAAACAGCGACAACCACGACAGTGGTACCGAGTGCTGAGAGTCGTCGGCCTTTACAGACAAGCAAAGGTTGCATACTCGAACGTAGCTCGTGGTGGTTAACGAGGGGTTACGCTGAGATGATAGCGGTTTACAGACAGTGAGAGGCGTCACTGAAGGTACGAGTCGATGTCAAGCAGGTAGCTTTAGCGGGACAAGGAGTTCAAGGGTAAACCTAGTAAGATTAAAGTAAGGAACGTCTACTGTTAATCTTCGACCTTATATAAGGCTACTCTTCGTATCTAAGCTCAGCCTAAAGCTGGGTTCTAATCTGCTTATCTACATGAGTCAGAGATAGCGTCCATGAGGCAGGCTTCTATCGTAGATAGGATCCATGAGGCATCCTTCTATCAGTACATGAGGCAGCACGAGGCTTGCCTTCTATCTTGATAACATAAATAGGTCTTCTAGACCTATGTCGTCATGTGTCATCATATGCGGTCCAGACCGCTTATCTAAGCCGGCAGTTGCCGCTTATCGTCTATCATCATCTATCGTCATAGGGCTGGTGAGACCCTGGTATCGTCTATAGCCGTGCGGTGGCAGAGGGCTGTCTGCTGGTGGGGGACTCATGCCATGTTACTGTAACATTGCCTGTATCTCAATCAAATATGAACCATTTGACACATCCAAAACACCACTGAAGTTGCACTGGCCGGTAGTATAATACGGCATATGGACCAGTCCATTTGAACCGGTCAATGTGAACCGATGTCCACCTGCCGGATCAATTAGCACAGAATTTGTAATGCCTGTATCTCAATCAAATATGAACCGATTGACACAATCAAACCACCCCTGAACTCGCGCCGGCCGGTAGTATAATAGGGCATATGATCCGGTCCACTTGAGCCGGTCAATGTGAACCAATATCCACCTGCCAGATCAATTAGCATGGAATCTTGTATTGACTGTATCTCAATGAAATATGAACCGATTGACACAACCAAACCACCCCTGGAATCGCACCAGCCGGTAGTATAATATGGCATATGGACCGGTCCACTTGGATTCACCTGGTGACATACCTACCGGATGGTAGATTTCACCAAATCTCCGGTAAATATGATTCTTCCGGCCCACTTATCTGCATCGTAACCCGGATACCCTCAGCCCATCCCTTTGCCTCGGGTACACACATTCACTCAGCCCATCCCTTTGCCTCAGGTACACACATTCACTCGGCCCATCCCTTTGCCTCAGGTACACATTCATCCGGCCCACTCGTCTCCATTGTACACCAAATTAACCATTCATCATGTCCTATATACTAGTACATTCCTATACCACTCTCTATACTATATACCCTCAGCCCATCCCTTTGTCTTGGGTACACACATTCACTCGGCCCACCCATATATCATGGTACAATTATTGCCATGGGCCCACATGGGATGGCCCGTCTCTCTTGGTACATTGTCACACTCGGCTGCCCGTCTGAGACGGGTCTTTGTCACTGTATTATGTGCTACTACTGCCAGTCGATATATGCACACGCTCTTGGAAAGCGATTGAGATCATGCCAGTTGTTGCGTCGGAGTTAGCCACGAGTTCAGCCTTATATTCTCGAATGCCAAGGATCAGCTGTGGTCCTAGCACGAACATCACGACCTCCAAAATCTGAAACAAGCCAAACAAAGTCTGATCTTCTAGGAGATATTGGTTCTATAGAAATGATAGATCCTGGTCACATGTAGAGGTAAGTGAAAGATTGACATACCGTTGGTGATGTTGGAGAGAATAAAATAATGAGGGTGAAGCAAGAGACAGCAACAAAGCTATCATGTCCGACCCTTCAGTGGAAAAAGGACAATAATCACAATATGAACTTACCTTGCAAAGTAAACCACGTGAGTTTTCATCAACACCATAAAACAGTCCCCGATAATCCCTCCTGCCAGTTGTAATCGCAGTTCACGGAAGTGTTTTACTGCAATCCAGACTGCGAGACATAGTGTGAGGACCTCCCACACAATGTAGAGTATCCAAGTGGCAGAATCTAGAACTAGAGCATCTCCTGTATAGTTAATCCTGCACTGGTAGGTGCCAGAGAGAATGAGTTCCTCTGGTATCCATCAATGAGCCATATGCACATTCGTTTTCATAATTAAGTGTACCTCCTGAAGTATGCATCATTGACATTACGGCTGTCACTCCAGCAAAAGTGTTGATTGCCAGGAAGGTGACAACGAGAAATATCAGGATCTTTCTGTCTCGTTGATACATGGCATGCAACCGAGTGATGATGATGACTTGCAGCATGTTTCAGACATTCCAATATCACTGAGGTTTCGCAAGTGCAAAGCTCACCCCACAGCATCGCAAATACCACAGCACCCGTCCAATCCCATAGTATAGTGTACATCATCCAGCCTGACAAATCCGATCAGTGACCTGTCTCAGGTAGCACACACTCCAAACAGACTCACATCTTCAAGTTGGTAGTATAGTGTGGCAGCCATTAGTGCACTGAGAAGTCAGCAAAGAACCACACCCACTGCTACAGAACAACACGGTCAATTTGAGGGGAATGGTAAGTATCTATATGGAAGACTCACTGTATCTGTCAGCGAGATGGTCAGAACATTGTCTGAATGCCATTGTCAGAAGAAGATATGACAGTGAATGTACTAAGGAGACACACCGACCATGGACAGACTGATTATAAGAGATAGACGATTAGCACAACACCAAATGTTTAGCCTCCCGAACATACGCAGCAGATAGGATTCCAAGGTAGCGCACCTAGTATACTTTCAAGTCAGCACAAAATGGCAACTACAACAAACAATTTGAAGCTACATACACCGAGATACAGCACTGTCATGAGCGACCAGCGTTGTCTCTGTAATTAAGTGTACTTTCATGTATGTTCCTCTGGCATGAGACTGTACTCACCCAGAGCAATTTGACCTGCAAAAGAATTATTGGCAAGACGGGTCACAGTGATAGTATTGACATATCTCTTGTCCAAATGTTAGTGCTGAAAAATACTTGTGAGTCATCAACAGTCCTTTAATGTTATCATGCTCACCCCAATCATATGTTATTACAACGAAGGCGGCAACTGCAAAACTGTAGCCAAGTTCAGGTTGAGACATTACTAGCTTCAACATCCGACTGCCCTCCACAAACCTGCAAAATAGCTGGCAAAACGATGTACATTGATGGATGGCCACCACGTGGGATCGTTTGAGACTATGGTCATATTGTTAGAGAATGGATGTGGGTGAGAAGTGAACTTGGTAAATGTATAGCGGTGACTCACATTCGCACTATATGTACGCCGTGCTCACTATATGATAGTTTGGTAACCGAAATATCAATAAGATCACAGTAAATATTTTGTGCACTCCACATCGATGCTGCAGTCGCCGGTTCTTGGATTTCTTATATAGAAAATTGATGAACTTGTTCGCTGGACTTCTAGCTCTGTCTGTGGCTAGGCTGGGCTGTGCCTAAAGTGTTTCATAACTCTTCGCAAGCAGAAGAGGATGAGATTCAGAGGTACGATAGCTTGTTTTGAGGTGTTGATGTGGATGCGACGACTCGGAAATCAGTAGATAGATTCCGTCTTTGGCAGAAGCAGTGTTGAACATTGAATGTGAACACATTTTTTAACTGATTTCTGGCCATTCTGTGGCAATGAATCCGATCTGAGAAGCAATGATATATGTAGCGCTGGTAATGCTAAAGTTCTACTTTCGCGATCGGGGGTTAAAACGTTAATTAGTGATGCGATCACGTACCATGATGAGTATGCCATCGACTAGATTCGAAGTGTTTTTGTTTCATTGGTACTAATACGCGGCAGTGTACAGAGGTGACGGGAATTACGTAATAGTGTAAGTTCAACTTCGCTGATATCGTTGCTAATCTGCTCGTGTTGGTCCTTGGAGGTACTACTCAATCTTACTCTATGTTTGAACTTTCAGACGCAAATTTGTGATTGGTAATCAACGCAAATGATGTATGGACTCGAGCCGGACACTATCAGACAAGGTACCACTACGACAGAAACAAAGGTATAGTATTTTGGGGAAAGCCTTTGGGCTTTAGACCGAAGCACGATTTTGAAACCTCCCACTATGGGGTCAAACTAAGCCAAGATACCCTGTAATAAGGAGCGATACACGACACATCGAGCATGAGCTTGGCCCCAAATGTAAAGAGTTTCGCGGACACTTACCAATCAAGTGGGCAATGCATAACGCATAAAAGGTTCGAGGACAGGATTGTCCTGTAAGTATGGAGCAAGGACCACAGCGTGTTTCCGCAGATATAGTACAAATGCGTCACTGTTCCAGCGCCCCATTGCCTTGACACTCTCGAAAGGGACCCCCCGCAAAAGATATTCTAATGTTCCCCCAATCCGGATCCCGTGTCCTTTTAGATCATCTCTACCCAATCTTTTCCCGGCATCCTCCAGGCACTTGAGAAATGCAGATTTCGTCAGGACCCGCATTCCGGTATGGTGACGCCAGCTAAACAGGGCATCAGATGCCCCAGGTACGTTAATGCGAAAGTGATTCTGTAGGGCCGTGCGAGGATCTGTGGGTCCCGATTGTGCGGCCCAATATACATCTTCGCCGTCATAAGCCGTTTTTGTGCGTGGCAGGTGAAAGGTAGCTACTTCGAAGCCGTTGCGATCAGTTTCATAGTGTAAGTCGGACACTTTAACGTGACGAAGGGGGTCAAAGGAGGAAAGGGAGGAGACTGTGAACTCCCCTGTCCTCGCAATGGTGTAGAAGGATGTCGTGAGGCAAGTGTAGACAGCCACGTGAAGTGGCGTGGAAAGATCAAGCACAGAGCGTAGGTCAATTAAGAGTTGAACAGTGAATGGAGAACGTTTTGGACGAGAGGATTGGGGAGGTGCTAGACGTTTCGCTCCCTCTAATGCAAGGGCGACTTGAGCTTGATCCAGGAACCATGGTAACCCATGGAGTAGGTGCCACTGCGCGAATCCCATAGAACTCCAGGGTGCTACCAGAGTATAAGCCCGCACAGCTAGCTACAAAGGCTAGTAGCAAGACAGATGACGCAGGGCAGCGTTGTTCTTCTGGGATGTTGCGGGAGTCACAAAAAACATGGAAGACTAGTAGCCCAGAGCCGTAGCACTCACGAGTGCTGACGGCGTGTGAGTGAGCTAGTACGGCTAATATGCGATCGATATCGGAGTCCAAGAGAGCAATAGGGGAGCCTGAGTGGTCTGTACAAGACCGGCTGGTGATTGGTGACCACAGGCGTAGCCGGTCACGTGCAAGACAATGTGGTCTTAAGATGGAAGGTCGAGGAGTCAGCAAGTGATGATAAGCACAAGGTACGCTAGTGCTAGAAGGGAAAGACAATATTGCAGCGGAGTCAAAACGGGAATTTTTATCCTCTCCAGCAGTCGCGATACTGGATGAGCTCTCCTCCCCAATCCCAATCTTGCGTCTCTTCAACCAAGGCATCAGAGCTATGGTTTGTGACTGTAGTGGCTCGTGAGGAGCTGCTACTGGAAATATCAGCATCAATGAGCAATGTAGAGAGTTCGGGAGGCAAGGTGATGGGAGGCAGAAGAAGCCTGGAGGATGGAAAGAGCCCCTGCGAGGGGCCGTCAGCGGGATTGTCCCAGCTTGCCACATAGCAGAGGTGGAAGGAGACATGACCGTGGTATTCTTCAAGCCGCTCGTGGATTCTGCGAAAAACTCTGTTGGTTTCCCAATTACGACTCTGTCCGTTGTGCCAGGCACTAACAACGCCTTGGTTGTCACAGAACAGACGGAAGTGGCATTCTTCAGTGGCTGGGAGGTTGTCGAGAATGGTGAGAACAAGTAGTTCGAAGCCGACGCATTCGGCCCAACCGATGTCACGTTGTCCGTTGTGCGTAGTCCAGTCCGAACACAACGTCCAGGCCCGCCAATGCCCATGGATGATAATTGCGATGCCAAAGGACGAACTGGCATCCAAGAACCCATGGATGTCATGGAAGGAGGAGGGGCGAGAGATGAAACGACCAAGGAAGGGGAGGTTGAGTTTGTTGTACCACCAGTCAAGGTCGTCAGAGAGATGTTTGACGGTGTGATGAGGCACAAACGGACGACGGGAGCATACACCAAGCATGGTTTCCAATGAGGTGAGATAAGCACGTCCTGCTGGGATGACCAGACAGGCGTGTAGAAGCTTGCCGTAGAGTTGTTGTACGGTAAGCAAAAAGTACTTCTTCCTCGAGCGCCAACCCAGAATTGCTGTTACAGGGATCTGTAACACCTACTAGGGCCCCAGCTCTCCCTACGCCTGCCCCCGCTCTGCTAGACTCCCCACGCGGCGGTGCGCCGCCCGCGCCTAGAAAGACAGTGGTCTGGACCGCTGTGACCCCGCCCCTGGCGCTATGACCCCGCCCCTGGCGCTATGACCCCGCCCCTGGCCTAGACGGCCTTGTACCTGATCCATGGAGGCTGTACGCCTCATGGACACCCTAGATCAGCGCATGTATACCACATGTCGCTTCATGAAGATCCGGAGCGCGCTTGGCGCTTCCTGTACCTATGCGCAGCTGCCCTTGGCGCAGCATGCTTGATCAGAGGTTAAGCCTCATGTATCTTATCTGAACCTCATGTCTGGTTATCATAGATTTACGATATACTATTGATTACAGACTGAGCTAGAATACTTGTAGTACTTCCCTATAAGTAGACACAGATTATTGTACTTAGACTTTACTTTAATCTACTAGGTTCATCCCCAGAACTTGCTCATCTAAGCCTACCAGCTTCCTTGTGTGAGACCGCACTTCTAAGTCGCCCCCTTACGACTTAGCACGTATCCGCTAGCCCTGCATCTCGACGAGCGCCGTCTTACCGAGATCGCCGGAGGAATCCTTGACGTTCCATCAAGGCCAGACCACGCTCAGCCTCAGTAGACTCACTCGAGTCGTCGCTGAGAAGACCTATCCTAGTTCGCACACGCCGACCGACGGTCAGCGTAACAATTGCCTCTTGATACTTCTGTTTCTTTGCCGGTGAAATCTCCACCGTGAGTCAAGTGATATTCCACAATAAACCAATGTAGAGTGTGGTGTACGCGAAGGCAGTGTCCTTGCTGAGCTCCCAGGGAATGCCCAAAGGTTGCAACTTACGATCAATGTCATTAAACGTGTAAGAGAAATCAGCATCGATGATGGATCGCTGAGACAAGGAGGACAAATCTTGTAGGGGAAAGGTATAATCTTCAGCGTGAACATCGTAGGAACCATCGGGAAAGGCAGAACCTTTGTACCATATGCGTCCTCCCGAGCATTGTTCTCCGTCGTGTTCCAGCTGCAACCGTAATAAATCTCGTTGATGATTGTGGCTAACGATGTGTTCTCGACGTATGCGAAAGAACAGATGATCATCGACTCATTTGGTGATGGGTCCGATGCCAACTGCACGCAAGAGATTGATTCCTGCATCAGCAATAAGGCCATAAATGCCAGCAGATGGTCCCATACCAAAGGAGATGCAGGTGTCCACGCAAAGTTGCCTGTCTGGCAAAAGAACGACGGCGGCAGGCCATTGAGAGGGATGAAGAGGTACAGTTCTATAAGCCTCTGCGACGTCCCGTGTTGCGGCTTGAGACCCGGGGGGTAATCCATGAATGATGGCACACACGGTGTCAAAGGTACCCCAGGTACAGGGGAAATCATCGGAACAGACAGAGGAGTTGACAGAATTACAGGGATATGTGACTGAAGGAACGAGCGGAAAGGAAAAGTTTTGGATAACACGATATTTGCCGGGTTTCCCCGACTTTGGTATGATAGAGATTGGGGACGATTGAAATGGTCCCAGCAAGTCAAAAAGTTCAGAAGGGGTGAATGGCCTGATGTATCGGCCAGTGCCAAGCTCGCGTTGAAGAATTTGTTCAAAAGCATCACGAAACAGTAAAAGCGACGGACTATTTGAAGGACATTGAGTACGAAGTAATTGTGGTATATGGAGGTTAAAACCAAAGCGAAAACCGTCTGAGACAGTAGGGTATTTCCAAGTAAGGTTGTATCCATGTAAACTATTTTCCCAGATGTTGACGTCATACGGTGTGAGTGGAAGCAACCGCCTGCGCGCAAGAACATTGTTGAGCGCCGTGAGACTTCCCAAGACAACCGGAACAGATGTGTCGTTCGTTGTGAGAATGGCTTGAACAACCACGGGAGCGCTGCCAGTCGACACAAAGTGGCTTGTCGGACTTGCGCAGGAGTAATTGTTTGTCGACGCGAGTCGCGAGGGAAGGGTGAGAGTTGTCCCAGAGTCGATCTGCTGTACATTCGATGAAGCTGTGTCCGTTGCTCCCCAGACAGACTGTGCACACGCCTGGGGAGTGAGGGCTGTGTGCGCTGGCTTGAAAACCCAAATGATTGAGTCGGTTCTCAGCCTGTCGTTGATGCAGATGAACTTTCGGATGTTTGGATGAATCAGATGAGTTGTGTTGGTGAGGAGATAGGGGACATTTAGGATTCCTAGAGCGGGTGGAATGGTTGTCATCCTGTGCAGGGACCAACATGCCATATCCACAAGGCAACATAGATTCCGAATAGTTGAGGGAAAGGCATGCACGCAACAATACAACCGCAACGCAATCGTACCGCAAAACGCGCCGCAAACGCCCAAGCACACGCAACGCAAATAGTAGAGCAAACAAAGGGTAAGATGCCACCCAAAAGACCGACATAAACGTAAATGAAACAAATGTGCAAACAAATCATCAGTTATAAGTCTTTAACAACTGAATACAAAGGACATACCTGACGTTCATCTTGAAGGTCGCGATTCCACAGCTGTCTAAAGACACAATCGAATGTGCAAAGTAAAGCGGTTTCGTCGATGATAGATATATCCCAGGCACCTTTAGGCAACGGAATGGCGTTGTGCCAGGCCCTGTGCTGTTCCTCTTGATAGATAAGGATGGCACGTTGTGCGATTGTGTCGAGGGAGTTCCAATATCTATGCAGCATGATGGCTCCCCAAAAATCTGCCAGCATGTTGACACACTGTACTGGCCAGTCGTATTCCTCCATTGCCTTGATCATGCGTGGAACCGCTTGGGCGAATTCGATGGTAGATAAGTGTCGATCCACGATGACTTTTGATGAGGGTTTGGTCATCCCCGCACTAACCCAAATGGTAGAGCCGTCTTCCCCGGCAGTGGGAACCATTCCTTCATCGTCCCGCGTCCTATAGTTAGCATGAGCGTCTGCGATGCCCACGTTCGTCCAATAGTATAACTCCACATAATGTCCTTTATCGATTTTTCGAAGAGCAAAGTCGGATACCATTATGTCGTCACCTGCGGAGTCAGGGCGTGGGCGTAGAGGGATGAGTACATGCTTTGATCAATTCTTTTTCTTCTCGTCATTCTTCGCTGCTTCTTCGTTGATGCAAATAGTTTCGCTAAGGCGAACATTTTCTTCCTCGGCTAAGTGTTGGTGTTCCAGGTGAAGACGCTGATCGTCCGCAACTTGTTGAGTCCATTGAGCACGTAAGGCTTCACTGGTTGTGACCCAGACCGCGCACAGCAGGTCTGCAGCTTGTGCATCTGTGGTAGTGGGCGAGACAAGAGTAAGTCTGCTGACGCTGTAAGCATCCGCTTCGAAGTCTGGACAGGGTAGGAGACTGGGGTCAGAATGAAGTCTATTCATGAGTTAGAGTTGTGTGAAGTAAACATAGAACAAGAGAATGTTTGTTAGTTCCGACGAAAGTCGAAAGACCCAAGTACAATTTTTTTGAGTAATGATACTAAGACGTGTGAGATGGTGGCAAGAAGAAAGAAGAAGTGGTTTGCATCTTTCTCGTAGCAGCCATAGACCTCATTCCTATCACGTGCTCGTGCCTCGTACTTTTATAGAATACAATATAGCATTTGTTCACTTGCTGGGTTCCCTCATATTCTAGCCTATTGCATCTTTGCTTCTCGCCTTAGCAAACAACATGCAGACACCCCACTCGGAATTCAATATCTCTGACTCTGTTTCAGATATCATCGGTGCACTACAAAACATAGTAAGTGCCAAGTTTCTTGAATTAGAATCTGTGTCAGCTGAGAATAACAATAATCCATTCCAGATCGCACGTTCGCAAGTGATTGTACGTCTTCTCCTTGGCCTATTCTGACATATGATCACATGTAATGTTACTGATGATGACCACTAGATTCCAGTCCTTGAAACTCCGTACTCCAGATTCCCCAATACCGACCACTCTACCATCGAGCTCGAATGTCAGAGCGTTGTCAACATTATCGCTCAGCACCAGCAGCAATTGGATACAGTTCTGCATGAGATCTCAGGCCTAGAGGCCGTGATGGATAGTGTCAAAAATCTTCATCAGGCAGTCCTTGAGAAGAAGGAGAAGATCACGCAGTCGATGAATCTTCACAAGGGATTGCTATCTGCTCTCTGGCGCTTGCCAACGGAAATTTTATCCCAAATATTCAATCACTGTCTCCCTGAAAACATAATATTTCTATCCCCATTGAGGCTCCGAGTCAAAACCCCCACACTGTTAACGGGAATATGCCGACGATGGAGGGAGGTTGCTGTGGGTACACCCGAATTATGGTGCAGGTTGTATGTGAAAACCGACAGCAGACACTGGGAGCAGGCAGCTTTGCACTATGACTTGTGGCTCAAGTGTTCACACGGGTGTCTGGTGGCCTCTCGTTAGAACTGGGGGACCACTACTCGACGACCAAACTACGAAGCCTTCTTCAGCCTCATGCGAGTCACATCACATCTTTTCACGTCCATGTTGGTTACTTCCGTGGCAGACACCCTCAGCTGTCTGCTACAGACCTCCCAGAACTTCAGGAGCTAGCCATACTAGGGACGACAAATCGTGATATTCCAAACATTGCACAATTTATCTCGCGACTGCCGTCTACTATGCGCACTCTCAAGTTCATTGGCACAGGAGCGTTTTTCGAAATTGGGCCCTTGTCTTCTTTCAGTCCTGTATGGGCTCACCTGACAGATATCCGGATCGCCGTATGTCACCCGAACGTATTCCTCCATTTGCTTCAGCTATGTCCCAACCTCTCCTCCTTATATATACACATAGCAACGGACCAAAGAGGACCCTTGAAATCATTCACGCACACCAAACTACAATCCTTATACATCCTTCATGATGCTTTGCACATGTTCCATTTACCTGGGCTGCTCAATGCTCTATCACTCCCCAATTTGTGCATGCTTCATGCTCACTACGATCGCTACAGTGAATCTTGGCCTCATGAGAATATGAAGGCATTTTTGGCACGGTCAAAGTGTCCCCTGGAGACCCTGACTATCGGTCGAGCGACGATAACAGATGCGCAACGAGAGGAATATGTTTCTCTCATTCCTTCGCTCAAAGTAGTGGATCATAGTAGTTTATGATTTTCATGATACTAGGTGGCTACATATCGTTTCTGGGCTGTTTTTTCGAAATGAGCGAATAGTAGCGGTTCTCAAAGTCGAACCTTGAAAAAAATCATGGTGAATTCAGATGCTGCCGATACGGCAGGTTTTGAACTCCGACCTGCCCTGCCAGCGTGCTCAACATCGTTGCTGCTGGTGTCGACGCTGCTAAAGCTTTAATCTGATTCTTAATCGCTGTCAGTAGGAATATCCTGGATCATGTCACGATCCAATCAAAGAGGTCGAACCAATACATCTGCTGGTACGGACACCTCAAAGAAGTGTACTATCCATTGGGAGGGGGTCCGTAGTGCTCGTACTGAACGCCTACTTGCCTGGTGCAAGGAAAATGAAGACGCACGCATCAAGCTTTTCTCTGATTCTGTAAAGGATGCCAAGGAGCAAGGTCGGAAGAAGAAGCAGAGTGGTACTTCGAGAGATGTTGTGTATTCACAGGTCGCACAAGCTGTATTTTCGAACGATGAGGATCTGGAGGTTCAACGACTCTTCAAGGAGGACCCCAAGGCATTCATAAAACCAGTTTCAACCCGTTTCAGCACGTAAGTATCTAGTTCCTGTGTCATCCATCTTCCCACTGGAATCACTGATCAGATGTCTCAGACTGAGGAAAAAATACAACGAATTTAACAAGGACCTCAAACAGTCGGGAGCAGGAAAGACATATGCGGAGCTGCAAGAAGATCCAAAGATCAAGTCTTTGATCGGTAAGTTTCAGCTGCTGTTGATCTGCGCCTGTCTGAACCATGTCTCCGTCAGATACAAAGCTCGAAAAATTTCCCTGGTGGCCTGAGCTTCATGGCTGGTGGCGGACAAATCCAGCCTTCAATCATGCCTTCTCTACTGCGGGTGCAGGGCAAGATTTTGCGTCTGCTGCATTGGAACATTTCAATATTTCCAAGCACCCACAACCACCGGCTACAGTTGACGACAATGCTCGCACGGATGATGATGGAGACATAGTCGAGGTCGATACTCGCAGTGTGGACGATGGTGCCGTTGTCGATGTGGCAGATGAAATGATAGTCGACCAGCCCCCCCACATAGAATCACAATCATCAGCATCATCATCGCTTGTACCTTTGGACCGTGGTCCTAGCAACACACCTGACTCATTCTCACTGCCTCCATTGCCACACTGGTTCCAACGATCTCAGCTCCCTCCCATCTCAACTTCTGACGCACTTGGAGTGGTATCATTGAACTCTCCTGAGCGCTCGCCAGTACCCAATCGCAGTGCCCCCGATAATCCATTGTCTGTTTTTTCCGATTTTAGGGAATCTTCACCTAGCTATCAGTCTACACCTATCGACTCAGAAGACTCAGATATTGGTGCCAGCCGAGCACTGCGGTCTCTCCGTGTCAGCTCGCTTAAGGGAAGTCGTGAAAGTTCACCTTCTCTTGCTACAAAACGGTCTTGTCCACCTACTCGAAGTGCATCACCTCAGTTTAGTCGTCCCCCCTCTTCATCACGCAAACGCCCTGGCGGCAGTGCTCTTGACCAGACCTCTGCCACTGCAGAAAAAATGTCCCAAACGGCAGACTCTCTAATGAAGCACCTTGAGAGCAAACGTGAGAATCGTGTCGAGCACGAAAGCTACAAACGTATGAAACTTCAGGGTGACATTTGGGCTCGTGATCTCAAGGCCCGCAGTGCTCGTGATGAGCGGGAGCATGTGATGCGTCTTGCGGAACAAGACCATCTCCACCAGCAGGAGAGGATGACTCAACAAATCGAGTTTGCAAGACTCGAGCTTGAGCTATCTCGTGCACGTCGAGAAGAGGAGGAGGCTCGGATTCGTCGTATTGCTATGGAGCGTGGTTCTGATCAAAACTGAAGTAGGTCTGTACTGTGTCATCATGCGACTCGTTTTTAGGACTCGGAAATGCATGCCATTTTGTACTCGATCTCAAGCGTGACTACACACAGCAAACACTACAGGTTTGGGATAAGCGCTTTGAGCTCAAGCGCAAATTTCCCTCGTTGGGTACTAAAGAGGACGAAGAACTTCTACTTGACAAACACATCTTTAATGTGTTGCGATTCGCTCCAATGAGGAAAGCAACCGCGCCTTTAACACATTGCGAAAATCCTGCCCTGCAGTTCCAATGTAAGTCTGATCACCTACTGCACCACCCCCTTGCTGATCATCCTCTCCTGCGTCACCATCAGCCCGCCTCAACCTCTGAGTTTGCTGATAGAAACAGATGTTCGTGTCTTCATGGTGTGTTTTTTCTTCGATTTCGACAATTAGATTGTGCAGAACAAAGCACGAACGGATCCACATGTTTGCATAGTCGAGGTCCTTCTGACTTTGGATTGGGATGCGAAGCTCCCGCAGTGATTGGAACCGGCCCTTGATAGAGCCGAAAAAATGCTCTGAACGAACACGGACCTAGACATTGGGTAAGTACTATGAATGTATATTGCCATTCATACTCACTGTTGATAGGTTATAGTTGAACGTCTTTTGGTCCAGCGTCAAACTCCCTCCCACTGGCCGTTTATACGGCGGCACACACCAGGTTCGCGCAGCGTACGCCGAATCTGCCCACAGCCACTCTCCTGCACCGAAAAACGACTCGGGATCCCGGGAAACTCTTGTCCGCGCAAATATGTTTGAGTCGTGGAGACTTCCAGGTACGCCAATGACATAGTCCACGATACGAAGATTATGAGGGAATATAACAACCTTTTTGATGGTAAGTCACCACGCTGCACATCGAACCGACACTTACCTGCGCTGTTAGAGAATAGTCTGAGTTCTTGTCGAAGAAACCCTCCCCATGCCAACCTGGCTTCTCGTGTAAGGGGGACGGAGTCCCATCTACAGAAAGAAAGCCTCCACGCCATTCATGACACGTCTTACTTTCGACGTAAGTTTTCGCCCGCTCTCGCTCAATTTGATCCTCGTGATCAAGCGGATCAAAATGAATGGCCCGGTCATGAAGTTGAAGGATTGCGATCATCACCCGTTTGTAGCAGTTGTAGACGGTCCCCACGGACACTCCAGCCCAGTCAGAGATGTCTTCAGTGGTTGCGGCATTGCCATAATGGCCAGCGCCGTTGAGAAAAATGGCGAGCTGTATTGGGACAGGGAGCTGGGGGTTATTCGAATTGTTGTAGAAGATGGCATGTCCTTGAATCAACTTCGTAAGTTCATCAAACACGTCCGCATCAACACAGAGCTTGCGACGGAATTTTTCAGGTGAGAATAGAGCCCACTCCTCCAGCAAGTGTAGCTGAGGCGCGCGACTTAGAGACGGACGGACATCAAGGACTCGACATTTCTCTACCTCGTCATGCAGTGCAGTGATTGCATCGGCAAACTGAGTAAAGACTCGTTCGCACATATCTGGGATATCGCGCGATAGGAATTCGGAGTACGCTGTGGAGAGTGACGTCAGAGAGTTGTTTGACAAGGCAGATGCGATCGACGACGTGGGGGACACTGGGGACGTTGGCCATGTTGGTGATGCGGACCGTATACTAATATCCGAGCCACTATGGCCATCGACAGCATCGTCAGATTCCTTATCATCGTCTTCATCGTCGTCTTCATCTAGTAGCTGATCTATCATAAACTCGATTAGTTCCATATATCGCGCGATGGTAAGGTCATTTCTGGTTTGTTTGAGGCTGCGAAGCAGCTTCTTTCGATCTGATTCACGGGGCATATTGATGGAGCTGCAGAACGCTATAGCAGATGGTACAGCTTGAAAGCTTAGGGTTTGTTTGTCAGCGTCGGAGCTTCAATACTACCGGCAACGCGCAAATTTCTGACCTTCCAAAATTCTACGAAGTCAACTTTGAGAACCGCTAAATAATAATTGACTGATTTTGACCTTACAAGGATTGCGCAAAAATACTGAAACTTTATTCCTCCGTCTCGTTACATAATACTGATGCTGTAGCCCATTTATCGTTTATCCTATAGTACTCAATCCTATAGCATTTGTTTCACTCGCCAAGTTCCCTCGTGTTCTAGCCTATTACATATCTACTTCTCACCTTAGCCAACAACATGATGATGCAGACAGCCTACTCAGAACTCAATGTCTCTGATTCTGTTTCAGATATCCTCGGTACGCTACAAAATATCGTAAGTGCTCAGTTTCTTGAATTAGAATTCGTGTAAGTCAAGAATCACAATCATCCGTTCCAGATCGCACGCTCGATTGTACGTTTACTCCTTCGCCTATTCCGACATATCAAATGTCATGTTACTGACAATGACTAGAATCCAGTCCTTGAAACTCCGTACTCCAGATTCCCCAATACCGACCACTCTACCATCGAGCTCGAACGTCAGAGCGTTATCAACATCATCGCTCGGCGCCAGCAGCAATTGGATACAGTCCTGTACGAGCTCTTGGGCCTGGAGGCCGTGATAGATAGCGTTGTCAGCATCATCGCTGAGCGCCGGCAGCAATCGGATGCAGTTCTGGACGACACCTCAGATCTGGAGGCCGTGATGGATAGCGTCAAAAATCATCATCAGCAAGTCGTCGAAAAGAAGGAGAAGATTATGCAGTCGATGAATCTGCACAAGGGACTCCTATCGGCTCTCTGGTGCTTGCCAACAGAAATTTTATCCCAAATATTTAACCACTGTCTCCCTGAAAACATATTTTTTCTATCCCCGTTGAGCCTCCCAGTTAAAGCCCCTATACTGTTAACAAGAATATGCCGACGATGGAAGGAGGTTGCTGTGGGTACGCCTGGATTATGGTGCCGGTTGTATGTGGAAGCCGATGACAAAGACATGCTGAAGGCAGCTTTCTGCTATGACTTGTGGCTCAAGCGTTCACGAGGACGTCCACTCTCGTTAGAACTTGGGTACTACTACTGGACCAAACTACGAAGCCTTCTTCGGCCTTACATGAGTCAAATCACATCTCTTCACGTCCATCATGTTGATTACTTCCGTGGCAGACACCCTCAGCTATTTGCTACAGACCTCCCAGTACTTCAGGAGCTAGCCATACGACTCGGAGAGATGTCAAATGATGATATTCCAACTATTGCACAATCCATCTCGCAACTGCCGTCGACTATGCGCAGTCTCAAGTTCACTCCTTAAATACCTACATACAAATGGACCAAAGAGGACCCTTGAAATCATTCACGCACACCAAATTACAATCATTATGCATCCTTTACGACGCTTCGCTCACGCGCACTCTATCTGAGCTGCTCAATGCTCTATCTCTCCCCAATTTGCATGCGCTTGAAGCTCGCTACAATGCATCTTGGCCTCATGAAGATATGAAGGCATTTTTGGCACGGTCAAAGTGTCCCCTGGAGACTCTGACTATCGGTGGTGGAGCGACGATAACAGATGCGCAGCAAGCGGAATACGTTTCCCTCACTCCTTCCCTTAAAGTAGTGAATCACAATAATGGTTCATACTCTTGATAATCCTGGGTAGCTACATATCTCGAGAAATGACGTTTCTGGGCTGACAGTAGAACAATACAATGCGACTAGAAGGAGAATAGCATAATTTGCAAAGCCAAAATTGATCAGCGCAAAAGCATCAGAAATTAAAATATCCATCGAACACTCCCCAGTTTCTTGCCGCGCACCACTGTACCCAAACAAGTGCCTTGCAGTCAGCCTTGTGACCGTCCACCCAGGCTTGCTTCTGGCAAGCCTAAGGAAGAGCTTGAGTCAGACACATGACTTGAATTGGAATGTATCACCACCAACGCTTACCTCTCCACAGTATGACGTTTGTTTGCAGCGGGAGCACAAGAGCAAGTGCGTATTATGAGAAGTATTCTCCTCTTTACCACAAGACCCACAGCATCTTGATTGGGTGTTCGAGTTGCATGCGGCCACATCATCGCTGGCCTTCAGCAGCTGCTCAAGCGAGCATGGTATGATTTTGATAATGGAGGGTTCTTCGACCCGTATGCCGACGGTCATGTCTAAGAAGCTATGCTGTTCGCCATACAGTACAGCAACTGTGTGGCCTGGCTTGATTTGCGGAGTGAGCGTGTGTCCGCGGTCGTCTGTGTATAGGCCGATGGTGACGACTTGACCACATTTATCCTTTACGCGTAATAGGACTCGGAAGAGACCGTAGGAGCCGACGATCTCACCAAGGAAGCACCAGTGTTGTCTGGGTACAATTCTGTACGGGCCCTCGACGTAGTAGGTGGGGTCAACATGATACTCATGCGGAAGGTCGCTGAATGTTGGAAAATTGACATTATTGCGCAAGAGGCTGTCAGAAGTCTTTGTTTCTAGCATTGTTGCGGTTTGATGCAGTAAACTGATTCAAGTTGAGCTTGTCCGAATAGAGATCAAGGAAGAATATCCAAACGTACGAGATTTTGTATGTTTGAAGCTGCTTCAACTTCAATCTGAGTTGAACGAGGTCACGATTCTGAGGAGACGAGAATGTTGGGGCAATGGACACTCTGGAAAGAAGACTGTCGTAGACTCCGTCACAGGGCGTGTTGGTGGCGTATCTAGTACGAGTCCTGATAGAAAAGAGCAACTAGTAAGTCTACCCTAAGTCAGTACGAGTCTAGAAACAATGCACAAGGACGAACATACCTCTGGGAGTAGGAACAAACACTGGTGGAAAAAGATACATGTGCGAGATACTATCAATAAGATTCTGAATGGTTACATAACAGTGGCTGCGTGATGATGGCGAATCACTATACAGTTCCAAGAACCAACGTAAGGAAGCGAACCCTCTTCAACATCAGGCGGCGAGGAAACGTGGGAGGGTTACCTGACAGGTACACATCGTCAAGAGAAATGACGGGGAGGCGCGCGAGCGTCGGGAGGATTCAGGAAGATGCCTCTCAGGTAATTTGATGAGGACCTCGCTGGGGAGGCAGGTGTCTTGGAATAATTTCATGATACATAAAACCGGGTCGGAAAGTGCTGCCAAGGGTGCGTGTAAGTGATAGTACCTGCAAGGGTTGGGGCAGCAATTTTTAGGAGGACTCGAACAAGGCAAAAGGGAAGCTGAGAAGAAAAATCTTTCTATATTTGATATGCCACTGGTGAGAAAGGAGTAGAATGGAATGACGAAAATGCACCGTTCCAATAATCAGTACTCAGTCTTTGTTGGCCTATGGCCCGGGATTGCTCCGATACCACGACTGCATTTGATTGGGAGTGTCCCAAATACTGGCTACATTCCATTCACGGTCACAGATATCGATCGCAAAATGAAGATATGATATGATATGGTAAAATTTAAACTCACTTCGCACCATAAAGCTTTAGAATCCAACAGAACCAAACAATCGCTACCTGAGTTGTTCATCAACTTGAACATCTCGCAAACGACATGCAGACAGTCAACTGGAACGCAAATCCATCCGCGGTTTCGCACATCATTTCTGCAATGCAGAACATAGTAAGTACTTGCAAAATTTCTAAACACGTCGCTCTGCGAATAATAACCAATCGCTTCAGCTACATTCACAAACAACTGTATGTCAATATTTATTTGTATATATCTGTGTTATTTAAAAATGGCAGATGCTGGACCTCGACACCCCGTACTCCCGAGCCGCACTACTTAATCCTAATCAATGCGTAATCGAGCTCGAAGACCACTGGAGCATCAACGCCATCATCACTGAACGCAACCATCAATTAGATACAGTTTTGCACGAGATCTCAGACCTGAAAACGATTATGAATGGCATCCAAAACCTTCACAGACAACTCGTTGAAAAGAAGAACAAGATCATTGATTCCATTAATTCGCACAAGAGACTTAAATTGGCTCTGTGGCGCTTGCCAACTGAAATTCTATCCTACATTTTCGTTGACTGTCTCCCGGAAGACAGATACTTGTCGCCCGCATCAAGACAGGCTCCCATACTGTTGACTAGAATATGCCGACGATGGAGGGAAGTTGCTGTGGGCATGCCCAGTTTATGGTGCAGGCTGCGTTTAAAAGTGGAGCATAATGACTGGCAAAAACGAGCCTTTTGCTATGATGCGTGGCTCAAGCGAACCTCAGGCCATCCGCTCTCGCTGGCACTCCGCTGCTACAATAATTGGACCCCACTAGTACGAAGCCTTCTCCATCCTTACATCCATCAAATCTTTTCTCTCAATATCGATTTTCAACGAGTCGAGCAACCTGAATGCGTATTCAAAGATTTCTCAGCACTTCGGGAGCTCATCATTCCAAATCATATTACATTCAAGCTACTATGTTCCTTCGCTCCCTTATGGGCCCACTTAACAAAAGTCGAGATCTTGGTAGATAAACCAGATGCATTCCTCCGTCTGCTCCGCCTATGTCCCAACCTCTCCTCATTAACGAATTACGCGGAATTCTTCCAAAAGAAGTCCTCGAGGCCATTCACGCACCCCAAGCTTCAATCTCTGCATCTTTATGGCGATCCTTGGAGTTCCAGAGAACCATTACTGGGCATGTTCGATGCTCTGTCACTCCCCAATTTACGCGTACTTCATGTTTGGAATACATCAAGCTGGCCTCATGAAGAGTTCAAGACATTTCTGACAAGGTCAGCATGTCCCCTGGAGAGCCTGGTTTTCGGCAGTACAGTGATTACGACTGTGAAGCAACGAGCGGAATACGTCGCCCTTGTTCCTTTCCTCGAAGTAGTAGTTCGGAATCCTAGTCGTACTCTTATATGTTACAAGTGATTCATGGCTCTTTATGACAAGGAGTACCGTGAATTGATACATAGTTCGTATGCAATGACAGAAAATCACGCAATACACACTCGGAATAGCATCTGTTTCAGCGAGCACAGAATTTGGATATAGGAATGGTACTTCAGCGTTGGTTGGTTTCTGATATGCTCCCTGATAATGAAAGATCAAAATGTCATATTTTTGAATGGACTGACCTCCCGATACCGCTAGTTTCGACGCAGGTATATGAACTCCTCGCACTGTTTTTAGTGCAGTTTGCTCGAAAACAAAACACTTTCGTGACTCGGGCCACTGTAGAAGAACGATCATCGGGACTGTTGATATCTCGAGCGCTTTAGGGGGAGTAATCACGATGAATTTGACATAAATGTAGGGAGGACAACGCATATGTACAACGAGCAACGATTACAGTAACGAGATACACGATCGAATTTGCTTAGAAGCAGAAACAAAACCGACCATGCTGTCCGGGATTGGGGGAAGGAGGAGGAGAAACATAATCCTCGTCACGTATCAGGCTATCATCATCCCTTGGAGCACCCGCTGCGGCGTACCGCTATATATGGACGTATGAGATTTGGAATACAACTAGAAAGGATGAGACATGCATACCAGTCTACCCGGCGCGAGAGGGACATCGACGATAGTCGGCGACACAGGACCTGTGTGAAGGGGCCACCAAGTTGATAGTCGATGTAAGCGGGATGAGAGGGTTGGGGAAGTGCTGATGGCAGAGGATTGGATGGTGGGTGGTGCTGGTATGGAACGAGACTAAAAGAACGTAAGTCGAATACACAATGATGGAAGTCCCCACTCACGTTTTTGTCTGGTGTCATCCTAAGTGGATGAGGTAAAGGGGATGTAGCAGGGAACTGCAAGGGAAGCGTCGAGTCAAGTGAGAAGCAAGCAGGTAAAAGAAACATACGTCTAAGGGATTACGAGGCTGATCAGCGCGAACCGCATCCGTGCGAAAAGAGGAAGAAAAGAGCTTGCGTAAAAAGCGGAGATGAATATGTGGATCCCTGGTAGGTAAAGGTCGAGGGATGGGGGACATGACAGGCACTATCACTGATTTACGGCGCACGGGACGACGTGTTGCATCGAACTGTAATGAAGAACAGTGTAATGAAGATAAAGGAAAGAGCAGAACCACGTACGTCGAGCAAACAAGAATAAGATGGACGTTCAGATCTACTGGTCTGTTAGAATATTAGCCTATAAACGATAGATATATAGAGGGAATACATACATTAGGTTGCGGTTCTTCTGCAAGCTCAATGGTAGCAAGAATATTTGCTGGAATGTTACATATGTAGATCTTGGTGTCACGGAAGGTCGAGTAAGCCAGTTGGCAGGAATCGGGCGAGAGGACGAGGGTCCTGGGGGATTCAACGTCGAATGAAGCGAGGAGCTGGCGGGATTCGAAGGTCCATAGCTTGATGGTATTGTCGTAGGAAGAACTGGCGAGAAGAACACAATCAGATGAGAGTGCTAGACTAATGATGCGATAAATGTGTTGGAAAGGAGCCCCGACAGTTTTAAGTGTCGATGCGTCAAACTCGTGGATTGTAGTGAGGTCGTCCTGGAATATGGTTACAATGGTTTTGTGTTTTGTTGTCCATAAAACCGGGTACGTCGACTCCGAAATGCTAGGGATAGACTTTTGTACAACCAACTTCTGTGCTTGAACATCCCACACCTGGAGGCAGTGGAAGTGTGCTCGATCTGATATCTGAACTATCGCCAGCTTCCGAGAGTCTCCTGAGAGTCCAAGTTCTCTTAAGCCAGGAATATCATCGCTAAACTTGAATGGACCAGACACAAGTTTGCCTGTATCCAAGCTCCATATCCGCGCTGTCCCATTGTATGACCCACTCGCTAGCAATGTGCTGTCCGCCGAGATGTCGATGCAGGTGATACCCCCAGTGTGAAATGTTCTCACGATCCCCGTCTGAACCTCACTGACTTTGAGTTCCTCATCACTGGCAGAGACAACCCATCGACCATCCCTCGATATCCTCACTGCTACTATACCATGCTCACTAACCTCCCGAGCCTCCTCAATCTCCTTACCCTCCCGCAGGTCCCATTGCCGGATGGTCTTATCGCCTGATCCGCTGATCATTTGCTTACCGTCGGAAAAATAGGAAATGCACGAAATATGTTTGTACTCCTCAGGATCCCGCAAGGAATGTTTCCATGGTCCATGTCCCTCCAAGGTCATGACTGGTGTCAAAATCAATTTGTTTTCTGGTGCATCGAGTTGCAAGCTGGAAGCCATCACAGCTGTATTCGCCAAACAGGCTGGCAAGTATGTCGGTAAATGGATATGTTCGCAGGTCGGTCCTCCTTGTGCTCTGTAATGCTAGGTTGACGTTGCGTAGTTATCAACTCTCACTCGTTCGAGAGCTGCCGCACTTTGCCTGTTCAAATCAATCGTCAGTCCATCCGTGCATGATATGCTCATATGGGTTTTGGCTTTACCAGGATCCAGGCGAGGTCTAAGAGCGATGACACGAGGATTTTTTTAAAGAAAAGAAGAGCGGTGATAGGCATATGGGCGCGTTTCATCTCTTTAAATCTTACAGACGGCTGTGCATTGTATAACATGTCCTCTTTAAACTTCACCGCTAGACGAGGACGAACCTGATCAAAGTTAGTGTGCTTGCGCGCGACATCGGAGGTTAGTCAAGTACCTGTTTTTGTCCCTCTCACTCATTTGAGAGCTGCGCACGTTGCCTACTCAAATCAATCGTCAGTTCAAAAGTGCACGATGCTCATATGGGTTTTGGTCTTACCAGGATCCTAGCAAGGTCGAAGAGCATATAGGCGCGTTCCATCTATTTAAATCTTCCAGATGGTTGTACATCGTACGGCATGTCCTTTTTAAACTTCGTTGCTAGACGAGGAAGAACCTGAACAAAGTTAGTGCACCTGCGCGACATCGGAGGTTAGTTAATACCTGTCTTTGTGCCATTTCTCTCTCTTACTCAACAGAGACCTGCCGCACTTTTCCTACTCACATCAATCGTTAGTTCATCCGTGCGTGATGCTCACATGGGTTTCGGTCTTCTAAGAAGGTCGAAAAACCTTGATGAGCATAAAGGGGCGTTGGGTCTCTTTGAATCGTACAGACGACTGCGCACCGTACGGCATGTCCTTTTAAAACTTCGCTGCTAGACGAGGATGAACCTGATCAAAGTTAGTCACTCATGCGCGACATCGGAGGTTAGTGGATGCCTGCTTTCGTATCACTTGTCTTTCTCATTCATTCGAAAGCTACCGTACTTTGCCTGCTCAAATAAATCGTCAGTTCATTCATGTGTGACGCTCATATGAATTTTGGTTTTACCAGGATGCTAGCAAGGTCGAAGATCATATGGTGCGTTTTATGGCTATATCTTCCGGATGGCTGTGCATCGCCTTTTTAACTCCATACTATTTCTAGATTCAGTCGAACCAAACGATGGGACCCAGATGGTTTTTTGAAGTGGGATGCTACGGTTCATACTTCGCCACCAGACGAAAACAAACCCTATCAAAGTTATGTTTCGATTGTCTTTGCGACGTGGCTGGTTGCACTTGTCACTGTTGCTAAGCGGAAGCACAGTTTGATGTAGTGCGCTCGCGTGCGATATGGATCCCATGCTCTTGACCACAGTATGTCGACGATGGCGGGAGATTGCAGTGGACATGCCGAGTCTATGGTGCAAGCTACGATTGGAAGTCGGGCACGGTAACTGGCAGCAGAGAGCTTCCTGCTATAACTCTTACCTCAAGCGATCACGAGGACGTCAGCTGTCGTTGACACTCGAGTGTCATAACGACTGACGGGAAGGAGCTACGAAGCCTGCTCCAGCCATACGTCAATCAAATATCGTCTCTGTCTTTTGGGTTATCCTCTGGTGCCAGCTCCTGTCCAGTGGTGGCGGCGGACTTTGGGAGACTTGAGAAACTGGTTATGTATATGACCAGTTTTGATCCTGCACTAACTATCGCCCACTCTGTCGCCCACTCTGTCGCGCAACTGCCGCCCAGCATGCGCACTCTCAAGTTAACGGACCTGTGGCTTGACCTCAAAATGTTGTCTGGCTTCAATCCTCTCGCATGGGTCAATCTCACGAATCTCGAGATCGTGATAGACGCACTAGATTCCTTCCCATGCTTGCTCCGCCTGTGTCCCAACCTCTCGTTACTGACAATAGTTGGAATTTTCAGGTCGACGGTCGAGACGCCGGCAAAATCATCGCACTCCAAACTTCGATCCTTGCGCATATCCGGGAATCTGGATGTGGACTGGATCGGAAGTCTCGGGCTATTCACTATAATCACGCTCCCCAATTTATGCGTGGTCGAGGTTCGCAATGTAGGTGAATGGCCTCATGATATGTTCAAGGGGTTTTTGACACGGTCATGGTGTCCCCTGGAGAGTTTGATCTTTGGTGGTGGAGTAGTGACTACGGGTCAGCAGCTAGAAGAATACCGTACCCTTTTTCCTTCTCTCTCATTAGTGACAGATCCTACGCGTTGCTCATTTTACTTTTAACTTGGATAGACTCGGACAGTTGTTTCGTACTACGTAGTTGATGAATGATGATAACGAGATTACTATGCTATAGCCCATACTTATCCTTCGCCAGCCCTTCAATAGAATATGTTCGTGAGCTATGATGCACGAGTTGTGAAATGTGTAGGCGTCTAACTGAAATCAAACATGACTCATTCAGTCCACGTTCCAGCCTCGTGTTTTGAATAGTAGCGCTCTTACCTTGGCAGTAGGGTGGGTATATCGCTAATATACCTTTTAATTGCATGCATGAAGACCTAGGGGAATCAAAGGGGAATGGCCATAATTTGCACCCGCAGGGTCTGATCATGTATTAGCTGTACTATAATATTTGTGTATGTGACAAAAATGCATTATTAAAAGACAGGTGCGTTCCATCCCGACCAGTCATCTACTAGTCCACATCTCATTCCTCCCACGACGGATAACCCACGCGATAAGACATTACATCGTACAGTCTGCAGGTGACATGTCGGACATAGAAATGTATATGAGGGCATCAGCGCTGTGCATGCGCTGGTCGAGATGCCAGAGATGGAGGTGCATGCGCGTGGCAAGGATCGCAAGGACGCATACCTGAAAGCTGTAAGTGTTTGGGTGTTATTAGTAGTAGGAATTAGCGACAGAAGTTGGAAGTGCATACATTTCGAGGGCAGTGTAGTATGGGGACTGTATGTGTGGAACATCAACGACTCGATCATATTGAAGGGTACCGGGAGGTTTACACACGTTGGGAAATAGCGCTGGCACGAGGATGTTGACGGTCCGAGAGAACTTTTGGAACAGTAAGTCATCACCGATGAGTACGGAAACATGAAACATGCAAAGTCCTGACTCACGGAGACCACACACATAATAGAATATGTTATGCTTCACCAAGATGGATTGCAGAGGGCCCTTTGTCGACCGCCAGCTCTGTATGGCACGTGTGAGTGTGAGAATGATCAATACTGGGGCGAGTGTTAGTGAGCACGCATTTGCAATCTATCCTCCTAGTTCCCAGCAACATACCCAGTTGAAACGCAAATAAGAAAATAAACGATATGAAGTATAGAACACTGCTTGACCTCGAGGGGCAACTAGGGGTGCCCGGGATCGCGCTAGTCGTAACTGTGGAACAGAGTGAATATGTGCGAGTAGTAGCAGGAGAATGTGAGGTCACAATATGAGGTGGCAGTGGTGGCAAAACGAATGCTGACGGATGTCACGACCATAGCCTGGCTTATTCAGCAATCATGAGATTGGATGCGTTGAGGGAATGGGACTCACGAAAGCAGTGGACAGCAGGCCCACGAGTACGATCCTATTGTTGTTCCAGAGCACATATGTTCTAATCATGAAAAAACCTCGATGAAACGGATGAGGAATGCACATATGTTATGTAAGAAGCAAATACATTCAGAGCAGATGATTGATATCTGACTGAAAGCTGTGAGAGGAAGAGCAGCACTCGACAAGGACACGTATGGAGCATGTAATGTGTACGTACATGAGTAGACATTGATCAACATCTGACATTTCTGGCGAACTCATGCGGTAAGTATCAGTGTAAGTCCACTGTATATCCACATACATTGGGGTTTTTGATCGGAGCAAAGTTCACTGAAATACAATACGTCAATTGTTGCCAGGAAGATTGTGCCGGAGTTCATCGACGCACGATATAGGTGCATGACGATCAGAAAAAAGGGGAGATGTCGTGTCATGATGTAAAGGGCTTTTACTTTGGTCCAGCGCGACCGACGCAGAAATTTCCACTTTGAACAACGTATTGTCAGTATCCACACTGAGGTTGTCACGGAATGAGTCATTACTTCTTCGTGAAGTGCACATGCATAATCACAAGTCTGAATAAACAAGTTTAACGGCGGACGGAAAAAGATCAGGATCAGCTTACCCAGAGTGTCGTTATCGACACTAAGCTTTCAAGTCAGAACGAGGAAGAAGCCGTTCAGATGATACGTACTGTACAGGTACTGATGGAATATGATATGTTAACTTGCTCTCGTGTTATTAAGAAAGCAACGCACCGCTAATCGCTGCAGACTCGTGGCCGCTGAGATATCGACTGCCGAATACTCCGCCTGCATTTGTTTGATACTGAGTGAAGAAACGGGATCCGAGCACACACATCATGCACCTTCTTATATCTGAAGGAGCCCGGCACGATCGGGGCGTAAATATTTGAGACAGCAGGCTAGCCTGGCTAGGCTTGGTCGATATTTTTAATGTGAGTCGGACTCCGGCGCATCAGTAAACCGGTGAGACCAGCATGAATTGGCGTGATTAGAATGCTTTATGTTGTTATAGAATGGCATCGGGATCAGTACGATACTGCGTGCATTAAACGATGACTCGGAACTGTTGACTCAGTCCCTGGGTCGAAACAATACCAACAATCTGAGGATAAGTCGACCTTGCATAGACTCATGACCAGTCTGCAACGTACATCTTTTGAGAGTGGGGCAGTCAAAGTTAACTGGGGAAAAAATGGCGAAGCACGGAGTTCGAATTTTAGTTTTGTCTTACCGTACGGGAGTCTGACACAGTAGTGGCCGTTTTGCTGCATCTCTATGTAACCCAAACCATGAGTTTCCTGTAATTGTCCACCAACCTCGATTGAACTTCGAGTTCAAGTCTTCATCAACTTTAATCCCGCGCCAGTACTAACAACGTGCAGAAGTCGACTCGAAAGAGGACATCAACTTATCTCTCCCCGGCCTTGGATATCGCTAGTGCACTGCAGATCATCGTTACAATTGAGCAATGGTTTGTCTATGTGGATTTATCTGATGTGATATTGACTAATTGTCAGATTCTAGATGTCGAAACCCCATACACCCCAGTTCCTCCAATCACTGCGCAACCGAGCTTAAAGACCAGAGCATTAGTACCATTATCACCGACTGCCAGCAGCAGCTAGATGCAATTTTGCACGACATCTCAAGTCTGGAAACAGTCATCGATGAAATCAACAATCTTCACTGATAACTGACTGAACAGGAGCCAAACCCAAACATCATCCTGTCCATCACCTTGCACAAGCGACTCGTATAATCTCTTTGGTCCACTTATCTTGCAGCACAAACCAGGTATGCCCACGACAACCTTCATCTATCATCAACATATTCTGGTCAAGTTTCAACAGGATGGGGACCAGCTTTGATGTGGCGACAAATACCTGTCTTCCGGGAGACAGTGAACGGATAAGATGACAAGTAGCCATTCAACCCCAGAAGACAGCGCGAACCTCCCTTCTGCCTTGACGTATGTATCAAGCAATCATGAGGACGTCTGCTCTTGTTGGCACTCGCCTACTACTCTTTTGTTCGAAACTCGACCCAGCTACGAAGACTCCTTCAGCCTTACATGAATTGAATCTCATCATTCCCTATTCATTGTTTGACAAACCTGACCCCTTGTTAAAAGACTTCACGGCACTCCAAGAGCTAAAAGTCGATGAGCCGCTTACTGAACAACATTCCTTGCGACTGCCGCCCACTCTCCGCAGTTTCAGCTCACAGAATCATATTTCTACCTAAAGCTCTGGCTGACCTGACGAATGTCGAGATCCCCGTACATCGCCCGGACGCAGTCCTCCGCTTGCTGCAGCTATATCCCGATCCATGCTTGTTAGCAATCTGTCTGGAATCCAATAGAACTAGAATATTCGAACCACTCGTGCGCATTCGAATTCAATCAGTTGTTGATGTTGATTCCTCGCGTCTTGTATTCACCGATACAGTCGTTTCGTACTACGTAGTTGATAACGAGATTGTGCTATAGCTCATACTTATCCTTCGCCAATCCTTCAATAAAATATGTGAGTGAATCATGATACATGAGTTGTGAAATGAGCGGGCTTCTAACTGAAGACTCATTCAGTCCGCGTTCCAGTCTCGCGTTTTGAATAGTAACATTACTACCTTGGTAGCAGCCGATATACCTTCTAATTGTATGCATGAAGATCTAGGGGGATCAAAGGGGAATGGACATGATATGCACCCGCATGCGGGCCTCTCTGATCACGTATTAGCTCTACGATTTCGTGTTATAATTAATATTTGTGTATGTGACAAAAATTCATCATTATTATAAGTCAAGTGGGTTCCACCCCGACCAGTCATCTACTACTCCAAATCTCGCTCCTCCCACGACGGATAACCCACACGATAAGACATTACGCCGTACAGTCTGCAAGTGACATGTCGGACATAGAAATGCATATGAGGGCATCAGCACTGTGCATGCGCTGGTCGAGATGCCAGAGATGGAGGTGCATGCGCGTGGCAAGGATCGCAAGGATGGACACCTGAAAGCTGTAAGTGTTTGGGTGTTATTAGTAGTAGGAATTAATGACAGAAGTTGGAGGTGCATACTTTTGGAGGGCGGTATAGTATGGGGACTGTATGTGTGGAACATCAACGACTCGATTATATTGAAGGGTACCGGGAGGTTTACGTACGTTTGGAAATAGCGCTGGCACGAGGATGTTGATGGCCGAGAGAACTTTCGGAACAGTAGTCATCACCGATGAGTACGGAAACATGAAACACGCAAAGTCCTGACTCACGGAGACCGCATACATAGTAGAATATGTTATGTTTCACCAGGATGGCTTGCAGAGGGCCCTTTGTCGACCGCCAGCTCTGTATGGCACGTGTGAGTGTGAGAGCGATCAATACTGGGGCGAGTGTCAGTGAGCACGCGTTTGCAATTTATCCTCCTAGTTCCCAGCAACATACCCAGTTGAAACGCAAATAAGAAAATAAACGACATGAAGTACAGAATACTGCTTGACCTCGAGGGGCAACTAGGGGCGCCCGGGATCGCGCTAGTCGTAACTGTGAAAGTGGCGGAGTGAATATGTGCGAGTAGTAGCAGGAGAAGGTGAGATCACGAACCATATGAGGTGGCAATGGTGGCAAAACGAATGCTGACGGATGTCACGATCATAGCCTGGCTGATTCAGCAATCATGAGATTGGATGTGTTGAGGGAATAGGACTCACGAAAGCAGTGGACAGCAGGCCCACGAGTACGATCCTATTGTTGTTCCACAGCGCATATGTTCTAATCATGAAAAAACCTCAATGAAACGGATGAGGAATTCACATATGTTATGTAAGAAGAAGCAAATACATTCAGAGCAAACGGCTGATATCTGACTGAGAGCTGCGAGAGGAAGAGCAGCACTCAACAGGGACCCGTATGGAGCATGTAATGTGTACGTACATGAGTAGACATTGATCAATATCTGACAATTCTGGCGGACTCATGCAGTAAGTATCAGTGTAAGTCCACTGTATATCCACATACATTGGGGTCTTCGATCGAGGCGAAGTTCACTGAAATACAACACGTCAATTGTTGTCAGGAAGATTGTGCTGGAGTTCATCAACGCACGACATAGGTACATGACGATCAGAAAAAAGGGGAGATGTCGTGTCATGATGTAAAGGGCTTTTACTTTGGTCCAGCGCGACCGACGCAGAAATTTCCACTTTGAACAACGTATTGTCAGTATCCACACTGAGGTTGTCACGGAACGAGTCATTACTTCTTCGTGAAGTGCACAGGCATAATCATAAGTCTGAATAAACTAGTTTAACGGCTGACGGAGAAAGATCAAGATCAGCTTACCCAGAACGTCGTCATCGATACTAAGCTTTCAAGTTAGAACGAGGAAGAAGCCGTTCAGACGATACGTACTGTATAGGTACTGGTGGAATATGGTATGTTAATTTGCTCTCGTGTTATTAAGAAAGAAACGCACCGCTAATCGCTGCTGACTCGTGGCGGCTGAGATATCGACTGCCGAATACTCCATCTGAATTTGTTCGATAGTAAGTGAAGAAACGGGATCCTCGCACACAAGTCATGCACCTTCTTATCTCTGAAGGAACCCGGCACGATCGGGGCGTAAATATTTGGGACAGCATTTGAGCGGCAGGCACCATAGACTCGGAGCAAGTCTGGTTGCGTGGTTAGTACGGTGAACTGATTGGTGAGCACGCACCAGTACATTTGAAGGTACCACAGCGAGAGTCGAACATCTGAGTCCAATAGACTGAGGTGCACTTGCTGACAGAACTATTAGATTGATTTTTAGAGTCCCATAGACTGAAATATTGATTTCTAGAGAGGCGTTGCTCCGGGTGACTAACGGACAAATTGAATCATCTTAGACTCGGAAGGATCCATGTTTACACGAGGAACGCTTAATTAACCTCTTCTGATCAACTTCGGCCGTGTTAAACGCACGCCTCTTTTGACTGTAATACACAAGTAATCATATTGCGCTGGAAGTGTGTATCAGTTCGAGCACTTGACTGGCAGAGGTACCTCACCAATCGTTTTTAATCGTTTTATAGCGTTGCTGTACTTGTGTTGGCATCAGAATCAGTACGATATTACTGCATGCATTAAACGATGAGTGAGGCAGACTGATCGATCTTGGCAGGCGAAGCACGGAGTTTGAATTTTAGTTGTGCCGGGCCCGGGCGTCGTCTTCCCGTCTGACACTAGCCGTTTTGCTGCATCTCTATGTCACCCAAACTATGAATTTCCACCAACCTCAATTGAGAGTTCAAGTCTTCATCGACTTTAGTCCCGCGCCTGTACTAACGACGTGCAGAAGTCAACTCGAAAGCTCTCGCCGGCCTTGGATATCATTAGTGCACTGCGGATCATCATTACAATTGAGCAATGGTTTATCTATCTAGATTTATCTGATGTGATATTGACCAATTGTCAGATTCCAGATGTCGAAACCCCATACACCTCAGTTTCTCCAATGCCAACCACTGCGCAATCGAGCTTAAAGACCAGGGCATTAGTGCCATTATCACCGACCGCCAGCAGCAGCTAGATGCAATTTTACACGACATCTCAAGTCTGGAAACAGTCATCGACGAAATCAACAATCTTCACCGATAACTGACCGAACAGGAGCCAAACGTCATCCTGTCCATCACCTTGCACAGGCGAGTCATATCATCTCTCTGGCCCATCTGACCTGCAGCACAAACTAGGCGTGCCCATGACAACCTTCCTCCATCGTCAACACATCCTGGTCAAGTTTCAACAAGATAGAGGCCAGCTCCGATGGGCCGATAAATACTTTTCTTCTGGGAGACAAGGAACGAAAATGTAGGATAAGACTCTAGTCAGGGAGCGGCCATTCGACCTCAGAAGACAGCGGGAACCTGCTTTCTGCTTTGACGTATGGCTCAAGAGAACACGAGGACGTCTGCTCTCGTTGGCACCTACCTGCTGCTCTTTTGTTCGAAAATCAACCCAACTATGAAGTCTTGCATAGATTCAATCTCATCATTCTCTATCCATCGTCTGACAAACCTGACTGCTTGTTAAAAGACCTCACGGCACTCCAGGAGCTAATAGTCGATAAGCCGCTTACTGAACAATGTTTCTCGCGACTCCCGTCCACTCCGCGCAGTTTCAAACTCACAAACTCATATTTCTACCTCGAGATCCCACACCGGACGCAATCCTCCGCTTGTTGCAGCCATGTCCCAACCTATGCTTGTTAGCAATCTGCCTATAATTCAATGGAACTACGATAACTTGGACTGGGATTCTATGTGTTCGACGCTACCATAGTACTGCAATCGACGCTCTCTTCGCAGTTGTGACTACTGCCTCAAGATCTGCGACATAACCTTCTAGATATCCGTGCAGCCAATAAGTGATCCAGTGTTATGCTCTGAACATCGGCTCTGATACTATGCACTAGCGACACATACAACACAACAATCGAAAATTCATGGCCCTCATTCATTCCCCCGAAGTAGTGGATGATCACAATCGTAAATCTGCATCAAATTGAATCGCGGTTATGCAAAATTCAGCTGGGATGGCTACCAAGAACTTAACTTGGAGTCTTGGACTAGGGAGGAATAAACTCGATAGTATTGCTGCAGCTGTATGCATATGGAAGTTTCTCCATTTTTGCCACGATCACTGTATTCTTGTCCGGTTGCTCACAAACACCCCCTACAATCCACTTCGTGACCAGGCTTTCTTCTCACAATTCTAAAATTGGGCTAGATACAAGTGAAATCGAGATTTGAGGATCTTGTACTGAGAACACCGCTGAAAGTACGCACTTGTATTTGTGCTCCTGACGAAAATAAGAGTCATCGGACCCATTAACAGATTTTGTAGGTTTAGTGCCAGCGATATTAATTAGTGCCTTCGCTGCATGCATGCAGCCGCACCATTCGTTACGAACCCCGTCTGATCAAGTTGGCTGCTGCCAAAGGACTTCTCCGCGCGAATTATCTCCACCCGGGAAGCTAAAGCGCTAACATATGAAGGCACAGTGGGCACTTGGTGGCCATGGATGTCCTCTCAAACCAGACCATTGCCAGTGCCATCGAAGCCATCAACCAAATCCAGTTCCATTTGACCCTTTTTTTTGTCATTGTTCGAACTTTGGTGTCGAAAGGTGCCTCTTGCAATGTTATCACTGGCAGTTGCCGCACCTGTAATTTGAATTGGTATGGTATTTTTAGTAGTTCCCATCCGATGATCATCGATGCAGATATCCATGATCTATCGATATCACTGGCCCGGGAATTACGGCCTTAAAGCAGCTGAGAGCTCATCGACATCGATGGATCATCGCAAACTTCCTCTGACGCTTCAACTTTACTTTTCGCCTTAGCCAACAACATGCAGACAGCCTACTCAAAATTCAATATCTCCGAGTCTGTTTCAGATATCATCAGTGCACTACAAAGCATCGTAAGTGCCCAGTTTCTTGGATCAGAATTCGTATCAGCCGAGAATAACAATCACCCATTCCAGATCGCACGATCGCAAGTGATTGTATGTCTATTCCCTGGTTTATTCCGACACATATCGAGTTACTGACGATGACTACTAGATTCCAGTCCTTGAAACTCCATACTCCAGAATCCCCAATACCGATCGCTCTACCGTCGGGCTCGAAGGCCAGAGCGTTCTCAACATCATCGCAGAACACCAGCAGCAGTTGGATGCAGTCCTATGCGAGATCTCGGGCCTGGAGGCCGTGATGAATAACGTCAAAACTCTTCATCAGCAAGTCGTCGAAAAGAAGGAAAAGATTACGGTGTCGATGAATCTGCACAAGGGACTCGTATCGGCTCTCTGGCGCTTGCCCACGGAAGTCCTATCCCATATATTTAGCTACTGTCTCCCCGAAACCAGATTGTTGTTGTCCCCGTCGACCCTCAAAGCCCCCATGCTGTTAACAAGAATATGCCGACGATGGAGGGAGGTTGCTGTGGGCACGCCCGATTTATGGTGCAGGCTGTATGTGGAAGCCGACGACAGAGACTGGGAGCGGGCAGCTTTCTGCTATGATACGTGGCTCAAGCGTTCACGAGGACGTCCGCTCTCGTTAGCACTCGGGCGCTACCACTCGGCCAAACTACGAAGCCTTCTTCAGCCTTACATCACTCACATCACATCTCTCCGAGTCTCTGTCCACTCCTTCCAGGGCGAATCCACTCAGCTTTTTGTAACAGACCTCCCAGCACTTCAGGAGCTGGCCATACTAGGAATGACAAAATATGATATTCCAACTATTGCACAATCTATCTCGCGACTGCCATCCACTATACGCAGTCTCAAGTTCATTGACATGAGGCCGTTCTTCGACATCGAGCCCTTGTCTTCTTTCAGCCCCGTATGGGCCCACTTGACTGATATCCAGATCGCCGTATGTCACCCGAACGCTGTCCTCCATTTACTTCAGCTATGTCCGAACCTCTCCTCCTTAACTCTCCGCGTAGCATTCGACCAAACGGAACCCTTGGAATCATTCACGCACACTAAATTACAATCCTTACGCGTCCTTTATGACGCCTTGCTCACGCGACCTCTATCGGACCTGCTCAATGCTCTATCGCTCCCCAATTTGCGCGCGCTTGAAGCTCGCCGTAATGGCCGTAATGCATCTTGGCCTCATGAAGATATGAAGGCATTGTTAGTACGGTCAAAGTGTTCCCTGGAGACCCTAACTATCGGCGGTCGAGTGACGATAACAGATGCGCAACGAGCAGAATACGTTATCCTCACTCCTTCCCTCCAAGTAGTAGTGGATCACAGTAGTACATACTTCTGATCGTACTGTAAGCTGACCGGCGTAACTTTGGCTGCTTTCAAAGAATTTCAACCTCGCAATGAATGGTACATGTTAGAAACATTGATTGAGGTTGTAAGTTATGTGCACCAGTAAGAATTGAGTGAGATACTTAGGTCGTGACGATTCATCCGTGAGGGGTAAGCATGAGAACGTCTGGGAAATGGACAGTCTGGCAGTATATTCTTCCTAACTAAAACATGGAAACTGTACATCACTAGCGAGATTCGGCGTGCTCAAGGCCTGTCCTATACCTGTACATAGCTTCTATCGATATTTTCCCAACGTTGACAACGTATGCAACCAGCCCAAGCGCAGTGACGGTGCGGTAGATCACACTTTGAGATGAAAAGCCTGCTATCAACATCGCTGGGGGTGAAATCCATGAGGGAAGAAAAGCACCAAATTACAGAGCAACACACCAAAAACAAAACAATTCAGGGACCAGAAAATGAAGAACATAGGCGTGACTATTGACAACAGGTAGGACCAGACGAAGTAGCGGCCTTGTTTGAGTTGCTGATCATATTCAGGTCAGCCGGTGTAATCAGTATGGCGACAATAAAACTTACTTCTTGAGTGCTGTGACGATCGGTGTGTAGCCAACGTATCGTGCTCGAGCCAGATATCAACATGGAAAATATGGCAAACATGAGTGATGTAAAGAGCAGACAATAGGGAATGGATGGTGTATAGCCGAAGTATGACACAGGAAAGATCATAATGACGAAAACACTACTGATAGCGAGGAGACTTGCCTTTGTGAGAGCATGTCAGCGTCGGCTTCAGTTTGCGAGGCGTGCGCAGTCGGACAACTTACCATGGTGATAGTGTTGCCCAGGATGGTGCACATTCTGGTCCTAACGGTTTCAAAGGCTCGGTCTGATTGAAGCGAATTCCAATGATCATGAAGATTGGGGCATCCAAATGCCAAAAAATAGAGTACCCTCATTACAAAGGACGTGGAACGAAGGGCTTCGGGGAGAGGTTGTTCTTCGGCAGATGCTTTGTTGTCAAGCAGCGACAAGTAACTAGGAAAGGTTGGTGTGAGTGAGTCATACGACAAAGATTACTAAGTTGTGAAAGCGTACCTCAGTGAAATCCATTGAATCAGGAGGAATTGATGCTCATACTAAAGACCAGTAGCCTATTATATTAAGTCTATGCGGCGACACAGCATTTCGAGTTTCCCACCCTTCTTGCTTCGCACTAAAAATTCTGCACTTTGAGCTGCTGAGGCCCACCCGCCCTCACGCGCACGGCTCATCCCTGGATTTTCTCCGCAGGTTCGAAACAATGTTTCGGGTTTTGAGCTCAAATAGCTACACAATCGTATGGCAACTATTGTACGAAATCGGATGTATTCGGCAGTCGAATAGTGACGTCTCGCTGAGCCAAGGCGGGAACTCTCTATATAGCTGCCGATAGGCTTTTAAAGAAAACACCTTGGACCCCAAAGTTAACGCAGGTGGGAGATTTTCGACATAGAGCTATACCATCTTAAGCTTCAACTTATTGTAGTGCCCGCCGCACCGCTTCTTGCCTAGTAACACTGCCTTCCCGATGGCTACCTGTGCAGATAGTAAGTTGGCGGGCAACACGTCACTTAGGCTCAAAATAGACCGTTTGAGTGGGTGCTCGCATCCGCAGGATCTTCGCTCTCCCCAGCGTTCAAGTTGCGGCACAGGTGACACCACTGTCAAATCTTTCGTCCATTCACCCAGGGCCACTCTTGGCTAGGGCTGACATGACATCGGGATGCACAGAATGTGAGACCCAAGGATTCGGTACTGGGTATACTTCTGAAAAACCCGATCATCCCCTCCTAGCTACTAGGAGTCGGGGACTCTCTCCTGCATTATCGTTCCGTCTCTTAGTGTTGCCGTCGACGTCGACATACGGTGGCAGCTGCGCTTCAGTGCCCCGAGTCCGCATTCGTGCTCATCTGGGCACTCGTTACGGTGGTGTTTAGAGCATAACCTAGGTCAGATTTCAGTCTTCATTCTTCATTTAGTATGTTTCTATTGTAGCCGCATGGTAAGGACATACCCCTCTATCAGCACCCATAAATGGACCGTTCACTGTCGGTTTCGAGCGCTACTTCTTTAGTCATGCCAGCGAAACGGAAGAGTACAAACAGCGCCTCAACGAGTGGCGAGGCGGCTCGAGTTGCCCGCACGCCTCACAAATAACGACAAACACAGTACTCTGACTTGAATCTTCGACAATCGATTAACCACTCGCTGCTAAGAGTCCCAGGATCGTTCAGTTCAGGAGAAGATATTCTCTCGAAGATGACCACCCTTTCGCTGGACGAAGAAGTTCGACTATTCACCAACGATGCTCAGCGAGAGAAGTACAGTCTCTTTGGTACTTTGTACGGGATCATTGTCGCACTTGACTACCTCGAGCGCGCCTATGTTCGTGATGCAATTACCGCAGCACAGTATGTTCCCATCTTAAATTCACTTCATGTCAGACTTGGATTTTCAGCCTTGCATTACTCATATCACATCTCTCTGAGTCACTGTCCACTCCTTCCAGGGAGAATTGACTCAGCTTTTTGTAACAAACCTCCCAGCACTTCAGGAGATGGCCGTACTAGGAATGACAAGATATGATATTTTAACTATTACACAATCCATCTCGCGACTGCCGTCCACTATACGCAGTCTCAAGTTCATTGACATGAGGCCGTTCTTCGACATCGAGCCCTTGTCTTCTTTCAGCCCTGTATGGGCCCACTTGACTGATGTCCAGATCGTCGTATGTCACCCGAACGCTGTCCTCCAGCTATGTCCAAATCTCTCCTCAATTCTCCGCGTATGATTCCACCAAAAAGAACCCTTGGAATCATTCACGCATACCAAATTACAATCCTTACGCGTCCTTTATGACGCTTTTCTCACATGCCCTCTATCTGACCTGCTCAATGCTCTATCGCTCCCCAATTTGCGCGCGCTTGAAGCTTGCCGCAATGGCCGCAATACATCTTGGTCTTATAAAGCCATGAAGGCATTGTTGGTACGGTCAAAGTGTTCCCTGGAGACTCTGACTATCGGCGGTCGAGTGACGATAACAGATGCGCAGCGAGCGGAATACCTTATTCTCACTCCTTCCCTCCAAGTAGTAGTGGATCACAGTAGTACATACTTTTGATAATACTGGGTGGTTACATATTTCGGGAAATGACATCTTCAAACTGACAGTAGAAACACCAGCGTAACTTTGGCCGCTTTCAAAGAACTTTACCATTTCTTCATGAAAATTAGTCGTTCAACCTCGCAATGAACGATACATGTTAGAAAGATTGATATTATATTAACTAGATACTCGGGTCGTGACGGCTCAGCCGTGAGGGATAGTCATAACCTGGAAAGCATGAGAACGTCTAGGAAATGAACAGCCTGAAGGACCAAGGTTTTGTCTTCCTGACTGAAACCATGGAAACTGTAAATCACTGGGGATATCCAGCGTGCTCGAGGCTTGCCGCATACTTCCACATAGCTTCTATCGATATTTTCCCAACGTTGACTACGTATGTCACCAGCCCGAGCGCAGTAAGGGCGCGACATATCACACTTTGAGATGAAAAGCCTGCTATCAACATCGCTGGAGGTGAGATCCATGAGGGACCAGGAAAAGCACCGAATGACAGAGCAACACACCAAAAACGAAACAATTCAGGGACCAGACAACGAAGAACATAGGCGTGACTATTGACAACAGGTAGGACCAGATAAAGTAGCGGCCTTGTTTGAGTTGCTGATCATATTCAGGTCAGCCGGTGTAATCAGCATGACGAGAATTCTAGTAAAACCTACTTCTCGAGTCCAGTGCCGATCGGTGTGTAACCAACGTATCAGGCTCGAGCCAGATGTCAACATGGCGATTATGGCAAACATGAGTGATGTAAAGAGCAGACAATAGGGAATGGATGATGTATAGCCGGAGTATAACACAGGAGAGGCCGTACTGACGAAAGCACCACTGATAGCGAGGAGACTTGCCTTTGTGAAAACATGTCAGCGTTGGCTTCAGTTCGCGACGCGCGCGGAGTTGGATAGCTTACCGTGGTGATAGTTCTCCCCAGGATATAGCATATTCTGGTCCTAACGGTTTCGAAGGCTCGGTCTGATTGAAGCGAATTCCAATGATCATGAAGATTAGGGCATCCAAGTGCCAAAAAACAGAGTACCCTCATTGCAATGGACGGGAAGCCAAGGGCTTCGGGGAGAGGTTGTGCGTCGGCAGATGCGTTCTTGTCAAGCTGCAGTAAGTGAGTCAGTTTTTTTTAAGGACAAAGATTAGTACTAAGTTGTGAAAGCGTACATCCATCCTGGGATCGAGAGAATTTTTACTTATGATGCTCATACTAAGATATAGCCTATTATATGGGCGGACGATGCTGTGATCTTTAGCAAATATTCCTGATGAAATCCACTTCAGCGCGGTGGCCACGTTCATGGGCGAGGCTGTTATTAGCGTCCCACGCGTATGCAGCCAGCCAGGGACAAAAAACAGGTGTCCGAACTAATGCTAGTAGTGCTATCCCACGATTTACTATTGTAGTACAGCAAACCAAGTACAGCCCTATCATATTGTAGTACACATTGACGTAATACGGACACTTGTTCTTTGTCTCTGGCTGGCTGCATACGCGTGGCAGCCTCGCAATGAACGTGCCCATTGGCTCCTCCGCCATTTGCTGTACTACAATCATACATGGTACGTTAGTTCGGACTCTTTTTGTTGTTCCTGGCTGGCTGCATACGCGTGGACGCCGCTGCTAATTGCAGCCTCGCGATAAACGCGATACCATTGAATCAGAATTTCATCAAGAATATTTACTAAATCCACAGCATCATCCAATAGTATATCAATCGCCGTGAGCATTAGTCTGTCTCCACATCATGGGTCCCCGGGCCCCTCAGGTTATCAAGGACGACAGTTCTGTCAAAGTACTACCCCCCCGGCGTGAACTTCCTCCTCCAGAATTCACGTCTATTGTAATGAACGTACTCATTTTTTTGGCATTTGGATGCTCAGATCTTCATGATCATTGGAACTCCCTTCAATCAGACCGAGCCTTTGAAGCCCTTAGGAGGAAGTTGTGCTCTATCCTGGGTAACACTATCACTACGGTGACCTATTCAATTTCGCGCGCGTCGCGCACTAAAGCAGACACTGACATACTCCCACAAAGGCAAGTGTCCTCCTCGCGATAAGCGTTGCCTTCGTCAGTACGGCGTCTCCTGTGCCGTACCTGGATTACTCAAGACCTGCTCCCTATTGTCTACTCTTTATGTCTCTCATGCTCGCCATAATCGCGATATTGACATCCGGCTCAAGTATGATGCGCTGGTTACACACTGATCGACGGTGGATTCAAAAAGTAAGTTTTATTCTCGTCACCCGGATTACACCACTGACCTAAATTAATGTGGTCAGCAACTCAAGCAAGGCAGCTTCTTGGTCTTGTTCCACCTATTGTCGATAATCGTGCCTATATTCTTCGTTGTCTGTTCCCTGAATTGTCTCGTATCTGGTGTGTTGCTCCGTTATTTAGTGCTTTCCTGGTCCCTCATGGATTTCGCCCCCAGCGATGTTAACAGCAGGCCTTTCGTCTCACAGCACGGCCTCCCGCGCTGTCACGGCGTTCTGTCTCGTAATATATGTCCTCAACATCGGGACAACATCAGGGAAAACCTCCCGCGAAGATTTCATAAGATTTTCTGAAATTTTCTGACTTTCTGAAAATACATTAAAATATTCCAAGTCCCTCTACGGATGGGTGAAAATTTACAAAAATCCACATGAATACAACAAAATGATTATAATGTGATTAAATCAGGGTATATACTAGAATATCGCAAATCACAAGATATGAAAACGAGGAAATGAGACAAAAGTTGTAACGCAAAGTCCTTGTGCTATCAGGAATGCCCTAGTCGATACTCATCCCATCGAAATCGATTCGCGCAAATGCTGCTTTCAACTCGGCGGATGCAAAGTCAACCACATTGCTGCAGAAAGTTATGAGCAGCATGCAACAAAGATGCGAGACTAGCACATACCTAACAGCCTTGTATTTTCGAGCCATGAGAGAATGGTAAACATGCGGGCCCTTGGTGTAGATTCCGTTGAGCATTTCCATATTGTTGTCAAACATGCCGATGAGACTTTGCCCGAAATCACCACGCTCGCGACCTACATCAACAACGGACTTCAGATCAAGTAGGGAAGAAAAAATCTGGTAGAACACAGTGAGATAGCACTTGAATAGTTAGAATACGACGCACCGCAGTAACCACAGCTGAGACCATGGCACTCGGGATCTCGGGTTCATCGTTGTCATCAAGCACAGAGACAAACCGATCCTTATACTTCTTCCCAACCTGGTCCTGACTCGTAAAAAAGGCTAACTGGCATACAGTGTTGATAGCGGGATGGTCAAATGGCTGACTCAAGATGGGATTGCCCTGTCATGTCCTAAAAGTCAAAGAGGATCAACATTTGCGATGAGCTAAACCGAACCTTGGTGTCAAACTTGTAAATGAAAGTCAGGAGATTGAGCAGGCGGTTGATCTTCTCGTCATCACCCGTCTTGACCCCATATGCACCAGGAACGACGCGATCCGAAATCTCCTTGAGTTTCTTGCGAATCAACCCAATACGCCCATCTGGCTAATCAGTAGCACCACTTGCATGAGAATTGTGGGTTGCGAAAGTATTGACAAGAAACTCACCACTCTGGTGAAAGCTTTCATGTAAGCTTGGTCTTGTTCCAAGCGCTGTAAGACTTCTTTATGCTCTGCTGATGATGCGGCTTCAAGTACTAAGTTGACCATCATGGTGTGGCTGATGTTTCGGTCGTGGAAAGTAGCACTCAAATACCAGCTCTCGTTCGACAAGCTGAATGGCAGCATGAAGAATTACTTGGATATGAGGTTGTTGACTGAGGAGATTGATTGTGTTGTTGCCGTTCCACACAAGATGTGTTAACAAAGACCAAGTGTCTTCCAAGCGGGTACTATTACGAGTTAGCGAATCCGGAATGCTCGAGGTTGATAGTGCCGCAGTGAAGTGCGGAGTCTGTAAATTCAGCCAATCTAGATTCAGAATGCAACTCGAATGCAAAACATACCTCCGCAGCCTTGTGCACAGTTTTCTTGGCCCTTTTCTTGGTAATAGGGACATCCTTTGTTAAATAAGTCATCAACAACACGTAGCGTAGAAAACATGAATCACATACATTGAACTTGGTCTTACTTGTAACAGCCTTCGTGGTTTGACTAGTACTTGTGGCTTGATCGTCATCCGAGTCTGAAGTTGGAATCATGGAGGTGGTGTACGAGCCACTTGGCTTGGAAGAATCTAGGCAGATAGTCACTATAATGCCCAAGAACACCACAAAAAACTCACGGGTTGTAGGTTTCAAGGCTGCCTTAACAGTATTTGTGATGAAATGAGGAGTCTTTGAACCACCATCAATGTGAGTAACTCAACCGGTATTAATCTGTAGGAAATACCTCGTCATAAAATAAATCCTTGAGCTGCTTTGGCTTTTTGCTTTGCAGCTCATCATCATGACTCGATAAAAATTCCGAGTCATCATTCTCAGAATGATCAGACTCAGAAGCCGTGTTACCGTGACCATCAACAGGCTGCTGGTCCAATGAGGGCAAATCAATGTCCTGCTCTCGAGTTTCTCGAGTTCAGCAAGTTAGAAACAAATATGGAAGTATTAATAATAATAAAAATAACACTTACTGCGTAGACGAGGTGGCCTGGCTGTACCATGGTTGGATTCTTCTGGTGGCACAATCTGTTTCTTTATGCTGGTGCCTACTGGACGAAGTGTAAGGAGAACATATTAACAATATGAGGCTTCGACTGACCTGTGAGCTTTTTTTGTTTGCCTTTGCCTGAGTCAGCGATAGATGATGCAGCACGTTTTCGGGTTGCTGGTTTGTCTGCAGCCCAAACTTTTCAAACAGATGAGTTCAAATATAGACACTGCGTCGGCAACACAAACCTTGATTTTTCATTGCTACTTCTTTTGCTTGACGTATTGGCCCTGCGGTGTTAGGAGACATAAAGATTCACTTCATCCATTAAAAAAAAACCTACTACCAACGCTCTCTGAGGTTTCAATTTCGGAAGGGGTGGCTGCTTGAGCAGAGTGTGCGGATGCCATTTCAACCTTCTTCTGCAGCCGTTTTGCTGCAGCTTTTTCTCCGGGTGTCACAGGAGCCTTTGGAGGCATGGTAAGTAAAATATAGTTGTAAGAAAAAGACTGACGAAATGAGTGTGAAGCAAGAAGCGAATTAAAAGAGGGAAATTTTGATGGGGGAAGACAACCTGTAACAAGTGGTTCGAATTGAAGAAGGTTCATGTTCCGCCCGCAAGCTAAACACTAAATCTACCTCGGCTACCTCGTTTCGTCACCACTCACCACTTAAGCACCAAAGCCAACATTTCCATCGCATCCTCGACAATGCACAGTATCAGAGGCAACATAAAATGTCGTCCATGTGGAAAAGAAGGCCTGACTGTGGCTGGATATCACCGCCATGCCACACAGTCTCGAAATCTGCAGTGTCTTGCTCATTATGAGCAAGTAAGCAATGCACAACTAGCGGGCCACATACCAACTGAAACGGCACCAGAATATCACCCATCCACTGGTTATGCCAACAGCATCGATGAAAATATGGACGGTGCTGATGAGATAGATGAGGGTGGTCAGGTTCTACATTTCGAAGGCGACTTTTTTGGTCACTATACCGAAGAAGACTTTGAATGGCCAGACGACCATGGAGTAGTAGAAGGAGACAAGGATGCAGATGAGTCATCGGATGAGGAGGTGGTATTTGATGGCGAAATAGGGTGGGAGCCAGCAGTTCTTAATGCACCTGATGTTGGTGAGCAAGATTCGGAGCAAGAGTCACTGGCAGATCAATATCATCAAGAAACTCGAGCTCACCATCAAAATCCCCGTGATGCCGCAGAAGCTCGATTAGGTCATGCCAGTCCATATATCACACACTTTCCCCTTCCAACTGCAGGTGCTCCAGTCTCTGGACCATCGGAAATGCCACGTGAGCATATCTACGAGGGTTACAGTCAGAAAATTGCAGGGTCAGAAAACATTTACGCACCATTTGAGAGTAAACTCGACTTCGACATAGCCTTATGGGCCAAAATGCGTGGCACAGGCTCTACAGCATTTACTGATCTTCTTGCTATCGACGATGTGGGTCATTAAGTTTTAAGTGAAATGACAAATACAAACTCACCATGTTCTGATCTGCCAGGTACATGACCGTCTCAGGCTCTCTTATAAAAGTTCTCGTGAACTTAACAACATCATTGATAAGAAGCTTCCCACCGGTCGCCCGCAATTTCGCCGCCAGGAGGTTGTGGTTGCCGGAGAAGCTTTTGACGTGTACTTCCGAGATGTTCTGGAATGTGTCAAGGCTCTCTACGAAGATCCAGAATTTGCACCATACCTTGTCTTCGTACCTGAAAGGCATTATGCAGACAAAGACAAGACAATGCGGTTATATCATGATATGCATACAGGGAAATGGTGGTGGCGCACACAGGTTTGTCAACAGCTCTCATTCAGCTCTAAATTCAAACTGATTTGAATCACTGACACGTCACAGAAGGAAATCGAGAAAGAAAAACCTGGAGCGACAATTATCCCGATTATTCTCTCTTCTGACAAGACTCAGGTCACTGTCTTCGGGAATAAGACAGCATACCCAGTATATATGACGATCGGCAACATACCAAAAGACATTCGACGGAAACCTTCACGACATGCCCACATCCTTTTGGCTTACCTTCCAACTACTCGTCTTGAGCACATCAAGAATCGGGCCTCTCGGCGCCGCACTATCACAAATCTCTTCCACGCATGTATGGGGCACATCCTCGAACCACTCAAAAGTGCCGGAGAAGATGGGCTACATATGCGTAGTGGTGATGGCATCACCCGTCGTGGTCATCCCCTTCTTGCTTGCTATGTTGGCGATTATCCCGAGCAAATTCTTGTTTCTGGCGCGATGACAGGTGAATGTCCGAAATGCAATGTCCCGAACGGTGAGCTTGGAAGTAAAGATGCCCTATTCAAGCCACGGGATCTTGAGAGTATTCTCGCTGCTCTCAATATTGCAGATGAAGATCCGATTGGCTTTGCAGAACGTTGTGCCGAGCTTAGGATCAAGCCTATTCAACACCCTTTCTGGCAAGGACTTCCGAAGTCGAATATCTTCCATGCGATTACCCCCGACGTATTGCACCAGCTATATCAAGGACTCGTGAAACACATGATTGCTTGGATCAAATCGGCTTTTGGAGAAGCAGAGATTGATGCCCGTTGCCGTCGACTCCCTCCAAACCATAATATTCGCATCTTCAACAAGGGCATCTCTAGTCTCGCAAGAGTCAGTGGTGCTGAGCACAATCAGATTTGCCGCTTTCTTCTGGGTGTTATTATCGACATTCCCCTTCCCAACAACATTTCAAGCGCTAAGCTTGTTCGAACTCTTCGCGGACTCCTCGACTTCCTGTACTTAGCACAGTATCCATGTCACTCAGCGGAGACACTGCAACTCCTCGATGAAGCTTTGACCCGTTTTCATGACAACAAAGACATATTTGTCACACTTGGCATCCGAACGCAGTTTAATCTTCCAAAGCTTCACTCCTACCAGCACTACCTCCATATGATTCAAGAGTATGGCATGACTGACAACTATAATACAGAATATACCAAACGACTTCATATCGACCTCGCCAAGGATGCATATCGTGCAACAAACCACAAGGACGAGTACAGTCAAATGACTCTGTGGCTTGAATGGCAGGAGAAGATTCTACGGCACGCCAGTTATGTTCATTGGCGCCTCGCTGGTGATCCATTGCCGCAATCGCGTCTACCGCCAGATATGCAGTATGCCAGGGAATACAAGATGACGAAACATCCATCTGTCAAGGCCGCTACCATCGACTCCCTTAGAGACGACTATGGTGCCTCTTTTTTTCGAGCTGCCCTTGCTCGTTATATTGTGCTTCACACTCGCCCAGACGCAACAACTCGAGCTCAGGTGGAACATGCCGCTGGACATGTATATATCCCCTTCGCCTCGCTTCCTATTTTCCATAAGGTCAGGTACAATGTGGTCGACTCCGCTGGCCATAAAGATGAAAGTGTTACCATTGATTCAGTTCACTGTCAGCCTGCACGAAGAGATAAGCGAGGGAATACCGTGCCAGGACGTTTCGATACAGTTCTTGTCAACTGTGGCAATGGGGGAGAGAAGAGTGTGGAAGGTCTGTATATCATTTGGTTGACCGTTTCAAGTCACTGATGAATCATACAAGGTTACCGTGTAGCCCAAGTGCGGGTTATATTTTCGATACCCGAGAAACATCACGCTAGCCTTTTTCCCTCCCATATCTTGATCCCTAAACATTTGGCCTACGTCGAGTGGTTTTCGCCATTCACCGGGACAAGCGAGAGAAATCATGGTATGCACAAGGTCTCGCGATCATACGAAAATGGGGAACAGCTAGTTAGTATAATATCTGTGAAAGATATTCGACGCAGTGTACATCTTATACCAAAATTTGGCCGCTCTGCGCCTCGGGATTGGACTAGCAGCAACGTTTTGGAACTGTGTAGAGACTTTTTTGTTAGCCCATTCACTGATCGTCACGCATACGCAACTATTTACTAGCTTTGTTGACAACTTTTGAAAATATTATGCGAATTTCGAGAAATTTTTGTCGCATTTGCAAAATTCCCGCGGGAGGTTTTCCCTGATGAATATTGATGGAAGCTGTGTGGAAGTACCGCACTAAACGTCAATCTATTTCTCCCACACTTCCTAGTTAGTAAAGATGAGCTGCGCTCCACTGGCCAGGTGCTCATCTGGACACCCGTTTCGGGTTTTTCCTAGTTAGTAAAGACGAGCTGCGCTCCAGTTGGACGATCAACGTGTATGCGAGCACACCATGTTGATCTAGGGCTTTGTAAGCCGCATGTGATTTCCGTTTGACACTCCATAGCACCAGGCCCGTGCGCAAACACATAGATAGCATTGAAATTCACACATTTATTGACTTCCCTTTTTTGTCACTTGCCGCCGGATATTTCCAGAAAAGGAACAGAAAAATCACTCATAAGAAGGCCCTACGTCATATTTCAGTCTTCATTTAGTAGTGGGACTCAAAGTAGATTTTGAAACTCGCTAAAGCTTCAGAAAACTCGCTAAAGTCTTCAGAAAACTCGGCCAGAAAGCCACCAAAACACACGGCACATAGCGGCATCAGAGCAGACTTGGAAACAACACTTGTCATTTTTTGAGGCATGTAGACTACGACAAAAACATGTAGATATAGCTATGTATTTAACGAGCAAGGGAAATTACACGAGATGCAATGAAACAGAAATCCACAGATGTGCGCATATGTGAAATGGTTTGTCGGTGATTTTGCTGAGCGCGTGACAGTGAGGGAGGGGGGACTCCGAAGCATCGAGCAAGAGTCAGCGGACCGTGGGGTCATGCATATAACAGTCCATGTCCGCATGCGCGTTATTACTAGTGTTGTTACGAGGAAAGGAGGGAGGAGCTTGCAGAAGACGCGGATCAATAGGAGGATTGTTGTTGGAAGAGCCGTTAGAAGGTTGGGGCTGGGGGGAGAATGTACTGTGGGGCTGCGGCTGAGCGGAGGATGCGCTGTGTGATGGCCAATCAAGCCCGTCCAGTGTAAGGCAAATATGGAAGAGGAGGATGTGATCGATGCATCGATCATAGTGACAACTTTTGGGAACATCTCGCTGGTCAATGAAAGTAGCGACGCTGATTGTCCATATCAATCAGATGAGTTCATAAGAAGAAGAAGAAAACGCACTAGAGTTCTTATCGAGCATGAAGAAATCAGCAAGCAGATCCTCTGATGCCAACCTCAGTTCCTTCAGGTTAAGCTTCTTGCCAAGCGCCGATGAGCTTGTCTCGGTCTCTTCACAGGTAATGACAACGACAGGGAAGTTGTGGATTAGCGTGGGGGTGTGGTTGAGTGCAGCCGCCATCAGGATGTTATGGGTTGGTGTGGGGGCGTGGTTGAGTGCGGCCGCCATCAGGGTTGGTGTGGGGGCGTGGTTGAGTGCAGCTGCCATCAGAATTGGTGTGGGGGCGTGGTTGAGTGCAGTCGCCATCAACGAGGTCGACGACATCAGCAACGCTGATGGCGGCAGAAATTCAAACTCCGATTCAAACTCCGCTGAATCAGTTGGAGATCGGACAACTGATAAGATAATACCCCTCCCCACTGTGATCATGCCTCGTGTAGCCCTACGTGAAGACCTCCTCAATTCTATTGATAAAGCTACTTTATCATTAGCCAATTTGCAATACCAGAATGCACTCCTAGACGACTGGTCTGACTCCGAGTCTGATATGGACTGGGACACAGATTCAGACTCGGATGATGATGAAGATAGTATCAACATGCCTTTTAGCTCGATGTCCCCCCCATCCCCACTGTCCCCACTGTCACCTTTTGCCAGCACTGTGACTTCTTATTCTTCCTCCGAGTCTAGTGATGAATCCAGTGCTGATGTTGCTGCACATTACAATAGGCTCCAAGACACCATCACTGCACTTCGTGATGAAGTCGAAAGGGCACGGGTACTCCACAAGCCAGATGAACCACCTCCACGAGCACCTCAGCTTCATATGCTAGTTCATCACGAGGAACACCGCCCTCATTTGTTTCGGCAGAAACTTCGTGTTAACCCAGAGATCTTCGATGATATCCTTGATCAGATCTCCGATCACCCTATCTTCCACAACCAGTCCAACAATCCTCAGCTCCCTGTTTCCATCCAGCTTGCCATTTTTCTCAATCGTGCAGGCCACTATGGGAATGCCATTACTCTTGAGGATGTCGCTCAATGGGCAGGTGTGAGCGTTGGGTCAGTTGTCAATTGCTCTCATCGTGTGATGGTTGCAGTGCTCGATGCACATGATAAGTTTATCAACTTCCCAGCAGCTGACTCTGAGGATGCTCACTTGGCTCAGGCATTTGCTGAGTCTCGAACCTGTCCAGAGTGGAGTGGAGGCTTTCTAGCCATTGATGGCTCAACTATGGACCTTTATGCCAAACCTGGCTTTTATGGTGAGGTGTTTTATGATAGGAAATCAAAGTATTCCCTTGGTTGTCAAGTAATGTGTTTTTCTCTATTATCATCAATAAAAAAATTAATTTAATTCTAGGCAGTCATTCTGCCCCACAACCTCCTGATTGTTGATTATTCCCTTGGTCAACCTGGGAGTGTTCATGATGCCTTTGCTTTTCGATCCACTCACCTATATGAAGAGCATGCTGACCTTCTGCCTGATGGTCACTGGGTTTGGGCAGACAGTGCATATCCATTGGAGCCATGGTGTATAGCCCCTTTCAAGAAGCCTCGCAATGGACGGTTGACAAAGAACCAGAAGACATTCAATTATCACCTTTCTAAAGTATGATTTTTGCTTGGGTGGATTTTCAGTGAATTTAAATTTATTTAGGTCCGTGTGCGTGTGGAACACACATTTGCTGTTTTGAAGGGACGGTTCCAGTCTCTCCGAGAGCTCCGGTTCAATATTCAGTCAGAGAAAGACCTGGAGTTTGCTGTGCAGTGGATTAAATGTTGTATCATCCTGCACAACATGATTATCCGCTTTGAATCCCATCATCTCCAGCAGGATGGATTATACAAGAATTCTCTGAAGTGGGCTTGTGTAGAGGGTGAAGACTTCATACCTCAAGAGCATGAAGATGTAGATGGTGATGAAATAGTTGGTGACAGATCTTATGAAGGAGCTCCAGGCCAGGCTACTTGTTTAAAGCTGATGGATCAGCTCTTTGACAGTCCTCATTCAAGGGCTCAATGTAGGAGGGGGTGAAGACCAAGAAAGCTTATATTGACCATGAATGTGTCCTACTAGTAAGATACTTGTACAACATATGTAACATATGTACCATCAAACACAACAACAATGAGAACAAAAAATAAATAAAAATGAGAGCGGCAAAACGATGACATGATGATGATGATGACGACAACGGACGACAACGACGACAACGATGACAATGGACAATGACAACGACAACAATGGACGACAACGACAACGACAACGGACAACGACAACGACAAACGACTCACTCCCCATGCGAGGCAGGAGGTTTGCTACCCTGCATCATCTGATGGAACTGGATCTTGAGGCGTAAGGTTTCCGCTTCCTTGTCGAGGACTAAGGAATGTGCCTCGTGCACTCAAATATCCGTCTCACGAAGGCGGATTTCAGCGTCCTTACTCTCCTGATGGCGTTGGTGATTGACGGCGGCTTGTGAGGACTCGTGCGCACGCGTGTCACGAAGCCACTCGTACTTCTTCGCATCACGATGGTAGTCAGTCTTCGCATCAAGCTTCGCGAGGAAGCGTTGATGCTTCGCCTCATGGCGCGACACAGCACTGGACTGGATGCTCTCAATCTCGTCATTTACCTTGGCAACCTGTTCCTGAACGTCCGACTTAGCTTTCTTCTTCTTCGAGCCTTCGGTGCTGGTCGGCAATGATGTGTGGGGGGTGGGACTTATTAAACTGTCGGATGATGTGTTGCGAGTTGTTGAGGAAGGGGTTGACATGCTGCGGGACATCCCTGACGATGCGATAGAGGGTGTTTTTCTGTGACGCCCCCCACAACTGGAGGGTCGCTGTGTGCCGAATGCCGCACGGCTGTCATAAAAGGGTGTCGGCGATTTCTGCAGCACTTCAAAAGCACTGGGAACGTCGGGAGGAGGAGAGGGCGATGCTGCAAGTTGACGCTTTTTCCCAGCGGCTCTAGCATGGCTGTCAGGGGTCATGGGGTCATCTTCCAAGTGGCGCATTGCATCCCCGAAGGGGGCGGACAAAGCACCACTCAGATCCAGGTCATTGTCATTGTCATTGTCATCAGGGCCATCCATATTACAGTCCGTGTCGTTACGATGAAAGGAGGGAGGAGCTTGCAGAAGACGCGGATCAATAGGAGGATTGTTGTTGGAAGAGCCGTTATCCATGTCCGCATCCGCATCATGATTGGTATTACTAGTGTCGTTACGAGGAAAGGAGGGAGGAGCTTGCAGAAGACGCGGATCAATAGGAGGATTGTTGTTGTAAGAGCCGTTAGAGGGTTGGGGCTGGGGGGAGAACGTACTGTGGGGCTGCAGCTGAGTGGAGGATGCACTGTGTGATGGCAGATGGGGCTGTGATTGGGGGGAGGATGCACTGTGTGATGGCTGAGCGGCACCCTCAAAATTCATCGAGGGACCAGCCCTGCCAGGGTCACCATGCGGCTGTACAAGCGCATAGAGATTACCCGCGTGGTCAACCCCCGGCCTGGATGAATGCGATTTAATCGCAAAAGATGGGATCGAGTGCCACATGCTATCGAGATCGGTATACCATGGAAGTTCAGCATTGACTTCATCTGCAAAGTTCGATCAGTCAATAATCAAGAAATAAGTATAAAGGACTCACCCAATAAGTTGTTCGAGGTAGTCGCGTCCAATGGCACCACACCAGCACCTGTTGCGCTGAACTTGGCCTTGCACTTCTTGTATTTATTTTTGAGACTTGAAATTTTATCAGCATAAATAAGAACAAGAGAAAGAGACTTACGCTGTGATGCGGTTGGCAACTGACACACGAAACTTCTTCAGATCCTGATGATATGTGGTCTTGTATTTGGGGTGGGTCGCAAAGATGAGCTTGGCAATAACATCATGTATTTCATTCTTGTCCTTGCCCGAGGGGGCATCATCAACGTTAGGCATTGCTTTCTTACCATCAGAATAGAACAGGATGCGACAATCAGGTGGGTGAGTAGTCAGATGATTGATGAGGATTGTAGTGAGAGCATGATCCCTTTCCCACTGGATAGCGAACTTGATTGTATCTTGACGATTGGATTCAGGTTGTCGTTGCGACGAGGAGGCCTGCGGATCCATTGGATTTGAGCGCACCTCTTGAGTGTTGGCTCTAAGTCGTGCTGAGCGACGAGCAAGATGGCGAAGGGCAGGCATGGTGTTTCAAACTCCGAAAGCCTGACTTCGAATTGCGGTGCCATGCAGGCTGTGTTTTTTCGACTTTCCTGACGAGGCTTTAGCCGCGAGTAGCCGGGCGCCAAAATCTACCTTGAGTCCCACTACTATACTTAGCAATGTCTCGACTCTCGATCAGCATCCCGAGTTGAGTGGCGAGGCGGCCCGAGTTGCCCGCACGCCTCACAAACAACGACAAACAGTACTGTGACTTGAATATTTAGACTTCGACAATCGATTAATCACTCGCTGCCAAGAGTCCCAGGACCGTTCAATTCAGGAGATGATCTTCTCTCGAAGATGGCCACCCTTTCGCTGGACGAAGAAGTTCGACCAACCACGAACCATTAATGCTCAATGAGAGAAGTACAATCTCCTCGGTACCTTGTACGGGATCATTGTCGCACTTCAAGCTTCAAACTTGACTACCTCGAGCGTGCCTATGTTCAATCTTCCGAGTATCTGTTCACTCCTTTCAGGCCGAATTCACTTTTTGTAACAGAAATTGAAATGAGGCCGTTTTTCGACATCGAGCCCTTGTCTTCTTTCAGCCCCGTATGGGCCTACTTGACGGATGTCCAGATCGCCGTATGTCACCCGAACGCTGTCCTCCATTTACTCCAGCTACTATGTCCGAACCTATCCTCCCTCACTCTCCGCATAGCATTCGACCAAACAGAACCCTTGGAATCATTCACGCACACTAAATTACAATCCTTACGCATCCTTTATGACGCTTTGCTCACGTGCCCTCTATCTGACCTGCTCAATGCTCTATTGCCCCCCAATTTGCGTGCGCTTGAAGCTCGCCGCAATGCATCTTGGCCTCATAAAGATATGAAGGCATTGTTGGCACGATCAAAGTGGTCCCTAGAGTCTAGAGACCCTGGCTATCGGCGGTCGAGTGACGATAACAGACGCGCAACGAGCGGAATACGTTATCCTCACTCCTTCCCTCCAAGTAGTAGTGGATCACAGTAATACATGCTTTTGATAGTATTGGGTGGTTACATATTTCAAGAAATAACGTTTCCAAGCTGACATTAGAATGATGCAATGAGACTAGTTACTAGGCATAACTTGCGAAGCCAAAATGGATCAGCGCAAAAGTATCAGAAATTGAAATATCCATTGAACACTCCCCAGTTTCTTGCCGCAAACCACTGTACCCAAACAAATGCCTTGCAGTCAGTCTTGTGTCCGTCCACCCAGGCTTTCCTCTGGCAAACCTAACAATAGGATCGAATCAGACACACGACTTGAATTGAAACATACCGCCAACGCTTACCTCTCCACAGTATGATGTTTGTTTGCAGCGGGAGCACAAGCGCAAGTGCGTGTTGTCAGAGGTATTCTCCTTTTTACCACAAGACCCACAGCATCTTGACTGGCCGTTCAACTTACGTGCGGCCACATCATCGCTAGCCTTCAGCAGCTGCTCAAGCGAGCATGGTATGATTTTGATAATGGAGGGTTCTTCCACGCGGATGCCGACGGACATGTCTAAGAAGCCATGCTGTTCGCCGTACAGTACAGCAACTGTGTGGCCCTGCTTGATCTGTGGAGCGAGCGCGTGTCCGCGGTCGTCTGTGTACAGCCCGATGGTGACGACCTGATCATCCTTATCCTTGACGCGTAATAAGATTCGACTGAGACCGTAGGAATCGACGATCTCGCCGAGGAAGCACCAATGTTGGCGCGGTTTAAATACGGATGGGCCCTCGTCGTAGTAGGTGTAATCAACATCATTTTCATCCGGAAGGTCGCTGAATGATGGGAAGTTGACGCTATTACGCAGGAGGCTTTTAGAACCCTTGGATTCTGGCATCGTCAAGGTCCGATGCAGTGAACTGAATCAAGCTGAGCTTGCCCGAATAGACCTCGAGGAAGAACAAACAAACGTACGATATTCTGTATGTTTGAAGCTGCTTCAACTTCAATCTGAGTTGGACAAGATGACAACTCGGAGAAGACAAGAGGCGTCTTGAACGGACACTCTGGAGACAAGTTTGTCGGAAAATAATGGAGGGAGAGGTCACGCGGAAGGGAAGCATAACAGCGCGAAGTAAGGGACGAGGACAGATGGAGCAAGGAGAAAGTAGATTCGGTCTCTCTCACAAGGCGTGTTGGCCGCGTGTTAATTGGCGGCGTATCTGGTTTCCAGTATGGGTTTAGCCTCCTGGCTTCCTGGATGCACTGGCCACGAGTCTAGTATGTCAGTGTGATTATCCGCAGCACGGTTAATTTTCTCAGGTGTGTTTAATGTGATCATGTAAAGGGGCAGGTTACCGTTGATGCCAAAGCTTTACAATCAACGAGAAATAATTGACTCGTGAAGCTTTCTTTGAAACATCACTGACGCGCGATTGAGGAGGAATTATTTTAGAAATAAATATATTCAACTGAGATATTTGCGGAGCAAACACGGAACAAGGTGACTCGGAAGCTTGGTGAACACGGAAAGCGCTTCCTACCCCAATCGATGATCTGCCCAAGAAAAAGGGTGTGGTGCGAGGGTGCACAGCCAGCTTCGTATGTGTGTATCTGGGAGCTCCAGAGATTGTGCTGGTCAGGGTTGAACGTCCAGTGTCCACAAGGGCAATTTTGCACAATATGAGGTGCACTATCGTAGGTTGTCGGTGGATAGCTTGAAGCACGCGATAGCGCAAAGGGTGGTGAAAAAAAGAAGAGCTTGGTGAAGTTTTGCGTTTACATAAATTGAGGAGCGTAGGAGGCGGAAACAAGAGACGCTACGGCATCTTCCGCTCGTCCAACACACAATTGAGTCCGTGCCTCGTACTTAAGGAATATATACGCCTCAAAAGATACTCTCCTGCGTCTTCCATAATAGCACAGTTAGCTGCGTATCGTTCATGCCTCACGAAAACATTTAATGCTTGATAAATACCCTGCAATCCTGGACTGGGGCAGTACGATACAATAAAGTGAGACTGGGATAATTATAGGATAACTCGGAAAGCCAGTAATTTATCAGGGTGAGGCATCAGAAGCTAAAACATTCTTGAAACTTTTCCCATCTCCTTGTCGTGAACCACTGTACCCCAACAAGTGCCTTGCAGTCAGCCTTGCCACAAGATCCGCACTGTGTTGGTTGGCCTTCGCGCAGTACAGCCATATCATCGCTGGCCTTCAGGAGCTGCTCGAGTGAGCATGGTATGATCTTGATGTTAGAGGCGTCTTCGACACGTATGCCGACGGACATGTCTGTGAAACAATGTTGCTCGCCATACAGTACAGCAACTGTGTGTCCTTTCTCGATCCGCGGATCGAGCGCTTTTCCGCCATCGTCTGTGTACAGCCTGATGGTACCGATCTGACCGTCCTTATCCTTTACGCGCAACGTAACTCGTTCGAGCCCGACGGAATCGACAATCTCGCCGAGAAAGCACCAGTGCTTTTTGGGTTTGAATTTGAACAGGCAAGCATCGTGGTATTTGAGGTTAAGTTCTTTCTCGGGTTCTTTCGGAAGGCCACTGAAAGTCGGGAAACTGAAGTCATCGCGCAGGAGGCTTTGAGGTTTCTTGGGTTTCGGCATCGTTTGCTGCAATCTGGTCGAGCGTGTCATAGACCTCGAGGAAGAAAGACCAAACCTATGAAATTCTGTGTATTGATCAAGTTGATTTGGACAACGTATGTCAGGAAATGAGAGGACGAGGTGGGGGATGGAAACTGACCAGCATCGGTCGAACCTGCAGGATTTTAAATGGTTCCCCAACAACGTAACTAAGAAACGAGGAATAATGGAAAAAGGGCTCAGCATGCACCACACAGAGCTTCAATGTACCTTTGTGCAGTTTAACTGGCTCATGAACGATAGTGGAGCGGGAGCAAGCTTCCCGAGTAAAGGGCTAAGTCCAACATAGGGTCCACGACCCCAAAGGACAATAAACTGGATTTTTACAAAAAAAAACTGGCTCATGAAATCGATCATCTCCTGGTGGCAATCATTAAGTTAAACCGATAGTTTGGAAATTTGAACGCACCATCTTTGCGCGATTCTATCTGAACAAGTCCCTTGTATAATGTAAAACTATGCTCCTACTGTCGGGTCCAGAACTTCAAACTTAAGCTGCAAGCCTCTAGGGATGATCATAGTGTTCTTGTTCGGGCACCAAGTTGATTGAGTGGCGGGCGGCCCGAGTCACAAACAACGACAAACAATTGACTTGAGTCGATCAACTACTCTTACCACCGTTCAGTTCAGGAGAAGATGAAAATGGCCACCCTTTCGCTGGACGAAGAAGTTCGACTATTTACAAACAATGCTGAACGAGAGAAGTACAATCTTCTTGGTACCTTGTACGGGATCATTGTCGCACTTGACTACCTCGAGCGCGCCTATGTTCGTGATGCAATTACCGCAGCACAGTATGTTCCCATCTTAAATTCACTTCATGTCAGACTTAGGAATACATACACTGCAAGAGATACTCTCCTGCGTGCACGCGACTTCTCTCGCAGTACATGACCATGCTCAAGCTTGTCAAGGATTCCGTTCCTTCCATCGAGCAGTTCATGACACGGTATCGGATGGATAACCCTGCGGCGTTACATCGCATACGAGTTGGCGTACCTGCGACTGTTGAACATTCTAGCGAGGCGGGACCTGAGACTGGAAAGTGGATCGCTGAGACGACGCAGGTTAGGGTTTTGTGTTGGAATGTTTCTTTTTCTAACCAGTCACGCAGAATTTTATCACATTCATGGATGCGTTGAAGCTTAGGCTACGCGCTAAGGATCAACTCCACCCGATCTTGCAAGAACTTGTCACAGGGTATGCTAGGTTTAAGGGGAGCAAGGATTGGGAGGGACGGAGCAAAATGGTCAGCTGGTGCGTGTCATTCTGTTTCCCGCCTGCTTTCGATGTCTCAGGCTCACATTATCAGGCTTATTACCTTGAACAGCATGAAGGCATCTGAAGAAATAACAGATGAACAGTCCCGGCAGGTAAGTTCACAAACATTTGTTGACGCGCTTCGCACTGATATTCTCATAGCTTTCGTTTGATGTCGAACATGCATATGCCGAATTTTTCAGGAGTCTGAGCGGCGGTAAGGAGAGGTCGTAACGAAGATGGTTATACAGCCCTCGATCATTTCATATCCAGGCGGCTCCGCTTTGGTTTACAAATATGGGCAATCAAATATGTGCAGTCGCAGAGCCTTTCAGGACCAGGCACACTGCGTGTGTTCATCAGCGGGTTGGATCATTGTGCTACAGAATGCTACCGAGCGCTCTGTAGCACTCTGTAGTGAATTACGTTTCCCTGATGTTGTCGTGGGCAGTCTCGCCTGATGCGAGCGGCTTCAGTGATTGAAGCAGCAAGTGTTGTCCACTCAGACGTATATAACCAATTATCAATCGGTTGCTGTGCCGCTGTGCACTCTTGGCATGGCACATACTGAGCAGGGCCTGGGGGTTCGTCTGCGCAACACAATATATACTCTGCTGGATGCTGATCAAGATGATCCTCACGCATAGATGTAAAGTAGTTTGCTAGGTATTATGAAATGTGATGCCCAAATACGGGCTGAAGTTCTATTAGTATTACTGTGGTGGACGGTGAGTGTTTCCCGTTGGCATGTGCTCCGAATTCAGATAAGTTGACGATCACTTGCATAGCAATGACGTTGCTGCGTTTACCTGCAATGTATCGACACTAGTACTCAAATAGTGTGATCGTATCACTCGTTGCGCTTTTTTGATGGTGATGGGATCTTGATGGACCTGGCCATCGCGGGGATGGCGGTTCGAGTAGTGAATGTCTTGCTTTGCATGAACCGTTATTTTAGGGAGAGAAGGTGAAGACAGGGAATTTATAATTGTTTATTTGAACAAGGACCTATGCGATTCTGTTAAGTTATGTTTTTGGATCTTTGGATTCGGTCTCTTGCACATGGCCCGGAACCGTAATGCAAGAGGCGCTACTGCCTGACAACTCTATTTAAAGATCTCATACTATGGCTCTTATTGTGAGTACTTTACTTGTTGATACGGAACTTGTGCAGGGCTGGATAGTTATATCGATATCAGTATGCGTCGAACTGTCTTCTAGGTGCTCGTTCACTAGTCTAGAATAGCTCCTCAACCGCGTGACTTATCTACAACGGCACCAACTACGTACGTCCGAGGCCTCGACTCGTGGTCATGAGCTGGTTATCAGGATCCGTAAAGGACGTGGAAGAGTATACGTAGCATAGATGATGATCTTTACGGAAAATTTCCTTGTGGTCAGTGATCTTCTGGAAGTTCTGAACCGGTCGGGAGGCTTATCTTATCAACTTGGCCGTGAGTGGCTGTGCATTTGCACTATAGTTCTCGGAAACTTTGAATTATGACAAGACCGGCGTCCGCAGTTGGCTGTGCCTCCCATTCTTGCGCAAGATTTTGCGACGGCCTTACGATTATATATAACTTCTTTCTTCTACGTTCACACTTTTGATTTTCAGAACAAATGTCGCCAACAAGCCAATACCCCCCAGCACATTCCAGTCAACTACTAGCAGTTGAGTCTTCGAGCGCTCTTCAGTATGGGTCTGCAGCACCACACACGACAGATTCATTTGGTCTTGACGAGGAAATGCCTCCAGCGTACACTCCATCTGCAGACACTTACCATGGAGAGAGCACAGTAGAAGTCGGCCCTCGCAGGCCCTTCCAACAACAACCCCGACCTAGTCATAGTCCATGGCACAGACCCTCTTATTCCCATTCCTCCTCTCATTCCCATTCATCTAATACCACTTCCTCATCATCAAATTCTCAGCCATTGTCCCCATCCCAACAGCGTCCGCAGCCGCTAACGTGGAGAGTCCCAAGCTCCTTTTCGGCGCCTTCTGGTCAGTCATACCAGTCTCGCAGAGGGGGCGGCGGCCTGGTTGGAGCACTCGTTGGTACAGTGCTTGGTGCAATGGATTCTGTTTCGGGTACGCGTGATGAACAGATGCGTACCGTGCAGCAGTCTCAAACGGGTGCCTATGCAGCTCCATATTCAATGTCTTCCTCTGGTATGACTCAGAGCACTTATACGCCGTCATACCGGGGGGGTCAAGGCCCAGTTCTTGGGACGCCTTCTGTGCATCAAACTCCTCCACGGGATGTTCCGGATGACGGTAGTCCCACTAGAACACCCACGCCTGGACACCCATTGCTCCATAATGGACAAATCCTCGTGTACCCCCATGAGGAATACACGTGTGTCAAATGTAAGTACACTCGCATCCTCTCCTATAGCTAACTTATGGTTACTCCCTTAAGGCAACAATACGGGGTACAAGAATTACGACCCCTCCCACCCCTGCAGAAAGTGCTGGGAGAAATACGGAAAACCGTATGCCGGCGCATTGACATACATATCCTGGGATACCAATTCGTCATCTCATAAATCCAAGTTTCAGCGTGCTCTGCCGAGGTTCACCCCACCGCAGGCATCATCTCAGTCCTCAAGCTCAAGTCACACCAGTCGGTCGTCGCACGTTCCTCCACAGGCGCATGCAATATACGTATACAATCCTATAATAGGCATGGGCCAGACCCCGCCCGTCCCGCATGCCATTCCTGTGCGCCCAGGTGATCCGCGCCTTGGGGGCCAAATTTGCCGCAAGTGTGGTGGTTCAGGGACGCTGCCGCTCTTGATCATCGACGTGAGACCGTGCTCTGTGTGTGGCGGAATCGGACGTAACTTGTGGTAGGTGCGTGTATGAGATGCTAATACAAAAGGATCTTGGTATGGTACGATACTGATATGATATACTATTCACCATGATTGATAATACTTTCTTGGGTTACACACTTTCATTTGTACCAGTATGCGCATTTATCATTGTGTACTTGTCCTCAATCAAAATTCATGTTCTGGATGGTCATATTACGCGCTCTGGAATGGCCCGAATGGGAAGGTTTGCCCCGTCATCAAAAATTGTCTTCCACCTCCATCCACTCGGCTGGAATAACGCCTCGGACATGGAGTTTAACCTAGTACGTGATGATCAGAATCTCTTGTCCTGATCAAGCTCCAACTCGGAACAAAAATGATCTACCAGTTTGATCATCGCTAAAAGGTCTATAGCGGAAAAGCAACAGAAGATCATCAAACACATCTGGTACGGGTGCGCCCACGCAACGGTACGCGCGCAGCAGTCGACGCAGCATGGACAATTTAGAACGCACGCATTAACATTACTTTGATCTTCTATCGTACAGCAGGGAGGCTCCTTTGAAATCCCTGACACAGCTCTAACAACAAGACCAGCGCCATAAACGGTGATGATGAACAGTTTGACTATTCGTCATCTGGGTGTAGCATCAACTCCGGGCGTACTTTCTCATCAAACTCCTCGGGTGTAAGGAATTGGAGTGCAACCGTCGCTTCCTTCAGCGTTGTTCCTTCCCTGTGTGCTTTCTTTGCGCACTTGGCTACATCTGCAAAGTATGATTGATTTTGAGCAGATTTGCACACTCATAATTAGCACGTACTGTCATAGCCAAGGTGGCTGTTCAGAATCGTTGCCAGCATCAAACTCTTGTTCAGGAGATGGTTGATGCGCTTCTCGTTAGCTCGGATGCCAAGCACGCAATTCTTTGTGAATGAACGGGAAGCTGACAAGTCCAGATAAGCGGGCCACTAAGCGTAGTCTGAGTTATGAACCCCTACCATCAGAAATAAGACGAATACTCTGCAAGACATTCATGATTATGACGGGTTTGAAGACGTTGAGCTAAAACAAATCATTAAATGGACAATGCGTTGTATGAAGTATGGATACCTCGAAGTGTCCATTGGAACTAGCGATGCTGACAGTGGTCTGGTTGCCCATAACTTGAGCAGCGACCATAGTCACGGCCTCGCACTGCGTGGGATTGACTTTACCGGGCATGATACTGCTGCCAGGTTCGTTCTCGGGGAGCATCAGTTCGCCGAAGCCACAGCGAGGACCAGAGCCAAGGAATCGAATGTCATTAGCGATTTTCATCAGAGAGCAAGCGATGACATTCAAAGCACCATGAGCCTCGACAAGTGCATCGTGGCAAGCTAGAGCTTCGAACTGCGGGTTTTGATCAGAAGTCAGACGAGGCACAAACTACTGTGAGATGTCTTGCCTTGTTTGGTGCGGTCTGGAATTTCAAGCCCGTAATGTTGGAGATCTCGGCTGCAACCTTCACGTCGAAATTCTTCCTCGTGTTAAGACCCTGCACGACACCTTAGCGCCTATATTCGTTGGATGTTAGATGAACTCACCGTGCCAACAGCAGTTCCACCTTGAGCCAGAAAACGCAAGCGAGGTAGAACGTCCTTAGCACGAGCGATGCCATTATCGATTTGCTGAACATATCCGCTGAACTCTTGACCAAGAGTCAAGGGAGTAGCGTCCTGATAACGATAAGACGGCGTTCAAATTTAAAGCCGAGCCTGTCACAGAATCATACCTGCAAGTGCGTGCGTCCGATCTTGATAATGTGGCTGAATGACTGAACCTTTTCGTTAAGTGCATCCCTGAGTCCTGTCAATGCCGGAAGCAACGAGTGGCTAATTTCAGTCACGGCGGCGACATGCATAGCTGTTGGGAAGCTACGGTTACCAGTAAATTCGTCAAATTAAGCATTCCTCGCGCGGAAACTTACGTGTCGTTACTACTCTGGCTCATGTTAACATGATCATTGGGATGAACCGGATTCTTGGAACCGAGTTCGCCACCAAGAAGTTCTATCGCACGATTCGAAATCACCTGTTAACGGATGAGGTAGAGCTACTGAGCACTCAAGAGTTTGAACGGCTCACCTCGTTTACATTCATGTTGGTTTGAGTTCCACTTCCGGTCTGGAAGACAACCAAGGGGAAGTGGTCCATGAGCTTACCGGAAATGACCTGAAGAAAAGTTCAATTCAAACACACATCCGAAACCTAGGGCGCAATCTCTCACATCATCAGCTGCTTTCTGGATGGCGTCGCCTATTTTAGGATCTAGGCCATAGCTGACGTTAATGATGGATGCTGCCTTCTTCACCACGCCAAAGGCCTTGATTAGGGGAGGCGGTAGCCGTTGTGAGGGACCACCAATATCGAAGTTCTGTAGCGACCTGGAGGAAAGATTCAGTAATTAAGTATGTACACCAGATCAAATATGCACACCGCTGTGTCTGTGCTCCCCAATAGCGATCGGCTGGGACCTGGAGGTCACCGAATGTGTCACGCTCAGTGCGGAAGGACTGGTTTGACTGATATAGTGATCACCTCTGCTGAGTGAGAGAAACTAACTTACCATGACGAGATGTAAGACGTAGTTGTATGGAAAGCGGGAGTGATCAGCTTCGGCGAGAGTGATCAGCTGGACTAAAAAGGCATTTGTTTGGCTCTTCTCCTGCCAGACCCCCAATCACCCACTGAACACGATGAAGGATTTACCGACTACACTCATAAATGTGGCTGTGCGTACAGAATGAGGTTAAGACATTGTATTGACGTGGTGCCTAAGATCTCTTGCCTTGCAAATTTGACATGAGAAATCATCACTCGCACATAGACTTGCATCAAATGGTGATATCAAAGGCCCTTGCTTGCTTCGACGAGCCTCTAGTAGCACTAATATTTGAATCTGACGGTTCAGAAATTTAAATCCAAACCCCCAAAAAAATCCACCATCATCATGTATGCTGCAGAGTTCACCACAAATGCTGACCAGCACTATTGCGAGTATGCCAACTGTTTTAGCGGTCATCCTGGCACTGTACCTGCTATCACCTATATTGAGCACAAAGATCCGAGCAAGCCCGGTAAATGGCTTTGTGAAAAATGCAGCCGATACCAGCGCTCCAAGTTCACTACCAAGAAAATAAGTGATGCAGGTAAAATAATTGCTCGGTGTGCAGACTTTGTCACATTACAAGTCTGACAATAATTTTCTTTAGTAATTCCAAATACCTCGAAGCATGGTTTCTGTTACAGTAACATGGCACGAGTCCCCCGCCAGCAGACAGCCCTCTGCCACCCGCACGGCTATAGACAATAGACGACACCAGGAGCCTCACCAGCTCTATAGACGATAAGCGGCAACTGCCGGCTTAGATAAGCGGTCTGGACCGCACGTGACATGACATGACGACATAGGTCTAGAAGACCTATTTATGTTATCAAGATAGAAGGCAAGCCTCGTGTTGCCTCATGAACTGATAGAAGGATACCACGTGGATCCTATCTCTGATGGAAGTGTACCGCATGGACGCTATCTACGATAGAAGCCCGCCTCATGGACGCTATCTCTGACACATGTAGATAAGCAGATTAGAACCCAGCTTTAGGCTGAGCTTAGATACGACGAGTAGCCTTATATAAGGTCGAAGATTAAAGTAGATGTTCCTTACTTTAATCTTACTAGGTTTACCCTTGAACTCCTTGTCCCGCTAAAGCTACCTGCTCGACATCAACTCGTACCTTCAGTGACGCCTCTCACTGTCTGTAAACCCTGCTATCATCTCAGTGTAACCCCTCGTTAACCACCACGAGCTACGTTCGAGTATGCAACCTTTGCTTGTCTGTAAAGGCCGACGACTCTCAGCACTCGGTACCACTGTCGTGGTTGTCACTGTTAGATTATCCTAGTCGCACATGACCGTTTGTCGTAACAGTTTCGGCCAGTCCGAATATGATGGTGCTGCAGTTCACAAGCAGACTGCAGAGGCGCAGCGTGGAAGTGAGTCGCCCAGTACAGTTGCATTTTATATTGAATACAAACCTTCATTTATTTTTGTAGAATCCCAACTTCCTGTTCGTGCAGTGGGGCTTAGTGTATCATGTGGGATGCCTCCACCTGCATTCATCCCAGGTCCCGTTCACCCGAGGCACGCCTCAGCAAATCATCAATTTGTTCCTTCACCCAACTGGCCTGCAGCTCCTGGCCCCTCAGACATCCGCCGTGCAAATCCATTAGGGCCCAACATATCTATTTATGGTCGGGACGCTCAGTTTATTGTGTACTCAGACCTTCTTCGAACTCTGCCACTCAAGCCTGGTTATCAAGATGCGCATAAAATTTATGAAGAGATGCGAGACCGGCTTGCTCGACAGGCCTATGCTTCGAGTGTTCCCGAAGTGGTATGCGTCAAGGCATACCTTGCAGTGATGATTCCACGGGCTAAAAAACCAACTCTAATATCTGTAAGTGTTGCTCTCTACAATTCCGAATTCAACTTCACCAACTTCGCTGAATCTTCTATAGGATATAGTTGAGTCGATCAGCAACATCCCTTACCGCATTGGTGCCAATGACCTTAAAACTTTGGTGTACCTCACCCTACTTCCCATGTTCATCAAGTGGTCCATGGGTCTTACTTTTATGTTTGAAGAGGCACATTTGCGTCTTGTTAGTAGTTTCGAGGAGATTCTTCCCCGTCCGTCTGGAGAAGACATCAATGCCATAGCATCCCACTTCCTCAAGACCAGGAACACGAAGCAGCAGTTCAACGCTGGCAAGGGGATCAAACTTCACCTCATTATTCCACATACGAAGTTCCTTGCCGCTGAGCAAAGGCGAAATGGTGAGGAAGTAGCTGAGTCCAAGTCTCGTGATGTTTGTTTTCAACATGGACTATTGGTACTACCTTGCATGACTGACAGAATACATAAACCAGGATACACCTCACGCAACAGCGGCAAGTTCATCTGACATCCAACATCTTTCAAGTCCTGCATTAGTACTATCTGCGGTGTCCCCATCAAAAATTTTGCAAAATGGCGCCCAATGTTCGCCTCACCCTGTCAAGCACAAATTATCATCGGTCAGTCATTCTTTCGAACTCTAGTACCAGCCTTATGCTCATTAGCATCGCACACAGCCTCCTGTCCCATCCACGCCCCCTCAAAAGCCTCGGACTTTGGATGCTGCAGTATCTCCGGATGTTAGCGCACTTCGCCGTGCACCTCAAGCACAAGCTATTCCCATATCCCAACCAAACTTACCCTTTCTCACTCTTCGCACGTTCAAGGCACTACTGCGGATAATCCCCCCCATATCACTATCTGCTCTGATTACTGATCCAACCACTTCTGACGTACCAAATACTACTGCCCCCCTGATGCAGGCTACTCTTTTTTTCGATCCACGAAGCAAACCAAAGTATGGAGCATTCAAAGCAGCACAATTCGGCTTTCTAGACAAAGCTATCCTTGGACCATCTGGATCTGATTCAACTCGCATCTGCTTAAAGCAGTGCTACTACCAGACCGACAAATCCAAGCGGTTTCCTTATCCCGATTGTCAGCAACTACAGCTGCTGCAGCCAGAGATTAGATGCAGCATATGGGCAGGAGCACTCATGGACCGGGTTCAGCAATATATTGCCACGGAACTAGTGACTCGTGGCACACCTCCCTTCAAGATTCCAAATATCCGCTTCGTGCATATTGCTCTTGCCACTATCGAGGACGCTGGTGTTACCAAAACATATCTAATTGAAGAGTTCATTGACGAGTCCACGCAAGGGAAATTTACCAAGTATATATCCAACGACTCGCCTTCCCCACTGCCACACCTTGATGCCAAATCAAGTGAAATTGCCCAGTACCTGTCATTTGCACAACATGTCCAATACATCAAGACCAAGAAACTTGCTTACGTTGCAGATTTTCAAGGCTCGTCTTTATTTTGGATATCTACACATAGCTTATTCGTTCTTGACAGGCGGAAGGAATCTTTTAACTGATCCTCAAATTATGACTTCTCCGTAAATCTACATCCCTACTACTATCCTTATCAATGAGTGGCTGACAGCAATTATCAGTGATCTTTCCGGACACCTGTTCGCAGATGGCAACTTGGCATCTGCATTTTCATCCTTTGCAGAAAAACATCAGTGCAACATGTTTTGTGAATTTTTCAAATTGCCATGTGACTGGTCTCGTCCAATACCCCCATTGTTCCATAAGACACCAGAAGAAGTTGCTGACAGCGAGAGAGACTCAGAGTCTGATGACGAAAGTGATGACTTTGGTGAAAAGAGCATGGTTCTGGGAACTCGTGATGATATTTCAAAAGACTAGTTACTTTGGCATTCCTGTCGTAGACACACGGTCGGCGCACTATGCACTATATAGTTTAATCGGTTGTCATCTGCAAGCACGACAGTGAAACACGCCCTGTGCGGCAGACACGGACTCCTCAGTCCCTGCTTGGCAAAGCTGTAAAGCACGAAGACGTATAGTGTGAGCCAGCCCATTGCAGCTCTTGCGATGACTGCGGGTGTCTATCAAGGCCTGGACAGCTGCTGGCTGACGACGAATGCAGGATTTTGCAGGTCAAGGACCTTACCCGACTTATATCCTTCCATCCTCGTCCAAGACAACCCCTCCACCTACCACAAATCCCTTCCCGCCGCCTCCAGCCGCTTTGGCGCCCACGCCTTCATACGGCCATCGGTATCCATCGCCTCCAAAGCCTGCTTTCCCTCTGCCAAATTCCTCTTACATTACCCTGCCCACAATGCCGGATATGCCATCACCAAGTTATTCAACATCAACGTCTCCAGCATCAACGGCATCACCCCCAACACCGCCGGGTATGGAGGACTGTACTGCATGCATCATTTCGGCTTCTTCATCTCCAGGTATACCAAAACATGAGCCTGTGCCAGTACCACCGCCATCGAAGCACAAGATGTTCGCATTCACTTCGCCGGCTGTGTGGTGAAGGCGGCTCATTGAGTGCATTGTGGTTTTTGTTGCAGTTCTCTTACTGCCACTTATACACTCATTTTTGCCCGTCTTGATGCAGCTGCCGGAACGGAGACAATGGGGCATGGCGATGGATTCTGGTATGATGGGTTTGGGAGGTGTAGGAGTGGAAGGTGAGGAGGGAGGTGTAGGGATGGAAGGTGCGTCTGTCGATGTGTGCATTGCGGACTTGTTCGGCTCTGGTACAGCCTCTGGGGATACTGGGACGTAGGTCCAGCGCTCGGCTACTGGAACGCATTTGGTGGGTATGGCCGTGGTGCTGGGTCCGCTCGGATCAGTCTGACGTGTCGGCTGATGTGGGCGTGTACTTTGGCGTAGAGCTGGTGGTGCTGGTGCATCAGGAGGTGGTGCTGGTGATGCATTAGGGGGCGGAGTCCTGCGGCACAGCCGTGACAGCAGGGGTCACAGGTGGCTCACCAGATGGAGGGGTACCTCCCACTGAAGCGCTGACAACAGGTACAGGGTCAGCATCACCCACGAGCAGGTGTAGGGGGGACAAGGCAGGGTCACCGTAGAATACGGACTCGTCAAATTGGACATGACGAGACCGAACAACGTGTTTGGCTGACACATCCCATAGGACATAGCCAGCATTGCACACATGGCCTAACAAGAAGCACTGGCGAGAGACGAACTCGTACTTGCGACGGGTGTCGTCAGGGATATGGGAGTAGCAGGCAAGTTGGAGAACTTGTACATCTCACAGTACTAGTACAACTTGCTACTCCCGAACCATTGGCGTCTGTGCTAGCTTCCAAGCCGCACTGTATGTATCGCCTCCAGTTCGGAGCTGAACAAGTCATACATTCATACATGTACATAGATGGTACTAAGTCTTTTCGCCAGTCTAGGACACTACTCACAGCGGAGTTTAAAGCTTCCGTGGGAGCAGGCTTCATTCCAGTGGAGGAGTGTTGCTGTTGGTCATTTTTGAGGAGCCGAATTTAGCTTGAGTTGGACTCACCTCAACAGCAGCAGCACTACAGTGGAGAGATGCCGACAACCTTAATGTATTACCAAAAGTATATCTAGGCATTTCTGCTACGGTCTCTTCCGCTGTCAGACTCAGACTCAGAATCCGTGAACTCTGTGAACTCTGGTTGATCTTCATCATCCTGATCCTCCCCTTGTGATCCCCAGTCCTGAACACCGTGAAGTGCTTGTGTTGGCGGGTTCACCATGCCTCCCATATACTGATAGCCAGCAGGTCCTACTAAGCCAGCATTTTGAGGGAGGTCCTGCAAGCTCGGAAGCAATAGAACATCATCATCTTCAGGTTCCGTAACTCCCTGTGAAAGCAGGACTGTCAGGTCATCTTCACCTTCGATTGCGAGGAACTGCGCCAGTAACATCTGATATACATTCCAGAATGAATCCGACAACACTTGCGGTTTGCCGAGTGAGGTATAGAGATATTGTGCGCGTTGCTCGAATGAAGGTGGGACAAGATCAAAGACAGGATGATCAGAGGGAGCATAAATTGCTTCGACCTCATCAAAGAGCGCACTTGGCACTGGAACCTTGAGAAGAGTAAGTAGTGTTGAGCTGCAGTCATGGACGACATACTTTGAAGTCAAGTGAATTGAATTCGTGAGGTTTCGCACGAATGATTGCTGGAATGCCGTGAGGAAGAATCTTATTTTTGTCCCTGCGGGGAGTGTTATGGTTTCTACGATGAGCCCATGCATCAAGCTCAGCCTGGAGCCATGGAATTGCAAGCCAGCGGAACATGTAGCTAGATAGTAGATGGAGATTGTCAGTAAATACATATGCAAGGAAGTGATGCATACCTTTGCAGCGTGTTGTGAATGTCATATAGTCCCCTAGTGACACCTTCCTCCAGGATATTCTCAAAACCTGGAGCAAAGTCCCTGCGAAGCACAGACCACATGATTTCGGGCTTGATGTTCTGGTGCTTTCGCATCCAGCAGTGCTGAAGTGTTCCGTTGAGTGCTGGATCTAGGCGGTGTCAAATCATTGTTTGTGCATTGGCAACAGCAAAATTTTCGGAGCCTGGATCGCTCTGAGTGATCAAAGGTACAGCTGAGATCACAAAAAAAATGACATGATCAATGTCTGATCAATGTGAGGGGCTTGGTGACATACCTCCGAGTTTTCGGCAACAGTCAAGGTAGTATCTAGCAATAAGGTGTGGATTCTTGTTGGTCCACCAAACTTTCAGCCAATTAATCCAGCCAGTGAATGGATCGAGGCTGATATGCAGCCATAACCCAAAGCGCAGCCATTTGTCGTGCTGGTCTTGGGGCCAGACATCATTAACCCCCGCACACCAAAAACGCCTCCGTTTGAGACGTCCACGACGCCTAGCTTCCACAGCAGTTGGCTCTGTGATCTTGAGAAGCTTGGCGATCAGTTCGCTGTTCAAACATCGATTTATAGTGAACAGTACTAGCAAGTAGACAGCAACTCACTGGGGTACGTGAAAGCTGAACTGCTGGCGCAGGTCTCATCTGATGGCCTCGGCACCTCGGTGTGGAAATCGTTGTCGAATCTCCTGGACATGCTGTTCGATGGACTCAAGAGTATGTTGTTGTTGCCTGGTCCGTTTCCAGCCCCAGCTATTTCGCATCCGACGAAAGCTGACAACGCTAGCATGATAAATTAGTTGAAGTAGTTGCACTGGACATATGTAAGACACGAACCTGAGTCCATATTCCTCCTGGTCATAATGGTCTTTGAGGTGGTGCACGATGTCAACATCACTCATGTTGAGCTTGAAATAAAACTGAGCCGGATCTTGTATTTCCCTGGCAGGAGCTATGCTCGCTCAAAAATAAGTGAAACTGGCAGTGATTCAGGCTTAACACTCACGACATGGCTTATGCTGGTTGGTGCGCCGAGAATGATCAGTCATAATATTGGGAGCACGATCCTGCACTCGTCAACTTGAACGTTCGAGTTGTTTTGAATTCCATCACAGATTGCGCTGTCATTGCATTAAGGTACGATCAGCACCTGAGTTACTATCTGTAACCATTGGAGGACTCACAATTTGACAAGCAATACATCTTGAATATATCACTAGAAACATTAATATAAGTCTCTCTCAAGCAGTGGTTGGGGGTCTGACAGGTAAAAGCCAAACAAACACGCTTAGCGAAGCTGATACGAAGCTGATCACTCCCACTTTCCATATAGTTGGAGGAGTCCCTTGATGGAGCTGTTACATAAGTGATAGACGGAAGGAACCGGGTCCTGCCGGGTACTGCGGTGGTACCATTACCCCTGTCACGCATCCCAACTTCTAATCAAAATGTTTGTACCCCCCAAATCTGGGCATTCATTTTGATGTTTCTATGAATGGCATTGAAAGTAAGTTTTGCCCGCACGTGCAATAAGGGATGCTGCGTTCCATGTATGCATGGGTGGAGGACTCTGCTCTTTCATTTGTGCATTCTGTTCCGAATCGCCTTTTTACCATCCAAAAGTACTCGTACCAGGCGAACGCGACCACGCTATACCGATCCGTCCCATCCAACGCGCCAGCACGAAGACGTTCAGATTACCATTACATCCACTGGTATCCGTGTCCCTTTTCCCTGTGGATGTCTGAAACTATAGTCTATCCATGGTGCTTGTCCTGCAAATGCCAAATGTTTGGAATTCTGATACGATTTGGTGAAAAGTGCCCATTACATTTTTTGATAGCTGAGAAACTGTAGATGCTAGAATAGATGAGCGTGCAAAAATGACGCCAAAAATCATTCCCTTACAAGTTCGTGTCAGTCTCACTGCTTCAGCAAGTTGAGGTCTGAATATTTGAATGCAGAGGTGGAAATTCATCATGTTGTTGGATCGCATTGGAGCTATCTCCACCTGCAAAGTACGTCATATCACCGTCTCTGGTCCAAGTACTATATTTAACTCATTGCTGATGAGAATCTACTTCAAGTCCCTCCCCGTCGCAGCCTGAAAGTAGCATTTCGGAATGAAAAGGTACCAAGAAAGATTTTTACTCACAAATATTGAGCATGCTTTCGGGCAACAGGCATCTTGCGCGAACTATGAATACACGCCCAAAATCCACAAGTCGACCAGTCATGAGACCATAGACGAATGAAGATAAAAATATCTAGTTTGAAGTGGAACTTCAAAAAAGAAGTCTATATTCAACACGTGACTGTGACACACGCGTTAAAAACACCAGACCATTCAATTATGAGACCAACACCGTTGAAGACACTAACTTAGTAGTCCTTATTCTCCTCTTCGCCTCTCATATTCAACTTGATAATGTCGTCGCTTACCCCGCTCAAGGCATCTATGCTCAGTCTCAAGCCACATAAAAACGAAGCTGCGCTCCGGATTCGCAACAGTTCTGCTGCCCTCGTTGCTGTACTCTTATTCACGCATCTTACTCCGGCGCCATCGCTATGGACAGCTGTGGATGTCGTGTTTAATGATTCAGGAGAAGGAAAATCTGCGTTTTGGATGATGTGCGCTGCTGGTGAGTGACCTTCTTCTACGTTGTTAATGAAGTCGCTGATGGTAGTTCGCAGAGTTGGCCATACTGGGTCTCTTCACCCTGAACGCCCTTCAGGCAGCTATAGGGCTCATGTATCCATCAAAACCTCTCCCACTCGCACAGTCACCTTCGAAGAGCCTCAAGACACCGCAATCACACTTACAAAAACGCCGTAATGTGTTGTCACCTCACGTAAAGTCCTGGTATCTCCAAGCGAGTGTTCTTAACTGATAATAAATAGACAAGTCCACAGCCGCAACGCACTTTCTCCCCATACGTCTCCTCTCCAGTGTCAACGCCTTCTCGCACCCTCCAATACTCCATTCCCGGACCCACGCCTCCACCTTTTTCCTCACTGAACTCCTCGCTTGGTATGCCACAGACACCCTCCCCTTTATCTGCGTACCGAGGGAAGCATTCAACGAGTACAGGACGTAAGCCATTGCCATTCTCTCTATCCTTGCCTGGTTCTGATCGCTTCATCAGACTCGTTCAACGGTTCGATCCTCAGTAGACTCACAAAAGACGATGATGAAGATGAGGAGTTTATGTAGATTTGTGATGCGGTATTTTTGTTTAATATCATGTCCATTGCTATCAGCGTTTTTGCGTTCTTCCAGCGTGCAATCGGTCAAGTCACTCGCAAATGTGGGAATATTCGTAGTATGCAATTTGCGTGCAGGCATCCTTCCAATGACCATACGCATCGCGCAGGCTTGGCAATCCAGCATTGTCCCCAGTGAGTCATAGCGTGTCTTGTTCCTTGTGATGCACATCATGCATGGTGCGTATCAGTAAGGCCATCATATCACACTCACTAACAAATCGACTGATCTAGGACGGTGATTGCCGCCTGTGTCTCACTCCGAGCAGCCCTTCTGGGTATGTCGTGAGACTACTAACCCGCGGTGAATCAACACGTGTGATCTAAATGTTCCTCTTGAGATCATATAATGGCACACGAGACCATAGCATCCCCTGGCACGAGTACAGAGAACGCCAATCTGAGAGAATAAATGAAAGGCGTGTTCTCAGGAAGGTCACTGATTATCTATCTGCAGATGATTCTGATTCATGTTTGAAAACAAAATTCAAATAAGGTCAGTTGCGCCTTGGGGTAGGGGCAAAAGGGAACGAAGAATCGGCACGAGCGTTCACGTTGCATCCTACTTATCAGCAAGTCAAATCCAGTGAGTACACACGAGATAAATCATATTTCTCTCTTTCAAACCAATCACTTCTGATTTTTTTCTCCTCGACAGACATGATGACTGCAACAGCTACTCGGACTTTTTCAATTCCAAGACCATCTGAATCCGAGTTTCGCCGACTTCATAATTCAAGGCATGGCGAGATTGCCCAAGCTCTGGACATGGATGATGAGGATTTCACGGTGTTCAAGGTACGCCTGTTCTCTTGCGCCATTTTCCTACTGAACCCAGTATCCGGAATACAGAGACAAGTGCGTGAGAAGATGTATGCATCGCTCGATCCCTCGAAGAAATTCGACGAACAAGATCCTTCAGCCTGGCGAAGATTTGTACAATGGGTAGGTCAATCTGTTTACTGCTGCAACGCTTTTGTAATTCTAGCATCTACTTTTAAGGCTTATGAAACCATGCCCTCCCTGATTTCGAAATATGAAGATGCTTGGCCGGTTGAACTATATGTAAAAATCAGCCTCAGCAAGCGTATTGCGCACGAGCGCTTCCGATTCAGAAAGGCAGTGGCGAAGTATAAACAAACGATGACCATAAGGTCTTCTTCCTCTGCAGTGCGTCGATTATTCGCCTTCCCTTCTGTCCACGCTCATTATGTACAGCAGGGTGAAGCGGAGATGTCACCGACCGACCTGCCGCCCCCCTACGATGAGATAGATCGAGTCACGGACAGCGAGACTCCTGATGTACACATGCATCCGGATGCTGCTCCCGAAAACATCGAGAAATTTTTGAGATCCTGTGACTTTGATCTCGGGCATCTCACTAGTACTTTCGTCACCCGACGAGCAGGTCTTTTCAATTTGGGAAGACTAGAGCTTCTCGCGTCATGGCCTGCCGCGTTGAGACGCGACCACTTGGAGAGACACTTTGGCACTATGCTTGATGATGTCGAGATAGAGGTTTTGAACAAGCGGTTTGTCGAGATGAGCCATGTTCAGATCTAACTTTGGGTTGATTTGTATTCACAATCGAAATGCAAATTAGGCTATCTACTTTGGCTGATCATCTTGCATTCAAAGTGTTGTTCGTTGATTCAGCGCATTTGCTGCCTCGTTTGTGACTTTCTCCCCTGGACGTAAGTACGACGACTGAATACGTACTCAGGAGTCAACGAGCGATGTGAACTGCGGCGAGGACATGGACCTCGACCGTTGGCGTAACCATACTACATTCAGAATAAAAGGCTGGAAACTATGGAAAGGTTGTACCAACGAAGCTTCCATCGAAACGACGACTGATGGGCGTCGAGCCTGGATCAAAACTGAGTATAGATAGACTCCGGGCCCATGTAGTAGCTTATGTCAGCGGATACTTGATGATCAAGCTTCTTCAGATCTTTGTTATTCGAACTTCTCGCCCGTCCTGGCCAGTCCGGCCCCCTGACCGAGTTGCCAACTCATGTTATACTAACTGCGGAAGGAGTCCTTCAGTTCTCCACAGGAATAGGATCACCGAAGGTTCTTGCAGCAGTCGAAGAGAAGACTCGGCGAGATGTGCGGCGTTACTACTAGTGACTAGTACCAAATCAATACAGCGATGCTTTGCAAGACTTCAAACTTCAAGAATCAAGATATATGCACAACTCGACACGCGGTAAAACAATGTTAGGTGTTTAGTCATGCGTCGCGCTGACATGTCCCTTGAGAAGCCTACCAAATTTGAAGTTCGTGACGTGGTGAATGTTCGTGGTCGTATCCTCATGGCAGAACTCCGAGCCCCGGATGCTTCCAGTTATGTTCCACCACTGCTGCTCACTAGGTTGTATTCTGTTGTAGCCGGCAAATACACTCCGGATGACATCAAGTTGCGACGGGAATGCATCGTGAAAGCCTGCAAAATATTGGTTTATAAGTTTTTCATTCGTCATGACTTCACCTGTTCTAACATTTTCAATTGTATGGTAGCCTAGGAAGAGAGAATATCGCCATTTTCTTCGGATATACTATGAGAATGGACAAATAGAATCACCGAGTAACTTATGCTACCGATGGACCAGTGTAGTCAGGCCATTCCTTCTTTTTCAGGCCGATGGGCCGGACACCGCGCTGGCAGAGGATCAGTATGGAGAACGGGTATATAATATGCAAGGCATATCAAGACTGAGAGACTTTGTCTTTTCTCGACAGCAAACTGCATCATGGCCCATGCAGAGCTTAACCGTCTGCAAGCATGTTTGAGCTTCGCACTCGACACACTCCGCAAGGAGATAGACAACTCTCAACTTCCCCCCCTGAGCCAACAAAGCTCAGTAGCACATCCATTGGATGACCCAACAACATACCTACCTAGTACGGGGTTGTTTGAAGCTCGTCGCCTCTCTTTAGGTACGTCATATTTTCTCTAATATGGACCAATGCATAACCCAAATTATCTATCAGCATGTCTGGTTGGTCGCTAACTGTACTCTATGTTTTATTCATCTGAGTATCTCTTCTAGGGAGAGCTGAAGAACCTTATCCAGTCGCCTTTGGATAAGATCATGGACGAGAGGTTCACGATATATGGTGTTGCCTGCACCGACACCCTTATCAAGACCGGCATTATCGACTACCTGTCTGATGTGCCAAACCCCTCCCAAGGTGTACCGGCTGCCGAACTGGCCTCAAAATTTGAACTCGATTCTCAAAAAATTGTTCCCATTCTCCGTTGTTGTGCAGCCAGCGGTTGGGTCAGGGAGACTCGTGATTCTTCATTTGCTTTGAACAGATGCGCGCGTACTTTCATTGAGGGTAACGCTGGTCGGAGACTGAACTTTTCGTATGTTTTTTCACTGCAACTGCGCTTGCCAAGGCTAAATATCGAGCAGTATGCCTGGGTTTATGTCGATAATAGAAACTATACCTCATTGGGTGGCGGAATCGGATTGGAAGTTGTCACGTTCTCCAGAGCAGACTGCTTTTCAAATCGCGTTCAAAACACCCTTGGTGGCATTCTCTTGGATTATTGAGAATCCAGATGTCCTCGTTCCAATTGCGGATCACCTTCAAGTCAGTGATTCTCCCAGTGTTAGAGAATTGCAGAGCACTTATCTAACTTTTGCTGTTTTAGGTCTTTGGTGACATGTCTACCCCGAGTATTGTGGCGGACTACCCATGGGAACAGTTGCAAACCCCCGTCATCGTTGATTGTGGAGGAGGGGAGGGCGGTCTAATTTCGTCTATCCTAGATGCGTAAGTTGGCGTACGTATTCCTTTCCAGAGGTATCTCAATCATGATAGGCATCCTTCCTTCCGAGCCATCGTGCAGGACATGGAGAATGTAGTCGCACTGACAAGTTCGATCATGGAAGATCGCCGCCCTCGCGACGTTGCAAATGGTGTACTCAAGGTGGAACCCCATGACTTTTTCCAGCCTCAGCCTCGGATTGGAAACGAGTATAGCTTTATCTTGCGTCATATAATGTGAGTGCTCATTTCACTTACCCTGAATTTGCTCATAACAGTCTTGTGCCAAAGGCATGATTGGCCGGACAAAGAAGCGGTCGGTGTAGCACATCCTACTTCAATGACATAGCTGACTTTAACTTAGACAACGATACTGGGACATGTAGCTCGTGCACTGGGTCCCAAGGTCAATAGCTAAATTTACAGATTAATGCGCTATGTCTGATGGATTTTACAGTCCAGGATACTCATCATCGACATGGTAGCTGTCCCGAACGTAGATTCGACTGCTACGAGCGTGCAATCATTGATGCTTGATAGCGGAGCTAAAGGTCCCGACTACAGGATTCCATCGCACTTTGGTTCAGCGTCTAGAATCGTAAGCGGTTCTTCTGTGCACATGATGACCATGATAAACGGTTGCGAGAGGTCGTTGGTACGTGCAGAACAAAGTTTGACAATATGCCACTAATGATTGAACAGCGTGAGTGGGAGAAATTGGTAAAGGGATGCGGGCTCCGTATCACGAACGTTTACCCGCTGCGGGCTCACACTTCCATTATTGAATGTGCACTTGATACACGAGCATTGCTGTAAAAGAATCCCGGAGTAATGTCACATCGAGATTTCCCATGCTGGTATTTCCAGGTGCACGCATCATACGTTGCTTCCAAGGCGGATTGCCGCACAAATTCAATAGATTTTCCGAAAGTTTTCGTCGTGGCCCTTGAGCCTGGCAAGATTTTTATCCTGATTGCTCACCTGACGAACATGGACTTCTATTCCCAGGTCGAGTTGTTCAGTAAGGTACGAGTAATGTGTGTGCTCTTCCACAGATATGATCTTCAGGGAATCTCGAGACCTTCTGCAAGTAAAAACATACACGAGACGAAGACCCGATCAGCGTCATGTACGTTTCAGACGATGGTCCACTTATGTGGAATCGTGTACCCACCAGAGCATCGATATCTAGCCTATGTTTTTATCAGGATCAATGACGATCATCAAGTAATTGCCAAGCGCGATCTCGTATCTTTCCTCCTCATACCCGCTCTCTGTGATACTATATGCAAGTAATCGTGCCTACCCTCGTGCGCAACTTCATTTCTGGACCCCTTTGACCAGGGGGGGGGGGGGGATAGCAGAGCATTTGTAAATAACGCCTCGACTGCAGGGAACATCCCATGTCCACAGATAAGTAGGGCATGAGTCCCGTCATAGAAGCGGACGTCAAGGAGTGTGAAATCCTCTGGGGGTAGCGATCTGCAGTGTCGATCAAGTGGGCTTGCAAATGAATGACTTGATGGCTTTTATACAGATAAGCGCGCTGCCACTGCGGGAGGCACATGAATCTGGTCGGTCAGGCCAAAGTCGGAAGAAGACAGTACTATTCAATAACGACACAACACAAGTCATCCAGACGTCTATCATCGTACAGTGCATCAAACTGAAATCACCTACTTGGGATCGAAACATATAAGAGGGGTCAAATCGCAAAAATACCTGACATAAGTAGTTGAAGCTGCGAAGGGAAATATATCAGGAGGCTGATCTATGGCATGTAGTACCAGTACTCGTAGGGTAGCCAATCTTATGCACAATCGCTATACAAGGTTGGGATCTACTACTACTTTGAGGAAAGGCATAAGTGCAACATATTCCGCTCGTTGCTCCTCTGTGGTAATCGCTACAGCGCCGAAATTCAGGTTCTCCAGGGAACGCTCTGACTGTGCCAGAAATCCCTTGAACTCTTCATGGGGCCACATTGATGTATTCCAAACATCAAGTGAGCGCAGATTGGGGAGTGAGAGAGTATTGAATACGCCGGATAGTGGGTTACCAAATATCCAAGCCCTGCCACAGAGATGCAAGGATTCGAGTGTGGGGTGCGTGAATGGCTCCAAGGGCTGTATCTGGGAGACGACTATGCCAGTCTTTAATGAGGAGAGGTTGGGACATAGCTGGAGCAGACGGATGAATGCATCTTGTTTATCTACGTAGATCTCGACTTCTGTCAGTTGGGCCCACATGGGAGCGAAAGAAGCCAGCAGCTCGAGGTCAAACCACCACATCCCTGGAAACTTGAGACTGGTCAACGTAGACGGCAGTTGCGAGATGGATTGTGCAATAGCTGCGGTATGACCCACAATGCTTAATTCCTGAAGTGCTGGGAAAAAATTGAATGAAAATGCAGGTTCGTCCACTCCGTGAAAATCGATGTAGAGAGAAGAAATTTGATGAATATGAGGTTGAAGAAGGCTTTGTGCTTGTCGGGTCCCGTTACCGTATAAATGGAGCGCCAGCGAGAGCGGTTGACCTAGGGTTCGCTTGAGCCATGCCTCATAGCAGAAAACTCTTCGTTGCCAGTCATCGTGCTGGACTTCCAACCGCAGGCTGCACCATAACCTGGGCATGCCCACAACAACCTCCCTCCATCGTCGACATATTCTTGTCAACAGGATGGGAGCCAGCCTTGACGCAGGCGACAAATACTCGTCTTCTGGGAGACAGTAAACGAAAATGTGGGATAGGATTTCAGTGGGCAAGCGCGATAGAGCCGACGATCCGAGTCTTTCGTGCAAATTGATGGACTCGATGACTTTGTTCTTCTCTTCGACGAGTTGCCCGTGAATGTTTTGGATACTCTCCATAACTGCTTTCAGTGTATCCAACTGCTGCTGGCGTTCAGTGAGGATGGCGTTAAGGCTTCGGCCTTTGAGCGTGAGTAGTGCATGATGATTATGACTTGGGATGGTGGCTGTGGAGTTTCCGAGGTCTGCGATCTGTTCGTGGTGACGTGGTCAATGACGTATCGGATATGAATACCTACTGCCTAGACCTACGGTTGCTTGTGAGCGTAGCTTTGAAGCAATTGTAAGTTACTATTCGGTATGTTTATTATTATGTAATACTTCGACACTCACTATGTTCTGCAATGCACCGATTACGTCTGAAACCGCCGTGGAGAAATTTACATTTGAATCGACTGTCTGCACATACATGTTACAGTCGTCGGTCATGATCGTTCAAGGAACTTAGAGATCATGAAATTCGGAACTTCACGGCATTTAAAGTACAGGAGCTTACAGTAGGCTGCCTGAAGCTCCCCCATATGTATGTCTGTCCTCTGGTATCTCGGACCCCAGCTGACCGCTGCTGCACTGCCAAACTTTATCTCTACGACGAAAAGTTGATAACGACCTGATGGATAAGAATTTTTTCATCCGCCTTACAGCCTCCCCGAGCTAATTATGGAGACGGACTCGGATACCATGCTTGGTTTCAAGTGCGAATTAATATATATGCTCCATATTGTTTAACACTCATTTCCGCAGGTATCTTTTAACAACAAAAGTGAGTCAGTATACTCTATGAAGAGGACTCCGACGTAGGTGCCGTGGCTGCCACTACTGGTAGATGTGTCGTCCAGCGTCATACCATCATTTTCTCATTTCTCCCGCCGCTTCCAGTACGAGAATTACAATCATGCCTCCGCAAATGACATTCTCTACCACAATATTGGAAAACGGGTCCTCGTGGGATGAGCTCCCCTGTTTATTTCTGTTGAATTCTAAGGCTACTGGCACACTCTCCACTACGTCGAGGGAAGGAATGAGGGCAACGTACTTTGCTCGCTGCACATCCATCACCGTAAAACCACGGAAACTCAGGCGCTCCAAGGGACAATTTGACCGTGCAAAAAGATCTATCAACTGCTTATGAGGCCATCTAATCTCGTCAGCGGCCCAAACACAGGCATCAAACATGCGCAAACTGGGGAGTGATAAAGCATCGAACAAGTGAGCTAGGAACGCCTCCTCGTCAGCACAATTCAAGCACAAGGATTGGAGGTTGGCGTGTGTGAATGGTTCCAAGGTCTGTTGACGATCGAAATTTGCTTCAACCGTCAACGAGGAAAGGTTGGGGCATAAACGGAGCAAATGGAGGAATGCATCCTGACGAAAAAGCTGATCTTGACCTGTGTCAGGTGGGCCCATACGGGATCGAGAGAAGATAGAAGATTGATGTCAAACGGCGAGTACATGATATCGAGAACGTGCATTGTGGATGGGAGTTGCGAGATATATTCCATCATAGCTGGAATGTCACAACCATGCATGTTTAGTATGACCAGCTCTCGAAGTGCTGGCATGTCTTTTAACAAAAGTTGTGGTTTGCCCGCTCCGCGGGAAAAACATATGGAGAGAAATGAGATTTGATCCATGTAAGGCTGGAGAAGGTTTCCTAAGAGCACAGTTGAGTCGTAGCGCTCGAGTGCTATTGAGAGCGGACGTCCTCGTGCCCGCTTAAGCCACGAGTCATAGTGGAAAACTGCTCGTTGCCAGTCTCCGTGGTCGACATCCCCCTCCCAGACTCTTTTGTTGTTGTAGTAGTCATCGTCGTTGTTGCGGTGAAATACAAAATCCTCTCACCTGGCTGTGGTGACGTTGAATTCAACATGCAACCTGCACCATAGACTGGGCATATCAACAGCAACTTCCCTCCATGGTCGGCATATTCTGGTCAACAACATGGGGGTCAGTTTCGATTCGTGTGACAAGTATTTGTCTTCTGGAAGACAGTGATGAAAAAATTTGGTGCAAGACTTCAGTGGGCAAGCGCCAGAGAGCCGATCTGAGTCCCTTGTGGAAAGTCATGGACTGCTTGATATTTTCCTTCCGTTCGACGAGTTGCTGGTGTAAAATTTTGATATTGTCCATGACTGTTTCCAGACCTGAGATCTCATACGACACTGCATCCAGCTGCTGCTGACGTTCAGCGAGGATGGTGCTGATGCTCTCGCTGTTGGAATCGGTGGTGGGGAGGTAGGTATTCGGGACGCTGACTCGGAACAACGGGGTGGTTAGGTCTGACATCTATGAATGGTCAATGTCACATCAGATATCCACAGTGCACATAGAGTCAAAGATATACTTACAACTACCTGTGAACGCAGCTGAAGCGAAAAGTTATTACCTGCAGAGAAGAATGGAAAGATCAGCACTTACGATGTTGTGCAGTGCATCGATGATGTCTGAGGCCGATGAGAGATTGTCTTTTGAGTTAAATGTCTGCATGTTGTTTGCTAGCGTGTGGGTCAAGGAACAAAGTTCGGAAGACAACGAATGAACAGGAGTCGACTTGGAGTTGGCAATTTTATGACCGCACCGTGACGTTTATTGAACCGTGATGTGACCAATTCAACGAATGACTCGCAGCGACACAGTCAAGGCTATTCAAATCAGTGTCGATTGCTTTCATCGTGATTATCCAAGAACCACTCATCTGCACAGTAACCTTTGGAAGGGTAATGCTTTGGGCAACTCAATTTACCAGGTCGTGACAACCGAAGGTACGAAGTGAGTTTTCCTTGTCCCCTACTGTGGTCATGTTTTTGATGGTATGGCAGGTATGAACACTGTCAGTGGGTCATTGAATACGTATTGAAAGCACCAAGTTCCATATCAGAGGGCCGGTCTCCCCCAGGCAGCATTGGACACCTCAAGCTGAACAATACGAAGCTGCCCGTACTAGCTTTGCGTCTTTTCATTTCCTCTAAATCCACATCTTTCATCTCAACACACCTGAACACGGCCACAAACGCAAGCGTACCATATGTCTTCAGCGCTCTGAGCGCCAGCACAGAGAGCATGGGAATAAGATAGATGATGCTGATGGGCCTCTCGCTTGATGCATACACCCGCATATCTGTATGCGAGCAGCTGCGCTCTTCTGGAAGTGCATCGCTCTGGCACAGTTTTCGGATATTCGATTATCAGGATCGAAGCGCCGAGGTTCTCTACACATAGCAGCGCGCCCGACTAGTGGGACTACGTTGGAACTTGGGAGAGTTCAACTTTCCTTTCTAGTAATAAACAAAATACATGCAAACAGGACAAGGAACTCGACGCCTTACTAACGGCTTCTCAATTCGGAATCAATCTCGAATATTACAGAATGTCGTCAATCGCCATTCAACCAAATACCGGGTAACTTCTAGAAGACACTCGTATCATCGTGGACATTACAGACGTTCGTTATATATTGTCACGGACATGTATATAAATGCTGGTTAGAGTCGCTCAGACTTCAGCAAACTCCTCCAACTTCAATCAATAATAACTAACAAAACACCTTCTCTCGACATCTACTATTTCTGCACTTAATCATGTCTCTAGTGCGCACATTCTACGATCCATTCACCGAGTTCGACAAGCTATTTGACGATGCTTTCAATGCTCGTTTCCACCCCTCCCCTACCATCGAGGGTAATACTACCTTGACTCAACGCCGTGATCGGGCATTCCCTAGGTAAGCATAATCTAAATCTCAATGTAAGTTATGTCGTTGACTCGTATCAACACAGAATGGATCTACACGAGAACGCTGAGACCAAGACAGTCACGGCGACATTTGAACTTCCTGGCATCAAACAACAGGATGTCAATGTCGAGGTCCATGGAAATCGCCTGACAATATCCGGAGAGTCGAAATGCTCGGATAATCACAACAAGGGCAGCTATGTGGTGCAGGAGCGCTCTTATGGCAAATTCTCCAGGACCCTTCAAATTCCTCAGGGAATCAAGGTGAGCACACTAACATGTGGATTCCTTGTAGCGATCCGGTGCTGACAGTTATTGTACCCTCCAGGCTGAGGATGTCCACGCAAAGATGGAGAATGGAGTGCTTACTGTGTCCTTCCCGAAGGCTGGACCGGACCAGCAACCCCAGCGAATTGCGATCGCGTAACGCGGTGGATTTGCTTAGCCCCACCCATTATCAAATTTGTATCATTAGCGTAGTGCGAAGGTGTAACAAAGGTGTAAAAGTAATAGTGTAGTATATGTACAACAGTGGTTACCGGGCTCACCTGATCTTTTTTTTGGATCGAAGTATTTTAGTCATGCTACCAAGTGGACGCCATTGAAACATTATGTATTCAAAAGCAATTCTCTTGTTCATCAGAGACGGACAAAAACAGAGGCCATAAAACTGTGCCATCCAGTGCACTTTGCGCTATATCATGTCAGACCACCTCGAGTACAAACTAAGTCTACGAATTCATCATCGCTCGGATGTGTGCCTCTCTTGTTGTGTTCACGACTTCAAACGAGTAGTGAAATGGTTCAGGGCGTCTTCGGCAGAGTCAGTCGCAGGTTATTGAATACATACTGGGTCACCTACGTAAGTAAACCAGTGGTGAACTCTGGCTTCACCTCAATCCTGTCTCCGTTTGAGTCTTTGGCATGATCGATGCGCAAGACGGCGAGTATAGCAGCAGCTGCGCTCCACAGACCGTTCTCTGCAAACCAACGACCTGCCAAAGGCATTTGTCACAACACTGCCAAATCAGCCATGAATCAGCCTACCAGGACAAATACGCCTGCATGGGTCAGTGGATGATTGAAGATGATAGTAAGGTTGAAAAATTCACCTGCCATGACCAAAGGCAAAATGGTTGACGAAAGGGTTCTTCAGCTTCCCATCGACGGTCAGATGGCGGCTAGGATCGAAGCGTGATGCATCGGGAAATATGTCTTCATCTCGAGACAGTGCCCTGAGCAATGCTCAGCTCAACCCATTACATGCACTCTAGCCTGACATACCACTGATTAACCATTACTATTGCACCTGATCGAACTACATATGAGTCAACGATAACTCTGACTCGTACGACTTCGAACCTTTGGGTATAAAGTACCCATCGTAAACATCATCATTTGATGTCGCATGTGCGATTCCTGTGTAAGAGGTCAGCCATGCAAACACAAAGCTATATTACCACCGAATAACCTAGGGGGCCGGGAGGATTCCATCTCAGGACCTCGCGGAGAATGGCATCAAGGTAGGGCAGTGACGCCCTGTCATCAAGGCACGGCATGTTGTCATGCCTCACAGCCTGGTCAATTTCTGCACGAGCATGGGATTGGACCTCAGGATAGAGCATCATAGCCAGCAGGAATGTCTGCAATACGGATGCAGTCTGCGAGACAACGAAGTAAGAATCAGAACTGTTTCAAGTGCTCAAGTAGCAACTCACGGACTCCATGCCAGCTAAGATGCCGTCTTCTCGTCAATGAATGAACTCTGTCCTGATAAAAACAAACTCTGACCTACGTATCCCGTCAACGCAACAGCCTTCATCATGTCTTCGTCAGTGTCGTCGTGAGCTTGACTGAGAAAGTCAGTGACTAATGAGCGCGAAGCAGTACCATCTGCCTTCATGCAAACTGATTAGGCAGAATTTCCATCCATAAGTCCGTGCGAACGTACTATCTGTGCCTTCACTTCATTAAAGGGCTCATTCAAAAGTTGATGACATAATTCTCTACAATGTCCCATCAGGGCAAATGCTCCACCAAAGCACCAAAAAGGCAACTTTTCGACTGCAACCTCATGCTGAATGTTCAAGATGATGTCGTCGACAGAGGCACTCACGGAAAGGAAAGGCTGTGAACATGGCAGCCTTCTCGGGAGTGGTAATCTGTTTGCCGATATCAAGGAGTTCGTGCGCACGGGAAAGAAATGAGCTTTCATGAGTGAGATGTCCGTATGTCACGGTCATGATTACGGATCCCGAGTATCTGTTACAAGGATTGATCGTCAACTGGACCATACGTCACAACGACATCCTTGGATTAGGTACGAACGCTTCAGTGTGTTGCCGCAGTAGGTCACTAGTGGCACCTAAGAGATCAATGACTAGTTCATTTGCATGGCGAGAGTATATCTCGTGGTACGAGATTGAAACTTCGGCCCTAAGGACTTGATGGTAGATCTTGCGATGTTGTCGTAAGGTCTCCCCATACGGAAGCATCACAGAATTGAAATCCAGTCCAGCTCTGCATCGGCAGCGGATGAAGAACAAATTGAATGAAGACCGGCAATACGTACAATTTGTTGGTGCGAACAACGGGACGGGTGGAGTAATTCGCAGAACGCTTTTCCAGCAACTCCTGGGCGATGGTTTCGGAGTTTATGATGATCATGTCGATCCCAAGTATGCGGGAGTGGATGATTTTTCCTACGATCAGGCATGAAGTTGAATCCAGGAGCTTGGAAAAGAGCTACTAACCATATGTCTTTCCCCATGCAGTATATGTGAGCCAAGGACGTTTAGTATTCAATTGCAGCGCGTTACCCAGAAATGGTATGGGCCGAGGGCCGGGTAGCAGAGGTAAAGGGTAGACACGTCTGCGAGACAGACCCAAAGCGACAACCAGGGCAATAATGCACGATATCCCTAGAGTGAAGAGCATAGGAAGGGATTATAGTCGAGCATAAGGCATGCTGCAATTTGAAGTTAGTTCGTCTTGTCATATCGGCAGCTTGCTGCCTTCGCGTGAAAAACTGATAGTTCAGCCTGATGAGTCTACATAGTACCCGCGCTATCTTGGGATTATCGAGCAGCGTTTAAACTCCGCCCGAAGCCCCAGAGCAGCCGCTGGGTGACGTTCTCCGTTTTGTAGTGCTTCAAATTGTGAGCTAGCGAATTCCAGCAGTCGATAGACTTCTGGTGAAACGACATGTAGCTACATCATGTCGTACAGCTGAGAAACACTCACCTATAATCTAATCATTGGTATTGCTCCCGTCCACTGCGTCAGACTGCTCTGCTTTAGCACGCTACTTATTTTCAAGACTCTAGGACAGACACCATTCTTTTGTGACTGCGTGTATTCATTGGTGACTAGTGACTACTCGGGTGCCGAAGACAGTGCACTCTAAGGTGGGTTACAATGCTCCTCGGCGTGGAAGACCGAGGTTAACAGAGGTGACAACTAGCCGTGCTGTGCGGCGCTGCACACAAATGTTTGGAATAGTTGCATCAATTGGTGGCATATTGACAGGCTCCGACAACACGAGGACTAGGTCGTCCCACAGCCGCACTGCCTGCTACCTATTCAAAGTTGAAACGATCATGCCTCATCGAGCTTGATTTTGACACCAGAATAGTAGAGAGTCTGCTTTGGGGTTTAAGTTACTACACCCGGGGCCCGAGGTACGCATGGATACCCATCTTTAGCAAGCTCTGATCTGTAGGTGAAGCTATTCTACCACCATACCATTCGTCCCAGACTCCCACGTTCCGTCCGCGTGTACTGGGCAGTACCCGGATAGCCCTCGAGACCTCACCCATCATGTCATACTCTATCGTAGGCATCTATTATACTCTCGGAAGGGATTTATTTACTGATTCTCATCTACTCACTGATCCAGATGCCATCGTTTATCTAGTACAATGTCATTCAATCAGAAATGATCTTGGGTGAGGTATCTCTTTTGAACGCCAAATAACTTCTGGTACATTCACCCTTTGAACTGCTACCTCAACGGCAGATTCGTTTAGCCATCCTTTCTAGCGGGTTAGTAACAACACTGCTCCCGACACTGCTTCTAGCGGCGCTGTTTCCCCTAGAATGCATGCAATATCGTTGAGGATGACATATTCTCTGATGCTACTCTGGAACCATACGATAAACGATCTCTGTCGACCAATTTCGGCCGTTTCCTTCCGGAATATAAAAATAGGTCTCCCTAAGGTGATTATGTTCCAAGCATAATTGTCTGCTAGTGCAACCTGTGAGCAATTGCCCCATCACGATCATCGAGTCTAGCCTGCCACTCGAATGCTGTCCCCAATATTTACGCCCCGATCGGGTTGGGTTCCCGCATGGATAAGAAGGTGCGTGACGTGTATGCGAGAACCCTGCTTCTTCACTTATCAAATGATGTATTCGGCAGTCGATCTTGCAGCGGTCATGAGGCTGCAGCAATTAACGGTGCGTTGCTTTCTTAACACGAAGGAGAGATAATATACCATGTCCCACCAGTACCTATACAGTACGTGCTTTCTAGCATGCCTCTTCCTCGTTCTAACTTGACAACTCAGTGTCGATAACAGCGTTCTGGGTAGGCTTATCCCGACTCTTCCGAGTCCCGTCCGCTGTTAAGCTCGTTTATCCAGATCTATGAATATGCTTGTTCCTTTCACGAAGAGGTAATAACTCGTGTCGTTATACACCTCGGGTTGAATATTGAACACTGTTCAAAGTGGGAGTTTCTACGTCGGTCGCGCTGGACCAAAGTAAAAGTCCTTTACATCATTACACGATATCTCCCCTTTTTTCTCATCACCATGTACCTATGTTGTGCGTTGATGAGCTCCAGTATAATCTTCCCAATAATAAACTGACATGTTGTGTTTCAGTGAACCTCACCCCGACCGAAAACACCAATGTATGTGGATGTACAGCGGACTTCGACTGATGCTCACTGCATGATTTCGTCAGAAATGTAGGATATTAATCAACATTTACTCATGTACGTGCACGGTACATACTCCATACACTTCCTTGTCGAGTGCTGCTCTTTCCTTTCATAGTTGTCAGCCAGATATCACTCACTTTCTCTGAAAGTATTTCTTCTTCTTACACGACATATGCGTATTCCTCATCCTATTCAAGGTTTCTTTGCGCTCAGAACATATGCGCTCTGGGACAACAATAGAATCGTACTCTTAGGCCTGCTGTCCACTGCTTTCGTGAGTCCCATGCCCTCAACACACTAGTGTTCATGGTTGATGAATCAGTCAGGTTATGGTCGTAACATCCGTTGGCATTCGTTTTACCATTATTGCCACCTCAAATAGTCTGTGATCTCACCTTCCCCCATTACTGTTGGCACATATTCACTCCACTTTCACAGTCACGACTAGTACGATACCAGGCATCCAAGGCTGCTCCTGGAGCCCGAGCGGTGTCTTATACTTGATGTTGTTTATTTTCTTATTTGTGTTTCAACTGGGTGTGTTTCCGAGAGCTGGGATGACGAATTGCACACACACGCTGACTGATGCTTGCCCCAGGATTAGTATCCCTCACACTCATACGTGTCATACAGAGCTGGCGGTCGTCAAAGGGCCATCTGTACGCCGCCCTTGTGAAGCATAACATATTCTACTATACATGCGGTCTCCGTGAGTCCGTACTCATGCATATTTCTGCGCTCATTGGTGATGATTGTCGTCCCGAAAGTTTTTTCTGCCATAAATGTCATCATGCCAGTGCTATTTCCCAATGTGCGTACTCTTCTTGCTACGCATCAATGTGATCGAGTCGTTGATATTCCGCGCACACAGTCCGCATACTACATCGTCCTGGAAGAGTATGTACCTCCAACTTCTGCTACGAATTCCTGCTACTGATAACATCCCAAACACTTTCAGCCTTCAGGTATGTATCCTTCGAATCCTCGCCACGCGCATGCACCTCCATCTCTGGCATATCGACCAGCACATGCGCGACTCTGATGCCGTCATATGCACTTCTATGTTCGACATGTCACCTGCAGACCTTATGGTGTAATGACTTATCGTGTAGTTTATCTGTCGCGAGATTTGGACTAGTAGATGACTGGTTGGGGTGGGACGTACTTGACTTTACATGATAATGCATTTATGTCACATACACAAATATTATAACACGAAATCACAGAGCTCATATGTAATCAGAGAGGCCCTGCGGGCGCAGATTATGGTCATTCCCCTTTGATTCCCCTAGGTCTTCATGCATACAATTAGAAGGTATATATATATCCGTTACTGCCAAGGTAGTAGTGCTACTATTCAAAATGCGAGACTGGAACGCGGGCTGAATGAGTCATGTTTGGTTTCGGTTAGACGCCTGCCCATTTCACAACTCGTGTATCATGACTCACAAACATATTCTATTGAAGGGTTGGCGAAGGGTAAGTATGGGCTACAGCATAATCTCGTTATCATCATGTCATCAACTACGTAGTACAAAACGACTGTCCGAGTCTATCCAAGTTAAAAGTAAAACGAGCAACGCATAGGATCTGTTACTACTGAGAGGGAAGGAAAAAGGGTACCGTATTCTTCTAGCTGCTGACGCGTAGTTATTACTCCACCGCCAAAAATCAAACTCTCGAGGGGACACCGTGATCGTGTCAAAAATCCCTTGAACGCCTCATGAGGCCATGGTCCTACATCGCGAGCCTCGATCGCGCGTAGATTGGGGAGAGTGATGAAATCGAATAACACGAGACTTCCCATCCAGTCCAGATGCAAATCGCCAGATATGCGCAAGGATTGAAGTTTGGAGTGCGGCAATTCTTCCGGGGTCTCGATCACCGACGAAAACATTCCAATTATCGTCAATGACGAGAGGTTGGGACACAGGCGGAGCAAGCAGGGGAAGCAATTTAGTGCGTCTACCACGATCTCGAGATTCGTGAGATTGACCCATGCGAGAGGATTGAAACCAGATAACATTTTGAGGTCAAGCCATAGGTCCGTTAACTTGAGAGTGCGCATGCTGGGTGGCAGTTGCGTGATAGAGTGGGCGACCGAGTGGGCGATAGTTAGTGCAGGATTAGAACCCGTCGTGTACATAACCAGTTTCTCAAGTCCCCCAAAGTCCGCCGCCACCACTGGACAGGAGCTGGCACCGAAGGATAACCCAAAAGACAGAGACGAAATTTGATTGACGTATGGCTGGAGCAGGCTTCGTAGCTCTTTCCCGTCATCGTTATGACACTCGAGTGTCAACGACAGCTGACGTCCTCGTGATCGCTTGAGGTAAGTGTCATAGCAGAAAGCTCTCTGCTGCCAGTTACCGCGCCCGACTTCCAATCGCAGCTTGCGCCATAGACTCGGCATGTCCAATGCGATCTCCCGCCATCGTCGACATACTGTGGTCAAGAGCCTGGGATCCAGATGTGGCGCGGGCGTCCGGTCACTGTCTTCTGGGATGCAGCACAGGAAAATTTGGGCGAGGATTTCCGTGGGCAAGTGCATAATCGTGACCTTGTCTTCGACGAGCTGCTGGTGACGATAGCTGACACCGTGTTGGTTTGTGACCTGTTGCCCGACTACATGCCCCTGCTGAAGCGAATGTTTATTATTATATTCAGATGCCAACACCTCCAATGCAAGCACTTACGATGTTCTGTAGAATATGTGAGCCTGCTGATGAATGGACGTTTGAGTGGGATGTTTGCATATTAACGCGAGAGAGGTTTGGTTGTTGGAGATGCAGATTGAAAGCGGAAGTTCTGTCGACCGTCGCGTCCCTATTTAAATCAAAACGCCACACGTCCACAACGAAGACGCTTTGCTATTGTAGTTTCCCCATAGCAGGTCCTATGTAAAACACCAGCCATCCACATCTGGAGACCTTGCATTGTTGCAAAGGGAGTCAATGCGAGCGCTTGTGGAATCTGTGGAGGGTGACCTTGCCGGTGATTTCGACACACTTGGTCGGCATCTTCCGATGTGGACCACGACTCATGGTTATCGAAGTTGTGACCTTTATTTCGCCCTATTGTAGTTTCGAGTTTTGAGTTTTTGGTTTGATGGGCGTGAAGATACTCACGAAAATTAGGCTTCGACTCTCCACACTCCTGCCGTACGCATTGAACAGTTGATTCCCTTTTCGTCAATCACATCTCTTTCACTGTTGATTCTTGAATCTTAGTAATGACACACCTAAACCTCAACAGTCACGTTCTTGTTTAAGTTGTGAACAGTATGCCATCCTCATTTTCCTGTTCCAATATTAGTGGGAACTAGAACACCGACTGAATATCAAAAAGTGAAATTAATACAAAGCGACTTGACGAGTGTCTCTGAGCTCCGAGTTGACATTGAACAGCTGACGATGTGCTTCCTCAGAAGAGTAAGCATACTGGTCGTCGTTCTAGTAATGCCACTGTCTCAGCCATGGCTATGATCCGAGAAGCAAATGTGATGGGTCGAAGAATTCAGGGTACAATGCACATATTGATTGAAGGGATGTTGAGGTATATATATGGATCAAACAGCTTGGATCATCGCCACGTGGACCCGTGCAACCTATAGCCACTTTTACAAGTGAAGCGTAAGAATTGAAGTTTGGTGTGGGTAAATCTGTGTTTATTGTGACGTTTATCAGGCAGGCAGGCACGTCGCAAAGACAATCGAAACATAAATTTGAGAGGGTTTGTCTTCGTCTGGCGGCGAAGTATGAACCGCAGCATCCCACTTCAAAAAACCATCTGGGTCCCATCGAGTGAGTCTATCGATAGTTGATTGTAAGTAGGCCCTTGGTTGCGATCGTTGACGCAAACCATCCATCGGCGAGCTCCACTGTGCGGTATATGGCTTGTCAGCGCGTGATAACAAGATGCGCGGAGCGCTCACCGAATGAAATGCAGATTATGCAGAGGCTCATCCCGGGCGGAAATCGGACGTTCTCTCATAGATCGTTGCCCTTTCCTAAATTTGATGACCAAGAGAAACCCATGACGTAGACTACTATCAAAGTAATCCCTTCCTGTTATTTGCAAAGACCGGCGATGTGACGGGGCGGTTCACGTTATGGCGTGGATAAAATCAGAGTTGTGAAAGACTCGGAGGCACCGTATGCGGGGACCAAATTGGCACTCGGTTGGTGTACAAAAACTGGGACTTCGACTAGGAATGTCGTAGAGGCTGGACGGACCTTACAGGTTACAAGAGGCAGAAGTACTAGGTTTGAATCAAACTGTACGATGCACAGCCATCCGGAAGATATAGATTCGGAACAGTTCGGAACACATGGCAGGCCTATGATATGCCCATTATCGCTCTTCGGATATCTGCTACTCTCAAGGTAGTAGTGGTACTGTTCGGAACGTGAGGCCTCGAGGCTGAACGCAAGTGTCAAACAGCTGCTATAGGAAATGGTGTTATCGTGATGAGAAGCATAGTGTAACACTTGTATAAAACTGCGAAGAAATAAATATCCGATGAAATTTGAGATCGTATTGAAACAGTGGGTAACAACAAAACCTTGTGTAAAGGATTTCGATCAAGACTCTTCAGATTGTGATACTACAACTTCAAGAGAAGGAATAAGAGCAATGCACTCCGCTCGCTGCTCGTGTCTCATCACCGCTTCAGCGCCCAAAACCACCGTCTCCAGGGGACAATTTGACCGTGTCACGAATGACTTGAACTCCTGATGAGGCCATGATACACCGTAAATTTCAAGTGTGCGTAAACTCGGGAGTGAGAGAGCATCGAGAAAGCCAGGTAAAGGGTTCGGGGTAGAGTCATCAATATTGCCGAGTAGATGATGCGAGTATTGAATGACATCGACGATGATGTGTAGGGATTGAATTCGGACATGCACGAGTGGTTGAAAGATTTCAGTTCTATCGAATCCTAGGCGGATCGCTAACGAGCAGAGGTTGGGACATAGCTGCAGCAAGCGGAGGATTGTATCCGGGCGATGTATGGGGATCTCGACATTTGTCAGGTTAGCCCATACGGGCTCACACGAAGGAAAGAACTTGAGCTCAGAATATGGTGCTGTGACCTTGAAACTGCGGAGAGTGGGTGGCAGTAGTGAGAAACATTGTTCAGTAAGCGGCCTATTGACTATTAGCTCCTGGAGTGCGGTGAGGCCTTCGAATAAGGGGTCAAATTTGTCAGAAATCACGCGACAACAGATAGAGAATGATGAGATTTGATGTATGTAAGGTTGAAGGAGGCGTCGTAGCTCAATCATGGTGGAGCTAAAGCAACAGGTGAGTGCCAACGAGAGCAGACGTCCTCGTGATCGCTTGAGCCATACGTCAAGGCAGAAGGGAAGTTCCCGCTTTCTTCTGAGGTCGTATGGCACATCTAGCCTGTCCCACAAGCTAGGCGTGCCTACAGCAACCTCCCTCCATCGACGACATATTCTGGTCAACAGAACGGGGGCCAGCTTCGATGCAGGCGACAAATACTTGTCTTCTGGGAGACAGTGAACGAAAATATGGGATAAGACTTCAGTTGGCAAGTGCCAAATAGGTGATATGAGTCGCTTGTGCAACGCGATGGACGAGATGAGCTTTTCCTTCTGTTCGGTCAGTTGTCGGTGAAGATTGTTGATTTTGTCGATGACTGTTTCCAAACTTGAGATGTCGTGCAAAGTTTCATCTAGCTGCTGCTGGCGGTGGGTGATAATGGCATTAATGCTTTGGTCTTTAAGCTCGACTGCGCAGTGGTTGGAATTGGGGGAAGTAGTTTGGGAATAAGGTGTTTCAACGTCTGGCATCTGGTAAATGGTCAATAACACATCAGATACTGTACATCCACATAGACAAACCACTGCTTGCGAACGTAGCTGAAACGAATGGTTATTGTTTGCAGAAGAGTGCACTGTTTGAAACTTCAGCACTTACGATGATATGCAGTGCACTAATAATCTCCGAGGCCGACGAGAGATTGACGTTTTCTTTTGAGTTGGTATGCATGTTGCTTGCTAGCGCGAGTGTAAATGTTCAATGAAAACCTGGATTCGAGGCCTGAATAAGTTATGCTGGTTTCGGTTATATAGACGCTCGCAGCTCACGAGTCTGTCGAAGGGTGGCGAAGGTATAAATGGGGTCTTGAGGTCTGCAACATGGCATTGAATCATCGATCCACTTGTGCACATGTGAAAGGCGAGCTTGAACAAATCCGGGTCAGTCACTTTGCATTTATGATTTGCTTATGATGATGCCAGATTGGCTGTTGAATCGTACATCTTGGACCTTCATTCAAGTATTTAGCTGAGTTCTAACACAACTCAGAGGCAGTGGATGATGTAAGGTCAGTATTACTCGTGGTAACCTTTGTCCAAATTCGTGCGGCTTAGAGGAGATGTGTTTGGTTTTGAAATACACAAATTCATCAACGCTGTATGCCGCAATTCAAAGTTAGTCACTTTGCACCTATGATTTGCTTATGATGACTCCTGTCAGGTTAGCTGTTGAATCGTACATCTTGGACCTTCATTCAAGTATTTAGCTAAGTTCTAACAAAACTCAGAGGTCGACGGCACAGTGGATGATGTAAGGTGACAAGGTATGTTTATCGTTTACTCATGCCAGTAACCTTTGTCCGCGGCATAGAAGAGCTCAACACCATGGTTTGATATACACCAACGCTATGCCGCCGCGGCGATTCACTAAACGATAGGCCAAGCAACATCCTACAATATCTAGGACCCCATGGCTATCGCGGCTTCCTTCATCCTAAATGCGGGTCTAGTGCTTCTTCGACCTGCAAGTTCGAGCTGCAATACAGCACGCAAGGCAAGTACTCTTTCTACGGAGGGCTAGATCTCCCGAGGTGTCTTCTGCATTGGCCGCCACCCTGGCATCTTTACATTTGACAACATTCGTATTTCAACTGTAATCAACACGTGGACTCACTATTCGATTGGCTTGTGCACAACGCAGTCATATTATGCATCTTCGCCACTTAGGGTGCATTTAATGTTGCGTGTTTATTAAATTCTGCGTCGTTTATCCGATGACCCTGAAGCACTATGAGGTCATGAACAGACTCACATCGTGACGCCATGCCATTCGCCAGGCATTACTATTTTGCCAAATTGATCTACGGACTGCCAAGGTCACGCTCCTATGTGTAGGACATAAAAGCCAGCCTGCATCTCACCATGTCTACTCACCTCGGAGTCATCATTCGAGATCAGATCGCGTATCAGAAATGCATTTCTCCGCCCTCGCTGTTATTGTTGCTTTGACAGTATCTTTCCCTGCCAGTGTTAGTTCATGCAGCAACCTAAACCAGCCATGCACATACACCACGGATTGCTGCGGTAACTTTTATGTTTGTAAGCAGCCTCTTGTGAGTATGGATCGTTTGTTTCATTCGGCATCATGGCTCACCCTTTGTAATACTCATAGGGAACCTGTCAGTACAACGCTGAAGAGTAATTGCAGCCAGAGTTACTGACACGTCGCAACAGTGAGTCATATCCCTGTCTTCGTATTCATGATTCCATGACTGACGGCACAATATACAGTTTGTTGTTGGGTCGGTGAAGGTTCTGTGCAGGGTTAAACAATGACTTTAGATAAGGGAAAATATTCGCTGTTTTACCAAGGAATGACTCGCAACTGGGAAAGTGAAGCTGTGAGACAGTTATCTTCCTTCATGTCAGACCAGACGCCTTTGTCAAGCTGCACCATCCTGATATGTTACTCCGGAGTCGAGTACCCAGTAAGGTACGAGCAACGAATGCGCGGTTCTACAGACTGGCTCTTCATGGAGACCAGGTTCTAGAAACCTGACAAGTTCACAACGTTGAAATTCCTACACGAGTAAGCTTGAGAGCAGTGCTATAACACCTTCGAGTGCTTTCTACTCATGGCCGGCTTCGCCGCCAGACTCGCCTTCATTGCAAGTAGTAGAAGGGAAAAGAAGCCACGTGCTGAGTACTGGCAGCCGCTGTACGAAGTCCTTATTGAATTCTAACCCTATAATTCGTGGTAGAATTCCAATCATTGCGAAGACCTTACACCTGATATCCCTCGCTGCTTGGACATAATTTACAGAGGTTGGTGCTGTCGCACTCGAAAATGAGTTCCTTGATAACTAGTCTTTCCATATTCTCAACGTCATGCTCCGTAAGATCTTACTCGACTCGTCTATTCCATGTCAGATAACGCTGTGGAAGCCAATCTGGCTTCTTCCACTCTTGATTAGAAATCTCAGCCAGAATCATTTGCGCAAGGACTTCGGCACTGGAAACCATGTCATTTATGAATTGATTCAGCTGTACAATATAAGACTTACCATCCAAATGCGCGCGGCATTCCATGACCGGTATATCCTGCGGCGATGTACTGTTTCTTATACAGCTCTCTTTCCGGATCGGCTACGAGTAGGTCTGCTACAGACCCAACCTGGCGAGGGACACATCAACCACAGTAGTTGCAAAAGTCGCTTGGACGTACAAACGGATCCCCCGTCTTCGTGTAGCCCATGATGCCAGTCTAAACCCTCGTCAGGGATATCTTCACCCGGGTAAAAAGAGTACCTACCCATTCCATCTCAGGCTCCGAAAGGGGGTCATATTTACCTTCGAATATAGATGGTAAGAACTCGCGAAGCACCTTCCCAACGAGAGGGTGCGTTTCAGAGTCATCGTCCACATATAGCTCGTATCGGGGTCCCACAGATTCTCGGCCACCACCAATGATGATCAACGGTTTTTCAGTGTCGTGTTTTACGGGTCGGGGGAACCAGTATGCGAATCCCTAAAAGAGATATTAGTCGCGACAAGACAGGTTAGGATGGAATGGCTTACTTCGTTTCCGCTCCAGCTCGGTATCTTGATTTGATCCATACCGACAGAAGCACGGGTGGCCATTACTTGTCCCCGAGTTGGTATAATCCCATCTGGACCCGCGAGGAAGGGAAGGAGATAAGAGGCGTACGCATTCGTGGCATGGACAACGCGGGAGCACGATATGCTACCCCTGTTCGTCACGACTGTATAAGTGGATGAATTATCGGTCGTTTCATGTGTGACTGCAGTCACCGGCGTTCGAGTGTGCAAGCTTAGGGAGGCATATTGGCCAGCGTGTGCTTGAGCATGCTGATACAGCTTCGTGACTAGTTTCAGTGGCCAGACATTATTTCCTGGCTCGCGGAATCCTGAGTAAGGTGCACCATATTCCTGGTAATGAGCGGGCTGAATCAAACTATCGAGATTATGACTAGCGAGAACAAGCACCTCCTCGAGTTCCTCCCTCGAGAGCCATTCCACACCATCTAGATTGAGCTGCGCTTGACGTGCCGTATCGAAGTCTTTGTGCGCGTTTTCTGCTTCCTTCTCTGTGAACAAGAGATTTATGTGTCCACCTTCTACTAGGTCAACATCGCTTGCCCAGCCATTCTCCTCTATGATTTTGACAAGCAGAGAAGCGGTGTGTTGTTCGAGTTTATATGACTTGATGGCCTCGACCGTGTCGAATAATGCCTGACGCTGAGCAAACTCGAGGAAAGCGGCCGGCGTAAGATGTCCACCATTCCTTCCTGCAAACGATATTCTCCGCACGAGGAACTAAATAAACACGTAGTACTTCACGTACCAGTCGCTCCTGAGCCTGAAACGAGTCAGTACAGTACGATAAACTCACAATAAGCGTGGGACAGACTAACAGAAATCTCTTGCCTCGAGTATCACGATGCTGGGCGGGTGTTTGACAGAAAGCGAGGCATTATTCAAGAGTTCGATAAGGTGGTACGCGACGCCAACGCCAGTGATACCAGCCCCGATGATGCAGACGTCTGCCTTGCTAGGCAGAGGATCTTGGCTGCCTTGGCGAGCGAGTGGATTTGCGTCCGGGGAGGAATCGATCCAGAAGGAGCGGGTTGGATTGCGAGATGGGAGTTTAGCAGGAGTTGGAAGTTCCGATGGCGGTGTCTCGAGTACCTTCTGAGAGTGTTCTAACTTACCGAGTATCTGAGGGTTAACAGGCATTATCGACCAACCGAGAAGAACACAGAAAACGAGAAAGGTCCGCATCCAGTCTCTCATTTCCGTGAATCAAGCACTCAAGTCCAAAAGATAAGATAACATGACCAGGCTCTGGCCCTGGAATCATTCGGAGGTGTTGAACATCATGTGACGGTAACTTGTACGTCACTCGCCTCAAACCTTTTACTACTTCGCGTTAGTAAACATCATGTATGCAATTGACGGAATGCAGTCGCACGGCAACCAACTCAAAAGCAAAATTGTCTTAGGCGCTCGAACTTTGAATGCACAACTGAGAGCGTGGCTCTGTTTAAATTCAGGTACGTCATTATTAAGATTCAAGAATGTAAAGTGAATCGGCCCTTAAGTGCGTACATTCTAGTACGTCAGTAGGAATGTGGGGAGGAAACTCAGAGCCTGATTTTGTGAGTATCTTCGCACATATCAAACTAAAAACACAATACTACTGAACAAGGGGAAATAAATGTCACAGCTCCACAGAGCTGCTATATGACTTCGGGTATCATCTACAAAATTCCCGGATGGCCTAGTAGTGCCGACTACTAAGTATGTTGAAGCCACAGGCGAGCAAGATACCCCTTCCACAAATTATACAGGCGTTCGCACTGACCCTCTTTGCAACAATGCAAAGTCTCTAGATGTGGATGGTCGGTGTTTCACACAAGACCCGCTATGAAAAACTACAATAGCAAGTTATGTTTGTTGTGGACCTGTGGTTTGCGAAGCATCGTAGTTTAAATAGGGACGCGATGGTTGGCCGAACGTCAGAATCATTTCCGACCTCCATCTTCAACATCACAACCTCCTTCGTGTCGATATGCAATCAAACACCGATTCATCAGCCATCTCGGGTACCATTCGTCGCCTTGTGAGTACTTGATTTTGAAGGTGTTGGCGTCTGAACAAACATCCACTTCAGCAGTCGCATATAGTAATGCGTGAGGCCTCAAACCCAAACCATGTTAACTATCGTTACTGGCAACTCGTCCAAGAGATGGCCAAGATTGTGCAGTCCATAGGTCCTCCCAAGGGATCTTCATCGCCTATTGGGCGCCTCCCCACGGAAATCCTCGCTCAAATTTTCCTCTACTGCATTCCAGAAGACGCAAACTGGACGCCCGCGCCAGATCTAGCCCCCATGCAGTTGACTGCAGTATGTCGACGATGGCGGGAGATTGCTGTGAACATGCCGAATTTATGGCGCAGGCTGCGATTGGAAATGGGGCACGGTGACTGGCAGCAGAGAGCTTTCTGCTATGACTCCTACCTCAAGCGATCACGGGGACGTCAACTGTCGTTGACACTCGAGTGTGATAACAATAACTGGACAGAGCTACAAATCCTGCTCCAGCCATATGTCGATCAAATATCCTCACTGCATGTTGGGTTATTCTCCGGTGCCGGCTCCTTTCCACTGGTGCCGGCGGACTTCGGCGGACTCGAGGAGCTGGCTATATACACGAACGGTTTTGATCCTGCACCAGCTCTCGACCACATCGAGCACTCTATCACGCATTTGCCACCCAACATGCGCAGTCTCAGGTTATTGGACGTGTGGCTTGACTTTCGGACATCAGCTAGCCTCAATTCTTCCTCATGGGCCGGTCTCACAAACCTTGAGGTTCTAGTAGTGGGACTAGTTTCCTTACCCTGCTTGCTCCGTCTTTGTCCCAATCTTTCGTCGTTGACGATGATTGGAGTATTCATTGCGGCGATCGAGACCTCAGGACAATTGGAGCACACCAAACTTCAATCCTTGCGCATTTCCGGCGTTTTACCTATGAACTCGGCCTTGTTCGGACTTCTTGGGCTATTCGATGACGTCACGCTCCCGAATTTACGCATCGTCGAAGTTAGCGATATAGGACGATGGGTTCACAAAGAATTCAAGGCGTTGATAACACGGTCACAGTGTCCCCTAGAAAGCTTGATCTTCGGCGGTGGAGTGACGACGACTCCTCAGCAACTAGCAGAATATGTCACTCTTTTCCCATCCCTCAAATTAGTGATAGATCCTACGCGTTCCTTGTTTTTAGAATAGACTGGGACAGTTTATGTACATAGTTGACGAAATGATGCTCACACGATTACTACGCTATAGAATGACATCCATCGTCAAATTATTCGTCGTATCCCCAGATACCCGTTCTGAGCTCGATCGACCTCAACGTGACGATCGAGCAGCTCAAGGGTTGACAGTAGTACATCTTGCAGAACACTAAAGACAACCACGCATATCATCGTGATTCGTGCACCACCCAATATATAGGCGAAACTAGAGCTCATCACAGGCATCCGACCCATTCAGAATCAGAAAATATTGTTGCACAATGGTGATGACGATTCTCAGGTCGTCGCGCAGCTGGATGATGATGCTAAGCCGCTTGGGTACTACGGTGTTCGGGATTTCCAGACGATCAAGGTATTTTCTGTTCGAATCTTAACAAAGCAATGTTGGCGTCGTTTACGCGTCAACTCTCCGATGTATCGCAAGTAGAGAAGTTCGAGCTCAGCGACGAGACGGACGCACAACGAACCGGTGATCAATCAGTATTCCTTATTATTTACTATTGGTTCTGATTCTCTTTATTTCAAAGACCCCGTGTTGGCTTACAAGCAAAGGCATAAAGTAGGGCGCTTTGCGCCCCCTTCAACTGAACCTACTGCTGAACCTGCGGTAAACATCCCCATCGGATCACGCTGCGAGGTAGAATCAACAGAACCGGGCTTGAATAAGCGTGGTGCAGTTCGGTTTTTTGGTCAGACCGAGTTTGCTGCTGGACTTTGGGCCGGTGTCGAGTATGATGAGCCGATGGGCAAGAATGATGGGTCGTAAGTTTGAACCCTTGTATTATTTGTCGATACTCATCTGGAAATATAGTCTCAAAGGGGTGCAGTATTTTACATGTCATCCGAACTACGGAGTGTTCGTACGCCCTGCAAGGGTCACAGTCGGTGACTTCCCTGTGGAAGAGATCGATTTTGATGACGAAGAAATTTGATGGGTGTTGACGTACTCGTTGTAATATATCCGCTGAAGATTCACAGTTGTTAGAGACCCATGATTAGGACCTTAAGGTGTATTGAAACCTTCACCCTACCCCAATGCCTCGGACAGGCCAGCCTTGGCAGCAAAACGCACTGTCCCCCGGTTCTCAGGACTCTATATTTCGGCAATCTGGACTTGTCCCACGCACGAACCTCTGGCGATGCGGCACTGGAAATATGCTTGCTAGTCATATTATGAGGCGGACATGATACATGACGTACGTGTGTTGGTCAGGTGCCCGTCTATGTGTAGGTCACCGAGTTACCATTGTGTAGAGGAAAACAGTTCCTTTCGAATAATGAGTCAGACGATTGTCGTGACCATAATATAGAAACACTTCTAGCTCCTGTCTGTTGATTCGATCATGGACGAGCGACGTGCGTGTTTGATCGATGTCGACGGGCTCAACTACAAATCCTTCGGAGCTGGATGTACATTAGTAGCGACGAGAACTGTAGTACTTACCATGATATGGGGCTCAGCTGGAACGCTCCTTGACCATCAGGAGTGAGAATAAATTGAACGTCGCCCGGTGCCTGCCATTTATTGATGTGGATAATAATGAAGAATAAAGAGAGATACAGTCGGATTCTGTCTATGTTCAATACTCGCGACAGCAACCTGATTACTTTCTCTCAGCTTGATGATCACAGCTACGACGTGCATTGCGCTCCTCTTGCTCCAACTGGTATTCCTGTACACGCCGTCTAATTTCCCTTCGCCGCTCCATCCCGTACTCTTGAGCTTCACTGCGAGCTTGGGCAAGGTTTTGGACTGCACTCCTGTGACGCCCATCTGAACTATGACTTAAAAATATCGGAGCGATGCCAATGATGAAACACTAGAACGATTAAACATATAAAGGAGCCATAAACGAGTGATCGGAAGACATACCGCAGTGCCCACAAATATTATTGACCAGTCCTTCCATCTCTCATCGGGCCTCGCAGTCCATTCCCTCCCGGGAGTTCCACTCGCGAAGCCAAATGAATGATTGTGGTCGAAGTCCATCCCCGCACTCCTATGGTGCGCGCGTCTCCGCCGTCTTAACTCTTCATACATGTCGGAATCGGACGGACTGCTGCGGAGCCCCGAACCAAGGTGTAAGCGAGATTTCCCAGTAAGAACCTCATACGCAGCAGTTATAGATTGAAAGCGAGAGTGTCGTTCTGAAGCAGGGATATGTTGCGCATGGGCAGAATCGGGATGGTGTTCTCGGACAAGTTCATAGTCTACGGATGCCGATCAGAAGTCAGGATGAGTATGAGCGAGTGTACAAACATCTTGACTTGATATCAGCTTGAGATGCACTGTGGGAGAGGTGAAATATTTGGTGCGGAGTTGGTCGCGGGTGATGCGGGAATGGGTATTGGGACATTGTAGATGCGAGTCGGGAATGAATGACAGTACGCAGACCTGCGCCTGCAGTTGGAAGCCTCCCTCGACATGGTCCAAATAAATGCACGGCCATCGTTCTACCTGAGGATGTCGTCGTGATTGTTCATTGCAGCTGACCGTTCCAAGGTGCCAGGTGACTGATTTGTACTGGCGAATCGGCATCTTCCGCAAGTTAAAATACTGAGATCTGGTCGTTGACTCCGAGTAAATAGTGAGAGTGAAGTTTCAACGTTTGAAGCCAATACACCGAGCGTGAAGAAGGAGAGAATACTACGCCCGCCGAAACCAAATTCAGAGACATGGACATGAACATTAGAGTCCCACAGTATCTAGACGCATCTAGTACATAAGAAGTAAATTATGCCTCTTCCATAGCATCGCCATCAGGCTGGGCACTCTTCCACCACGGGACAGGCCCGAGTCCCTGTTCTGCGATAGAGCACTACAGAAAGAATCATTAGCCAGCGCACGCTGCCCGTACATAAAAACTCACAATCATGCTATATGGTGCGCGCCGGGCCTCTCGTTTTACTGCAATACCCTCCGATGCTTTTGGCGGACCAGGTTCGTCGTCATAAAATTCATCAGCCTCAACGCGAACCCGTACTACTTCTCCCTGATCGATATACATCCGGTCTGCTGTTGCAGACTCTAAAAGCTCGTGCGCGGTTGTTGCTTCCGAGTCTGGTAGCCAGAAATGAGCACGCTCATTTGGATCACTGAAGGCAGCTGTGAGTAACTTGGAGGGAACGGTGGACAGCACATACAAGGCAGATGGTTGCGGTAGATATGCTAGAGGTACATAGATGTCGTCGAAAAATCCTACGCTCACTGGTACAATTAGTATTCATGAAAGAAGGAAGCAGCGTCCATACATCGAATGCCGTCTTCGTCTGATGACTTCACTTTAGCGAGGATCACTTCCGACGCGAATGGTCGAAAAACGACCATTCTGAATCTGACTGTTCATGATGATAAGTTGCGGCCACAGGACTCGCTGAAAATTCAAGCACGCACCTTTATACCATAAACACCCATCTCCGTATCGCACTTTACCTTCGCCCGCTTCTACCAGGTCAAACACGCAAATACACAGCCCTACGTCGTGAAGGACTCTATTGGCATATTTTTTGTTGATTTCTGAAATGAGAGCTTGTGCTGAAGGCACACCAAAGTTTGTTGGCAGGATTGCAATGGTATCCTAGGTGATAATCAATGCTGGGTGGGCTATGGGACTGTTGAAGTGGTGCTCACTTTGATTATGGATAAGACAAACATGGCTTCAGCAGCCTGTGTAGACGAAGGTTCTTCTATACTGTCGGCTTCGGACAACCACTGGTTCGGACACTTTGCAATATCTCACTCAACTCTACTTCAAATCATATTCTGCTTGACCACATATCATTGTACACTTGTAATACACTATTGCGAAGTTGAATCTTTGAAATCGGTCAAGAAATGATTGAGATCAAGGTGTGACAGAGCGTCTGCCTTAAGGCTCCGTGAAAAACTCCCGAGTTTTTAACACTAGAGTTTTTGACATGTTATTAACTGGTCAAAAACTCGGGGCAGAAATTGGGGTGTCAAAAACTCAAATATATCAGTATTTGATCCCAGTAACATAGCCTGTCAGGTGCAACTAGTCACCTCTGTTTTTGGAATAAATACAATTTCTCTGTGCAACGACCGGAGGTCACGGTGACGCGGAAGCACGTCAGGAGCTGGCATCCACCGACTTGCCGTGTGTAGCCAACCTCACTCTACTGGTAGCGGAAGTAGCATTGTCACACTATTTAGCTATAGATATCGACTCGGGAACCCGGCTTGGGATGTCCATCTGTGTTTGGCGGGAATTGGGGCATGCACAGACTAATCACAGGCACTGCATTGGACACGTTGGACACGACGTAGACCAGTAACTACAGCATTTTCATATCATATTGCAGGAGATGTTGGGAGTAAGCCTACATTTGCAGTATAGGTACTAGTACCGTGTTACTCTGCCTCGTTTTGTTGGTTGTACTGCAAACAGATTTGTTGAATGCAAATCAGTAATCAACGAGATCTCGACAACGAGTAATATTCATTCCTGATCGTCACATCAGCTCCCTCCGTCGATGGGCGGTCCCGAGGATCGGTAGACCAACATTCCTCAATAAACTGCCAGTATCGTTCAGGGAGCTCGGGATAACGAGATCGGGAAGGCGTTTGCGACTTGGCTATGCAGAGAATGATGGCAGCATCATTCGTAAGGTGATAGTAGGGTGCTTTGTTGGTGAGGACCTACGAGTGCAGCCCGTGATATAAACGAGAGGCCAAAATAAACCAGACGTACCTGAAGCATGATACCGCCAAATGAATACATGTCGCTCTGCTCGCTTGGCCGGACTTGAGATCCATCCTCCCGCTCAACGAGCAGCTCAGGAGCCATCCATCGCATGTTTCCTTTCAGCGTGGATGTCCAAGAAGCCTGAGAGGCACTTATAACTTCGGAATACATCAGGGAAAGACCAAAGTCAGCGACACACGCGGTGCCATCACCATGAATCAGCACATTAGGCTAGAACTCACGTCTCGATTAAATCAAAATTAACGAAAAGGGGTTGAACTTACCCCAGTGAAGTCACCATGGATGACACTGTTGGCATGAACTGTGAACAATATCACTACTCTAGGTCAAGGACCGAGAATAACTAACACGTACGATATTGCAGACCAGCTATAATATCCCTGAGCTGAGATTGCCATCAATATATGGTCTGCATAAAATATAATGGGATACTTACGATCCGGAATCTTCTGACGAGAGTAAGAGCCGGGCCCTCGAGCTCCGAATAGTCCGATAGGTTACCATTCTCCGCCCAAGGACTGACTATCGCTAGAAATGGGCCAAACCCGTGCGTATAACCATAAACGGGTAGAATATTTGGATGCTTGAGGTTAGCGCATATTCTGAGTTCGCGCATTATCCTCTACGAAGTCGCAGCTCATAAGGAAAAGACACAGTCTTTTGTCAAGAAACTCACCTTGATCTTCTTCGTCTTTGCGGCACCAAGTTGATCGGCGGCGTACACTTGCAATGCCTTCACTGCGACCTACCAAATTATTAATTTAGACAGGTAGACAGACAAAAGACAGTGAACAAACTTTGATTAATCTACGATTCATGTGGCAGGTGCATTTCCAGATCTCCCCGAACCCGCCACGAGCAACAGGATATTCCTCGTCCTTCGTGACATATCCCGTGAGGTTTTGGAGCATCGCTTCGAGGGGGAGATCGCGATCCTCATCATTACGAGCGGAGAAGACTGTATTCGTATGGGAAGAGGAGGGAAGGAGCTCGCGAGAGTCGGGGGGCAACTGGGGTAGCCGTGAACCTACTGTGGAAGTGGATATCTGTGATGGAGAGGGAAGAGCTATGACAGGCGGTATTGTTGTACTTGGGAGATTTGCTGTAGACCTGATGTGCCTGTCAGTCCAGAATCCGGGTTCTGCGTGACGATGAGCGAAACCAATAATGGGAGGTTGTAGAGAGGAGGAAGGGAGGCTCTCTTGCGCATTTGATGTGGCCTCGCTAATGGAGTGATCCGCGGTGAGAGAGATCACGCCAGACTGCAAAAATGGGGTTAATAGAGTGGTGCAAATGAACAAAAGAAAGGGATGAGTACATCACCAAGGGGTAAGTTTCTAGGAGCACTGGTCTGCAAGAAGATGTTAGCAGATAAGCGATGGCAGTATTCAGGATTGGCTGCGCACTCTATCTTGTGGTACAGGCTGAATGCTAGCGAGGATCTCAGGGGGAGTATTGCATAAGTAAATGTTGTTGCCGAACAGTGACGCAGTGGTGTAAACTAATTGGCGCGAGTCGGGTGAGAGGATAAGATGGCGAGCACTGAACATAACATGGAATGAAGCGAGGAGCTGGCGCGACTCGAAGGCCCAGAGTTTGATGGTGTCGTCATAAGAAGCGCTGGCGAGGAGATCACAATCGAGTGAAAGTGCTAGACCGGTGATGGTTTCGGTGTGACCTTCAAAGGGGGCTCCTATAGTCTCCAGCGTAGATGCGTCAAATTCATAGATTGTCTTAATTTTGGCCCAGTCTGTTGCAGAGAAATCTGTAAAGCTGAATGCGGTTACGATAGTTTTATCTTTGGTAGTCCAAAACATTGGCGCATATGCAGCATAAATTGCGCTCCTTTTTATCCCTAGGCCTATCTGATTCTGAACATCCAATTTCTGTGTTTGGACATCCCACACTTGAAGGAGCCTCCCCACATTTGACTGGACTACGAGCTTCGTGCAGTCTTGCGAGAATCGAACTGCGCTCACCCAGTCGATACTTCCGAATGGATTAGCCATCAGTTTGCCTGTTTTCAGGCTCCATATCCGCACTGTACCATCATCCCAGGACGCGCTAGCTAGTAACGTGTTGTCTCCTGAGATATCGATGCAGTGGATCTCTGAGTGGCCTTCGAATATTCTCACGGTCCCCGTGTCAACCTCGCGGACTTTGAGCTCCCCTCCACCTGCAGAGACAACCCATTGATCATTCCTTGATACCCCCACAGCACGTACTTCCTGCTCATGAACATTTCGCGCCTCCTCGACTTCCTTGCCTGCTCCTAGGTCCCATAGACGAGTGGTGTGATCACGTGACCCGCTGGTTATGCGCTTTCCGTCCGGAAAGTAGGATATGGATGAAATGATGTTTTCGTGGCCCTTTAAGGTCAACACAGGTGTCAGAGTCGATTTTTTTGCTGGCACAACGGGCCATGATGATCTAGAAGCCATCGCTGGTCTACCGGAGAGCATAGCAAAGTAGTATGGGCAAGAGTATTCGAAGGACCGTCGGTGGTGCTTTCTCGTATCCTATGGCCTGACGTGGATAGTGATTTCGAAGGATGCCTAACTCGTTCAAAGGTCCTGGTACACTTTGCCTGCTGAAGCTGATCATCAACTCATCGACACTGACAGTCCAGATTAGTCTGATGTTACCTCGTATAAGCTAGTAACTTGTGAGAAGAGCGAGCAAATCGACTGCTTGACAGGATGTGCTCGCAACTTCTTGTATTTCCCAACACACTCCTTCGGCATGGCACCTGTGCATTGCACAGCGTTCGCTTTTATCCGCTGCCTCATGTCCACCAAATCTACTTGTTTAGGCACAAGTTATTGTCATTCGCCCCACTCAATTCTTAGGCTGGTACTTACTTAATATAAGTTTTGATCGCATGGAAAATAAAGTGAAACCGAGCACCCCAAACTGTCTATTCGACGAAGGCGTCACCGAGCTTGTTGTAATGTACATTATGTGGCAGGGGACTTGGGCGACGGCAGCTCATACGTGCACAAGGTCTTGTTGCAGTCGTCGATGTCCTGAGTTTCCCAATTCTGTGCTGCTTCAGGACTCGGAGAATGGTTGGTTGGAAGAGATCGAGGACCCAGAGATTGAACGTGATCCAATGTACAGGTCTTGTGATACGAGTGTACAGGCTGGTAACGAGGATGCTCATCTTGATGCTCCTCGATTGTTGGACTTACTGTCAGAGAAGTCAGTGGAAGGGGTAAACAGGGCGCCTAAACAACAGGATACTGCAGTTCCGATGCCTTCGCTAGGGCCTGTAACGTGGGCCTTTGCATTATGGTAGCAAAAAAATGTCAAAATGACCGGGAAAAACACATTTTTTGGGCGTGTCAAAAACATGTCAAGACTCAAAAACCTCTCGAAGGTGAGGGTGAGTTAAAAACTTGTCAAAAACTCCGTGGGTGGTTTTTCACGGAGCCTTAGGACTCTGCCTGTCACTAAGTCGAGTCTGCCGTAGCGGAGTTTCAGTCTGTTCTGCCGAACCACTCATACTGGCAAATCTGCTCAGAAGGACTATCAGTCAATGAGGTTACCGGCTCGATTTGTTACCCACCCAGAACTACGCACGACCTTCGAGGCTGACCATGCTGCCCGAAATTCAAAGGAGGCAGAGGCGATAAAACAGGCGCAGAAGAAAGGTGCTCGGGCAGTGAAGATCCACCAGGATGCAACAACAAAAAATTTCGATGCTCCGCTTTCCTCGTACAAGCTTAAAGACGATTTTCTCACTATCGCGCAAGCTCTCGGACTCGCCGTCGAAACTCTATTCGTTCAAACATATCATTGTAGGCTCATCGGTGGTAATCATCATCACCACCGCCAACAATTCTAACATCGCTTGCCCATCGTACTATAGGTATGACCTACATGTTTTGTACGGTTACCACATTGATATTTCTCACTAAACCCTCCAGTAGGCCAAAACCAAGTCTACTACACGTTGCAACTGGCAGACCCGAACTTCATCCAACATAATTCTTGTTTGTTTTAATCGGATCGAGCTGAAAACACGCCTCCAGCTGTTTACTCTTACATACATTCTTGCTTCACTTTCACATCACCGCAAAGCATCCCTCATCTGACCCACCGTAAAGCAACGTCTGTCTACTATGGATGAAATCGCTATTGGCTCATGGGATCACTCGCCATCCCTTGCTATTCCTCTCGACACACTTTTCGATATAATCCAGCATCTTCCTATCCAAAGCGTCCTGGCACTACGGAAGGTTTGTCCCCCGGTTTCATTTCACGGGATTTTTAATCTGATTTTTATCTTCCAACCATTCCCCGACCCAACATCATTGCAACGCCAGGAGCGCCAATCTCTTACCCACTCGCACAGCACACCTTCCAATGGCTTACAGAGACCGTCAATGTGTCAAAGCATGTCAGCTGGCATGCTGCGCGTTCCCACCGCCCCTCGCCGATCAACATCGTCGTTCGATTTGCAAGTATCTATCCCTGGCCGGTGAACATGTTGCATCATTTCGTGCTTTCCCCAAATCCCGCGTATGTCCCAGGGCGGGAGACTTCTCTATACAACATTCCATACTTGATGCAGCCCACTCCATGCAGAGGATAGGCTTTCCAGTGCGTTTGTTTGCTCCATCGTTCGTTGCTCTCGGACGATATGGTACCGTTCTCTGGCTCGATAGCCATACTGAAGATTGGGCAGGGCCTAGCGACTGCGGTCAGCGACTTGTAGGACAGATACTGATAGCTACGGGATGATTCTCGACTAGCCAGCATGGCTCACATGATTCCATGGTATTTCGCGTACGAGACGACGACCTGTGGAACAAAGTGGCGGTTGATGAGGAGTCTGGAAGAATTGCGTGAACGGTTCGATAATGCTCTTCGAATATTCTTAACTTCATTTGCTTTTGTTTGATTACCGTGTTTTTGGCATGGTTATTCTCCTCGATACCCACATCAAACTCACATTTAGCACATTTTTCTCATCATTGTGATTTTATATCCCTTGGCCAAATAATATACGAAAGAAAATCCATTGCGGTGGTGTACAACTGCGTGTTTCATTCCTGCTAGGTTTCCATTCCGAAAGGACCACAGTCGTTCCTAGTCACAGCCGATATATCGCGTTAGGACGCAATAAGGACCTAAA